TGATGAGTCGTATTATCAGAACCATGACTTTTGAGTAGCGAACCTTTTGGAACAGATGCATTACCTGGTAGAGCAGAGGAACTAGGTGTCAAACCCGGATGCGCGGTATAAGGTTTCCTGGACGGGTCCACATTAAGAGGATTTTGTGCGCCAGGAGGAGCATTAGAAGAAGCATGGTGTATAGGAGCCACTCCAACAGTAGCAGCACTACTGGATACGTGCTGATTGTTGAGAGTTTGACCAGCTATATTGTTCGTGTAGGATGCTAAGCGCTGAGCGACTGTCGATGTGCCATTGAAGGCCTCGGCAGGACGGGTCAGAGCTACGAGGAACTGGCTGATGCGACATTGACCGCTGCATAGTCTGAGACATCGAGCTGACAGCAGGTTGAGTAGCAGGAGCGGAAGTAGGCCCGCGAGAGTTCTGTGATGTATAATTAAGAGGCTGCGATCGTGATGCGTCAGGTATGCTAACAGGAGTTGGGGACGATACCGGCTCCCCAGGACGAGACTTGGGTGCATCGTTAGACAAGGAACGCGGCATCGTCTGACTGGTCGATTGCACAGTAGCAGAATGGTTCGTGGGATAAGGTGTAGAGGGCACGTTTGGTCTGTCCACATGCAGCCTATTCTGTTGCATAGTCCCATTGATAGTCATTTGGTGCACATGGCTGGTTGCGGGTTGAGATGCTGGTAAGGCTTCTCGCGGAGCGTAGGATGAATTATCCTTTGATGGTGGCAGAGCAGAATATCCATGCGATAACCCCGAAGTGCCCTGGTTTCCGGGAACACCGGTCAAATTATTGTGTTTCGACACAGTTTCGTCGGGCTTGTGGGCAGCCCCAACCTCACTAGCTTCCATGGCGGGCGACAATGCATTGGGTGGCCGTGGAGAACGCACATCTGCAAGAGTGATAGGAGGCAAGTTCGACGAACCAACTAGGTGAGACGCAAAACCAGGAGCATGTACGGAAGGAGGTGACAGTGGATTGGACTCCCTACGTGGAGTCGTCTGTGACGGAGGATGTACACTATTTCTATTGGGAAATGATGCCGTCACACCAGCAACTGTGCTCTGTGGAACATGTCCTGCTGACCAATTTCTGGGAATCGCTGCAGAAGTATCGTTCGTGGTCACGTGAAGTGGTTGATGTCCTACTGGGCCGACATTTGACGCACGAGGTTCCACATTGCCATGAGAGCGCACACGACCTGCAGTAGTAGTTCCCTGTGCACTTTGATACGCCGGGGTAGGAGTCAAAGGCAGAGTCGGAGTAGGTCCTGGGCCGCTATCTGTCTGCCCATGAGGGATGTAGTTTCGGCGGGAATGGGACATGTCAGCTGGTGGTACTGCTAAAGTAGGTGCAGTGTTTTGCGGACTCGGATGCGTGGAGTGCACCCTTTGTGCAGGATACTGAGGAAAGCCCAGTGAATAAATCTTATTCGACATTTACAATAAAGACAAAATACGGTACCTCATTCAACTTCATGTGATTACTCAAAGGCGTCGCCTGAGGTGTTGAACTACCAACTCTTATGTCTCGTCGTGCGGGAGAGGAACGCTGTGATGGTGCTTGTGGAATTACGCCATGTCGGACAGAAGGGGTGGAAACGGAGGCTCGAGGAGAATTAGAGATGTCCTGTGAAAGAACCTCGCGCAGCTGTGAGTGACGAGACAATGTTCCGGGACTCGGAGAGGGGTTATGCTGCGACGGTTTGACAGGTCGGTTAGCTGCATCAATATTATTTTCCTTCGAAGTGGTGGGAGGTACACCCGACTGCGCTGTCTGAACAAGCCATGATGATTTGACGGTACTCTCATTAGGATTGTACTGCCCAGCTTGTTGCGACGGTGTCGCCTGAATAGCTTGAGGAGGCTGGTGCCTTGGTACTGATATAGTTGGAGTTTGCGAAGGTGTCGCCTGGATAGCTTGAGGAGGCTGATACTTTGGCGCTGAGATAGTTGGAGTTTGCGAAGGTGTTGCCTGGATAGCTTGAGGAGGCTGGTACTTTGGCGCTGACACAGTTGGAGTTTGCGAGGACGTCGCCTGGATAGCTTGGGGAGGCTGGTACCTTGGCGTCGATGCAGCTTGAGTTTGCGAAGGTGTTGTCTGAACAGCTTGAGGGTAATATCTTGACGCAGATGTAGTGTCAACTTGCAAGGGTGCCGCATGAGTAGCTTGAGGAGGCTGATACCTTGTTGTCGATGCAGGATAAGACTGTGAAGGTGTAGCCTGAACAGCTTGGGGAGGCTGATACCTTTGCGTAGATGTAGTATCAACTTGCGGGGGTGTCGCCTGACTAGCTTGAAGAGGCTGATGCCTTGGTGTCGGTGCATGATAAGCCTGCGAAGACATCGCCTGAGCAGCTTGAGAAGGTTGATGCCTTGCCATTGGCGCGGGATGAGCTTGTGAAGTTGCAGGTGTCGGTGGTTGACTGACGCTCAAACTCATTCGAGGAGCAACCACAGGAGTGGAGTGTGTAGTTGGTGCTACTTGCGTCATATGTGGAGACCGCTCTACCGGAGTTAAATGGGCTGGCGTCAACGATGAAACAACAGGAGTCGAGTACGTCCGGGGAAGATCTTTCGGACTTGGGCGCGTAGAGTGAACGGCATCATGCGGAAGAGGTGCATGAGTTACTCCATGCGCATTCTGAAGGGCTGGAGAAGGAGGTACGGAGGCATGATTTGACGCAGACCTTGGCACAGGAGCTTGGAATGAACCGGGTGCTGCCGAAGGAGGACGTTCGTTCGGGGAGCTAGTATGGGACGCAGAACGTATTGGTCGAGATCCAGTAACAGCTTGAGGTGGGGTGGCTGTCGTGGAAATCTTTGGAGCAGCGTGTAATGTGGTTTGCGTGGGAGGATATGAAGTAGAAATAGGAAGTGAAGGCCGAGTATGAGGGTCAGGGTTAGTGGTCGTGTGAGAGAGGTTCTGCGAAGCGGGGTGGAATGGTCCTACGGGAGTGGTTGTTTCATGGATAGGAAAACGCTCAGGAGCAACGACAGTTTGGAGAACAGTGACATCAGTATGTGAACGATATGAAGGGTCTGGACGGGGTCGTGAAGCTTCATGAGAGTGTGTACGCTCGTGATTCGATTGTTTGGGGGGCGGCGGAGGTGGCACCAGCGCTGCGGGCTTCGAGTGAATCTCTTGAGGTTTATCTACACGTGGAGCTGGTGATTTATAGGATGTATCATATGCTTGGGGATCAGATGGACCTTGGCCAGCGCGTATACTAACAAACTGAGGCACTGTGCCACCAAAACTTCGATTCACAGGGGGTAGCGATGAAGAGGGAATCCCAGGAGTAATCAGAGGGATCTCCACCCCGGGCGTGGTTGTACTCGGATAGGCTGGATGTCGATGTTCAGACGATTGAGGTAATACGTACTTCGACTACATTCTGATGAGCCCCATCACAACGTGTAAGAACAGCGAACACACCTCAGGCTTACTCCTCTGCTCGACACGTGAGCTAGAGAAGTCAGCTTGGGTTCTCTCTCTGGTTCCAGCCGGCTTCTGAGAGGGAGCGTCTGAATGGCCTCGTTCAGATGTACGCTGCTGTTCATTTCCATGAATAAGAACTTTTTGTCTCACGTGACAATACTACTTTACCTTGATAGAAGCCCGTTCTGTATCACTACCTGAAAGCCCGCCCTGTGCAGCTGCAGCCAGATATCTTTCTTGATGTGACCTATGAGACTTTGGAGGCTTCGGAGGTAAATACACGGGCATTACACGAGGCGCCGGCGGAGGCACATGGCCTTCACCTGGTGCACCTTGCTGCGCAACCATGTCTGGTTCAGACGTAATGACCGGCCGCGACTGTGTAGTAGTTGGTGGATTTGGTGCGTTTTCAGTGTGCTGACGTCGCCCCTATACAACATATACATGAGCGAAAAATGGATAGTCGCACCATCGCAAGAGTAATTTACCATTGTAGATGATGTGCCTTCCTCAGTACGGTGCCGTCTATGTCCACCGATCGAGGGAGCAGGCTCGCGAACAGCAGATTGCTGCCCATCTCTTGCCGAAAGTGAGATCCTGGATGGATTGCGATGTACAGCGTGTACTACGCCTTCTGCACTAGGTTCCCTTCTTTTGTCAATATATCTGGACCTCTCGCTGTAAGGATCCTCCTTTTCTTTTTCCTTCTCTCTCTCGCGTTCTCTATGCCTATCATACTTATCCCTTTGCCTCTCGCGTTGTCTTTCCTTGTCTCTGTCTGTATCTGTATCCCTGTCCTTCTCTCTATCTCTATCCCTATCCCTATCCCTGTCTCGATGTCGCCTTATTGGGGGTGGTAACTCCTGTGGAGGTGTCCAAAACAAGGCAGCCGAAGAGGCCGGGGGAGCTTGAGAGGAAGGATGCCCCGAACGAGAAGAATGCATCTGACGCGCTGCCCTACCCCCACCTTCTTCCGCACTAGAAACTTTCTCGTAGGACGACTGAGGAGTCGGGGCAGGCGCAGCTCGTTTATGCGTGTGTATCCTTGGATCATATGCGTCGGTTTGTGCTCTTGGTGGTTGAGGACGCGACGGAGGGGGCTGTTGGTACGTAGGCGCACTAGATGTCACATGGTACGCTGAGGATGAGGAAGGGAGTTGATTTGGAGCAGGTTGTTGTGCAGAGGGTATTCTAGCAGCATGATGGAGGGTTCTGCTCGAAGGGCCGGCATAATACTGGTGGGAAGACGGAAGAGAGTTGGAAACATATTGGCCGTCTGACTTGTAGCCGCGATCACGATTGGACGGTCTCCCCTCTGTCTGCCGGGCGTCCACAGTCTGTCCGCCATGATGTCTGAAGGCAGAAGCATGTGCTGTGGTCGTTTGCTTATAGCGCCGGTGATCAGAGTCTGAATCTTGCTGTCTTTCTGTCGGAAGCCATAGTTTGTGTTGATCGCCTTGTGGGACGCCAGATCGTTCGTGACGTCGTTTACTGCTCATTCAGCTGGGAATACGAGAGAATAGAGCCAGAATTGATACGGATTCCAGCTTTTGTAAAGGGAAAGAGGAAGGAAGCAAAACGAGAAAGACAGCTTAGACAGGTGCCGCCCTGTTGACATGAGGCAATACGGCAAACCAAAGCTCCTGCTTACGTCTCGGTGCACTTTACAGCTGAGTGGGAACCAATTCGGAACGAACTCGACATCTCCTTGCTCTAAATGTATCATGACTGACACCATGAATGTACAGCATCCCTTTGTGGTAAGCACCATCACTCTCCTCAGCTAAATATGCCTCAACGTGTATTTCATAGTAGCTTGTCCAGCGCTCTGCCCATCTCTTGCCAAGGCGATAGCGATAAGCGTTGTCGTTAATGTGGGCACAGAATAGCAGCGCTGACAACATATCCAACAACACAGGATTCAATCATAGAACTTCGTCGTCTCAGACACTAAATTTTGATGCCGACCACATAGATGAAACCACGATATGTTTTTGGGAAGAAAGACAAATTGTTCATTCTATGATACGCAAACAAATGTACAACAATGTAAAAATGTATGCCAGGACACGGAGCAAAGTCGGCACGAGACAGTAAAGTCACAGTGAACAGTGCAAGCATGTGGGAGAGGCGATGTCGAAGGAAAGTGGAGGATTTCTCCTAACCAACCCAGCGTCAACACGATGCCAGATCAGCACACCACCCTCGATACGACCTAATATTACACGATTTTGACTCATTACCGACAGTAGACAGCGGAAAGGCTGGTGGAGACAAATGTCACCCTGTCGAGACAATTTAAGGATCGTGTTATCGAGCAACAGTGCAGAAAACAGAGAAAAATCACACCATGAGACTTGCCATAAGACAGTTGAAATTGGGAGACACAGCGGAGTCGTCTGGATGGAGAAAAAAAAGGGATTATATATTGGGCGAGATGCTTACGAAAGCAATGACCGCTTGACCGATTCCCACCGACTTTGTCACTTACTCGTGTATCCGCCGTCAGTCCTGCGATATCCTTTTGTCTTTGTCGCTCAGACCTGTAGGATTTGCGTCGATTCAATATCTATCCGCTCTTTCATCACTCTTAGAGCTTACACTGGTAATGGTACGTATCGTTCACAATCTGTTCTCCAACAACAACGGCGTCAAATTTAACCCTCTATCCAGAGTGATACCATGGACATTCTGGACGAAAAAGTAAACGGGGGTCCTTCAATGGAAATAATAGATGAATTGGTGTCTGTGCGAGACCGTAGGTTACCTCTCACATGTTTACATTCGTCGTGACCTACACGACTTGCTCGCAGACGAGGCTTTTGCCGCCAAACACATGCCAGACTTGGGGCATGACGTGAAGGACTTCAAGGTGTACACTTGGAGACTCTCCAACTGGAAGAAACTGGAAAAGAAATTGACCAGTCCAGACTTCGAATGTGGCGGGCACAGATGGTAAGCATCATGAAGCGTACGCTTACCTCATTGCCATCTACTAATTATTATCGACAGGCGCATACTACTTTTTCCTTTCGGCAACTCGAACGCACCTCCTAACGATACCGTCTCCGTATATCTAGACTATGCGGACCCAAAGAAAGCGCCGGAAGGTTGGCACGCATGTGCTCAATTTGCATTGGTAATATCCAATGTCCATGATCCTACTATCTATACCGTCAGCCGTGAGTAATGATGCTTGTTCGCCCCATCAGCACAGTCTCGCTCATTGAATAACCCGTAGATGCACACCATCGATTTATTGCTGAAGAGTGTGATTGGGGTTTTACTCGTTTCAGCGAATTGCGCAAGCTCTTCAACGTACAAGAAGGTCACCCTCGCCCGACGATCGAAGACGAGTCGGCAGATGTTACTGTATATGTTCGTGTTCTGGATGATCCAACTGGTGTTCTCTGGCATAATTTTGTCAAGTAAACGCCCCTTTATTTGTCATCCTTATCAATGCTTACAACTCAATGATTCAAGCTATGACTCAAAGAAGGAGACAGGATATGTAGGTTTGAAAAACCAGGGCGCTACGTGTTACATGAATTCTCTCCTTCAATCTTTGTTCTGTACACGTTACTTCAGAAAGGTACGTCGTCCAGTGAAGAAGACGAGGATGTCGCAATTCGGGCGCTAATGCCACCCGAAGGCTGTGTACCAAATCCCTACAGAAGAAGAACATCCTACAGAGAGCGTAGCTCTTGCTCTACAACGAGTCTTTTATCACCTACAAACATCTGATCAGCCCGTAGGTATGTATGGGAGTTTGAGTCGTTGACGGGATGTAGCTGAAACCATTTCTAGGGACGACAGAATTAACTAAATCTTTTGGCTGGAAATCTCTTGACTCATTCCTTCAGCATGATGTACAAGAGTTCAACCGAGTGCTTCAGGATAAGTTGGAATCCAAGATGAAAGTAAGGCGCCCGCTTGTCGGACTGGGAGTCAATATTAATGATTATATTTTAGGGTACCAAAGCGGAAGGTGCAATCGCAAAACTCTTTGTTGGAAAAATGAAGAGCTACATCAAATGTGTTAACGTCGATTACGAATCATCTCGAATCGAGGAGTTCAATGGCAAGTCGCTTAAATCAAGTCAGCGCAGCCGGATCTTAATTTTTTTCCTAAAAAAAATTAGACATCCAGTTGAATGTCAAGGGAATGAGAAACCTATACGAATCTTTCAAAGACTACGTAGCTGTGGAAACTCTTGAAGGTGAAAATAAATATCAAGCAGAAGGGTTTGGTCTCCAAGATGCAAAGAAGGGCATAATATTCCAGTCGTTCCCACCGGTCTTGCACTTGCAACTGAAGAGGTTCGAGTACGATATACAGCGTGACGCGATGGTCAAGGTGCGTAAAATTAATTAACCGACGAACTGTGATTAATTACTGCTCTCAGATCAACGATCGTCATGAATTCCCCTTCGAAATCGACCTAGGCGAGTTTTTGGATGAGAACGCAGACAAGTCAAAACCATGGGTGTACAGGTTACACGGTGTCCTTGTCCACTCTGGAGATCTTCATGGCGGTCATTACTTCGCTCTCATCAAACCGGATCGCGAAACAAGATGGCTTAAATTCGACGACGATCGTGTTACCCCTGTGACTGATCGCGAAGTCTTGGAAGAGAACTATGGCGGTGAAGCACTGAATGGCATCCCTCCTCCTATGCAACGCAATCAAGTGCGCGCAATGAAGAGGTTTACAAACGCATATATGTTGGTGTATGTCCGAGATTCGGGGATTGATGAGGTTTTGGCGCCGTTTAAGGAAGAGGATACCCCACCCCACCTGAGTGGGTATTATTTCTCGTGGGCATCTTGATCATGCTGATCATTGCCCTTCAGAACGACGACTAGATGAGGAGCGCCTTCAAATCGAAGCCAAGAAGAGGGAACGAGAAGAGCAACATCTTTTCTTGACTGCCAAGGTCAGATCAATGCATTAAGGTTTTGCTCTGTCTGACGCTTCTTTAGGTTATCACAGACGACACCTTTGCTCGACACGAAGGTTTTGATTTGGCAACGTTTGATGAGAAGAACTGGCCACCATCTGAACTTCCAAGCTTCCGCGTGCTCAAACAGGAGACGTATAACACATTCAAGAGCCGTGTCGCTCAACATTTCAACTTTGCAGAAAATAAGGTTCGATTATGGGTATTAGTGAATCGGCAAAACAAGACCGTTCGCCCAGACACGCCTATTCCTGAGAACGAACCCACACTAAGTACGCTCCTTTTTATTTTCAATGAATAAGTATTAATGCATATTACATAGCTGTTGAAATTATTCGGAACAACATGGCTGCAAGACAGAATGATCTACGCTTGTACCTTGACGTGATACCTGATCCTAGCAAGGTCAGTGTGTGATTTGTCCTGAAAAAGGTGTTTTACTGAAACATGCAATAGCCTGAGCCTCCTGCCGGTTCCATTATGATTTTCGTGAAGCATTTCGACACTTCAAAACAGACCTTGTTTGGTATTGGAAAGGTATACGTTCAACGCAACAGCAAAGTTGTTGATCTTCATCCCGTTATCAACGAACGCATGCGCTGGACACCTGGCACGCCTCTCAAGCTGTACGAGGTAATGTCTACCTTCTTCTCGGTACAATTTTGGGTCTCATTTATCTTGCGTGATGATTAGGAAATTAAACCTGGCATGATCGAGTTGATGAAGCCAAAGCTCACCTTCGCACAGAGCGAGATACAAGATGGAGACGTCATATGTTTCCAGGTAGAACATTCGGAAAAAGAGTGGGTAATGTTTGTCTATGATCAGCGGTATTTTGTTAATGTTTGGCCAGAATCCATGATCTGGATAGCCAAGGGTTGTACTCTAACCCTACACAATTCTACGATTTCCTCCAAAATCGAGTCATGATTGTATTCCGACCGAAGTTTGAGGAGCCAGATCACGATCATCCCGAGTTCAGTCTCATTCTGAGCAAGAAACACAATTATGATATTGTAAGCCATTTTTCATTTTTGCATCCTGACGCGGCTCGTGATCAACATGATCACAGATGTCGCAAAAAGCTGGTGAATTCCTGAGACACGACCCAATCAAGCTACGCTTCACCACCACGCATGCTACGAACGGTGCTCCCAAGTCTGTTCTCAAGCGCTCTTTGAACCAAAGTATAGCAGAAATCATGGTGCCAAGTTACATCAACCCAACCACGACGGTTATCTTGTACGAGAAATTGGATGTTAGTATTGTCGAACTAGAGACGAAACGAAGCTTGAAGATCACCTGGACTGGTATTCACAATAAGGAAGAAGCATCGTACCCCTTCCTCCTGCCCAAGACAAGCATGATACATGACCTTGCGGATCATCTTGCCAAGCACGTAACATTGACCTCTGGTGGCACGGGTAAGATTCGGGTGTTCGAGGTGTCGAAAGATGGCAAAACGCAGAAAGAGTTTACTGGCTCAGAAATGATCGGAAACATCCCAGACCCTGTGGAGCTATACGCGGAGGTTTGTCATATTTTCTTCCTTCTCCAGGAAAATGTCCATTCAAATTGTGTCGGTGTTAGGAAATACCCCGTGAGGAGCTTGAGGCTGATGACGCAGACAAAGTCATTAGTGTCTTCCACTTCTCGAAAGAGGTATCTCGAACACACGGTGTTCCTTTCAGATTTGTTGTCAAACCTGTAAGAGTGACTCACATGCACACGATTACACATTGATGTTCTTTCTTTTTCCGTTAGGGCGAGAAATTTGCGGATACAAAGAAACGCTTACAAGCACGAATAGGCGTATCAGATAAAGATCTGACCAAATATCGATTTGCTCTCATACAAGTTGCTACCTTCAAGCAACCATCGTATATTGAAGATGGTGAGTATTGATTCAATAACTGCTGACTAACTGTGTCTCATGAACATGGCTCAGAGGATACTATATACGATCACAAATTCGCTCCAGAAGATGTCTTAGGTTTAGACCATGTCGACAAGTCAGGGAAGACTCGGACGGGTGCAGGAGAGAAAGCTATCGTTATCAGAGGTTAACACTTTGTGATGGCAGCGTCTTCACCCGCTTGTCTTGGTCCTCGATGGCAGATTTCTGTGGTTTTCGTCTCATTGTTTTCACCCATTGTACTATTCTGTCTCAATTTATACAATTTTCTCTCATTAAGATAGACCAAAGAAGTATCCCGGAGTGAACTACAGAGCCTGGACGGAGATACATGCTACTTCCGTTTCTTGCCCTTCTTTGCCGACTGATTAACCAAGTTAAAATCACTCGCAACTGAAGACAATATAGGACGAACCGATTTTGATGGTGACTGAGAAACTGAGCCAGCAGGGGTATTTGGTCCCTCACCATCGCTGGAGACAACACTTTCGGAGCGGGTGGTTGGCGGTGAAGTGAGACCGTTGGTTGGTTTCGAAGGAGCGACTGAAGCGGGAGCAGGAGCATTTTTGGCACTGGCATTCTGGGCTGCATTTTGCTGAGGGGCTGGAGGGCCATGCATCACAGTTACGGGTAAAATTGCAGGGATATCTAGAGTCTTGGCTTGCTTTCCGTATTTTTGTTCTGAAAACACTGGTCAGCAAATGATGATTTGTAAAATAAGAAAATTTTAATAACCTTTGCGTGCTCTTGCCGCAACAGTATCCTCAAGCACGCTGCGCATTTTTTCATTGGCGATCACCTCGTTTGCTGTCTGGAAGATGATAGAACCCCATCCTTCTACAAAAGTATTCGCCTCTGCCACGACTTCCATGATCTCTGCTTCTAATTCTTTTTCTGCTGCAAGTAAGCTGTTCCAGAGGTCGTCGCCTATTGATCCTTTTTGAAGCAAGTTCTGGAGCGCAGGCTTGTCTTCACGCAGGCGCATTACGCGGCCTACATCGGCCATGGCTCGACGAATGAGAGCGGCCTTCAAGAGAGCTTCGTTGGCGGGAGGGTCGGTACGCTGCAATAATGTGACATATATGTTACGTTCTGGATGTGAAGGAAAGTATGGCTCGTAGCGTTTGCCTAATTAGCAGTGACACGTTCACAGTTCAGATACAAGGATAGCGCGAAGACAGTTGACCAACCAACCTGCAGTGCGTTTCCGATAGAAATGGCTGAATACTAGCAAGCTGCTGATTACGATGGCGATGTATAGGACGGGAACGAGAACGGAGGCCATAGTGGACCGAGAGAAAGATGGTGAACAGACGTATACGTTGTACCCGCGACGACATGCGCTGGCCGAACTGTGCCACGAGGGAACAGCGATTAGGCTGTTTGTTGTAGTTTGTGCCGAGTGGCATACCGAGTGGTAGTCTACTTCCGGGTTCCGAGGCCTGGGTGTACGGCCGCAATGACTTTATAAACTGCTCAATCGTCATATTCACCACTCAACCTCCACCGCCCAGCTTTCTCGTTTATACGCTCACAATGTTTGGACGCAGCAGCTTTTTGACAAAGTCTGTCTCAAGGACAATATCCTTCAATGCCGCTTTCAGAAGGCTTGCTTCTACGAAGGTACGCCACGGATCCTCCTGTCAATCATTTGTTTTACCAATTAGGTATTCCCAATGCCAAATCATCTAGTCGCTCAAAGAAACGCTTCAAGAAGTCATTCCAGCTAAGCAGGAACAGCTCAAGAAGTTGGTCAGCATATGTCTTTCCAAAGATAATAATGTCTACTGACGTGTCTGACATGATCAGAAAGCTGAACACAGTCAAACTGTAGTAGGAGATGTAAAGGTACGTGTCCGTAGCTTATATTGATCGGAACAATGTATAACGCGATTTTCAGGTTGAAAATATACTCGGTGGAATGAGAGGCCTCAAAGCCATGCTTTGGGAGGCCTCTGTTCTGGACCCCAACGAGGTATGTCAATAAACTACCGAATTACTAGATTTCAGTGTCACGCCTTTATTGCAGGGCATTCGTTTTCATGGCTTAACCATTCCAGACTGTCAAAAAGTTCTTCCTTCTGCACCCGGAGGTAAAGAAATGACGGCGGAGAGTATGCTTTGGCTTCTGCTCACTGGCCAGGTTCCTTCTCCTGAACAAAGTCGCCAGCTTTCTGCCGAGCTGGCGGAGAAGGGCGAGTTGCCTGATTTCGTTGCGAAACTCATTGACTCGTATGATCTTCTTCCTTTCATTCACATGCTATGGCCCTCATATTGGCACGTTTGAAGTTTGCCCAATACCCTTCACCCCATGACCCAGCTTGGCATGGGTGTGGCTGCATTGAATCATGACAGTGCTTTCCAGGCGGCTTACGAACGAGGCATCAAGAAAAGCGATTATTGGACTCATACTCTAGAGGACTGTATCAACCTCATTGCACGTTTACCCGCCCTTGCAGCGCGCATATACCGCAATGTTTATCACCCTGAGAACTCGCTCCTCCCCGTTGACAAGAATCTGGATCTTGTTGGTTCGTAAGGCTGTTTGAGCATAGTGTTGTTCAATTTTTACCTCTGTCACAACAGGAAACTATTCCAATATGCTCGGCTTTGGACACAATGAACATCTTACGGAATATCTTCGCCTTTATATTGCCCTTCATGGTGATCACGAAGGTGGCAATGCCTCGGCTCACACTGCACGTGAGTATATTTACGCGCAACTCAGGAAGTAGGGAATTAAGCTATCTGCTGGGACAGACCTCGTCGGATCTACACTTTCAGACCCCTACATTTCCTACTCTGCTGCGTTGTTCGCCCTCGCTGGGCCACTCCACGGGTAAGAATTCGAGAATTTGAGTTGGTTGAATTACGTCGTCTCACTTTTCATCTCCAGTCTTGCCAACCAGGAAGTACTACGATGGCAGTTGGCAATGCAGAAGGAAATTGGAAATGAAGTCTCCCACGACAAGATCAAGGATTACCTCTGGAAGACGCTAAAGAGTGGCCAGGTCGTGCCAGGGTGAGCTCTTGTATGCCCGTGCAAGATTAACGCATCTAGAACTTTTATCTGCTAGTTACGGTCACGGTGTTCTAAGAAATCCCGATCCGCGGTTCATTGCGCTTCAAGAATTCTGCAAGTCCCGACCGGAACTTCAATCAAGCCCTATCATCCAGCTTGTGCAACAAGTAAGTGGACATGCTGAAGTGCCGGCAGAGATGATAAATCTTGCAATAGACTGCTGAAGTAGCACCCGACGTGTTGAAAGAACATGGCAAGGTAATAATCATTATCTGGATAAACCATTCAAGTCGTCTGAGCATATGTTATCACAGACCAAGAACCCGTACCCCAATGTTGACGCGACATCCGGTGCGCCTACCGATTTTATAATTTTTTGCATTAGACCTCATCCCTGATGATTGTTATCATGCCTTCAGGCTGCGTACTGCACCACTATGGTCTTACAGAATTTAAGGTAAGCATGCCACGCTTTATCACGATGTTCAGTTTATTGACATCATTCACTACTGTAGTACTACACTGTTATTTTCGGTGTATCTAGAGGTTAGTTCTCTTATCGTGCCTTATCGCTGGTGCTAAATTGAGCTACTCCCACAGCTTTGGGAGCTTTGACGCAACTTGTGTGGGCAAGAGGTGCGCTATTTTCCAGTATCTATGATACGGCTAATCATGTTATTCTCGCAGCTCTTGGACTACCCCTGGAGAGACCAAAATGTATGTTCCTCACCAATTTTGGGCCAATTGTAAATTAACCAATGCAAACAGCATATTCCATGGATGCTCTTGAGAAACTCATCAAGAGTTCCTAGACAAAGGGGACTCGATGATCTATTTATGTTCAGGGTTCCTCATGGCAGTGATGTAGGAGTTGCATAGACGTTTCACATACTAGTAATAAATATCATTATGCCTTATATTCGGAATTAAATGTTTAGAATTAGTGGTGCTAAATTTATGCATTGCATTCGAAGTACTGGCTGCTGATACCTTACATCCACAAAAGAAAAGTAAAAACATGGCAAAGGTAAGGCGACTCATACGAGTTCGTTACAGTAAGAAAACGAGAACCAGAAATAATAAAGGACAAGAAAAAGACATTCTTGAATCAAATACAGCGGAAGTCTCACAATAAGTACCGAACCATGAAAGAGTCCACCAAAATACACAAACGCTCAGGGAAAAGAATAGCACGGCCGCCTACCCTGAGTAACTACAACGTATAACCCTCGGTGAATGATAAATCAGAAACGAGAGGCAAAGACATTATCCACAAAGAATGAATCTCAATTACGAATCCAGCACCACATATGAAATTCCTATTTCTCAAAAACGTCCAGGCTGGCCCTGCCGCTGAGGGGGGAACTGCTGAGGATGCGGTTGCATCTGCTGTGGTTGCATCTGTTGTGGCGGTGGGCGGCCAGCATACATGCCTGGGGGTACAGGCCCCGGCCCCCCCGGCCCAGGCATGCCAACGCGTTGTTGAGGAGGCTGACGTCCTGGACCAGGTACGAAGCCTGGCGGGGGTGCGGGATAACCACCGGGAGGCATGGGTCCTGCACCTAGAGGTGGGGGACCTTGGCCTGGCGTAAAACTGCGAGGAGGGTATCCTTGCGGCGGGCGACCATTGGGCATTGGACCAGGACCAGGACCAGGACCAGGTTGTGAATGTAGAGGAGGAGGGCCACGCTGGGGTTGTTGCTGAGGAGGGCGCGGCTGACCTTGAAGGGCAGGACCAGACGCTGGACCAGGATCATGGAGGGATACGGGAGTGGGACGACCATTGGATGCAACCGATGGAGATGGCGTAGATCCTCCGGGTGGCGGCGGGTTTTTCTCAGCAGCTTTGATAATCTCATCACTGTTCATTGATGATCAAGTGTCAAAAGGAGAAAGACAGATACACAATCAGTAATCCTTCTTCAACAATAAGAGACATGATAAAGCGCACTCTAAAAGATTCAGCGCGGCGCAGAGGACTACCCATTCAACGCAGTCTTCGTTACCTTCTCCAAGCGTCTGCCATACGGCCTTTTCTTCCGGCGTTTTACCGGTGATGCTAATCCTTGTGCCACCGCCGTTGGGACCGGGGGGGTTCTTCTGAATTTTCCCAAACTCGATTCGCTTCGGGGGTATATTATGACCAGCATATGCAAAATAAAACATGCTCCAAAATGCAGCGTTAGGATTCGGTTTCGAGATCTGGAATAAAGGGAGATCGGGAGAATCTGGAGAGGGAAGGGATAACTTGTAGATAGGCGAAATTACACCAGTGTTCGCGATAGACCATTTGAGGTTGCGAGACGCTTCACATCGCACGATCCGCGAAGGTGAGGAAGAATGACCCGGGTCGGAGGCTGTCGCCTTGCCACCGCCATTGGGACGTGGAGGAAAAAGTTTGGCGACACAAAGATCACCTTGAGGGGAGGGAGTCAAGAGGTAGTTCTCGGAATTCTATAGCCGCCGTGAGACGATAACGCGCAGAAAGACGATGGAGGAAGACATACGAAATTGGTATGGAGATAAGAGTACAGGATATTGGAGGGTTGTCCTATAAAACACAGCATTAGCACCATTGTGTTTAAATGAAAACAGATAGAAACGGTATTGCATACCATGAGGTGTCACAATCAGAGTAGGAAGATGATTTGGTATCGGCGGGTGAGTTGGCGAGGTATATACTGCATAAATGGCTAGAAGGTGTTGTCATTTGAGCGGAAACACAAGATAAAACGAGTTTTGGATGCTCACCAGCCATTTGCTTGCAAGAACAAAACTAAAAGGAATGTCGACGCGGGGAAGGTGGAGGACGAGAAACAACCAACCTGTAGTAACTTGAAACTGTTACCGCAGTCACGAGCGTTCGCTAGTCTGAGCTAAATTAAATATTTATGCTATTTTGGGCACTTTGGTGCTAATTTCAGGATTGGCTCGCGCCTGTTGTCTCAATGTTATCCAGGCTGGGCTAAAACATAGTAAAGCAGCAAAACCGCACTGAAACCACTTCATCAAGCTTTTCATCAGCTGTGTGCCTAGCCTCGTAAATATGAAGTAAAAGTCATGTAAATTTTGTCGAAATCGTGGAACTGGGCAACCAAATGATGCTGATGGCAGTACGTTGGGTGCGTTACTTGGTCACAGAATGTGACATACGTGGTTGGTGGTGCCCTCATCGATCCCGTCAGTGGCAAATAACATTCTGCCAGCGATCCTCAACGCTCTTCGAAAAAAAGCACAACATCTGGGTCATCACGGATCTCTTCTGCGGAGCCGTGCTCTATCATAACCTTCCAAAATGAAAGGACTAAAGAAATCTTTCGTATGCTACTTATCTTTCAAATCCATCGCCATGTCCTTACTTTTCTTCCTTGATTCACAGCTCAACAGGAAGAGTTCTCAAGATTCAAGCTCTTCAAAAAACAAGGATTCCAAGTCTAACAACACACCAGCTGCAGCGCCTCCTCCACCTCCTCCCAATACCGCGAAGCCTCTTCCTCAGCCCGTTCCTGCAGTTGGGGGTCAATCCAGCAGCATTCCACCATCCTCTTCCGTCCCTTCTCCTGCTGCTTCTCCTGCCACTCCTGATCGTAGGTTTGCCTCGTCAGGTAACTCATCTCCTATTCCACCCATAGTCGTCGTTAGCTCCGACACACCCTCAGACTTAGGTGGTGGCAGATCTGGCCAATATGGCTCTCCCGAGCGAACATCGTTAAATTTGGACCATGGTGGTAATGCTACTCCTCCACGCGCAAATACCTTGAATCGACTTCGCTCGGGTCCAAGAGATACGATTCCTATCGTGGGTAAACCTCCCCGCAAACAGAGGAGCAGCCGCTTTGTCGTCACCGAAAAAGTAGACATCGAACGCTTGCCTCCTTTCGCAGGTGTGTTATTTGGCTTTGCGATTGTCTACACATCTCAACAGTTGTTTGGCAGAGACTCCCCCCAGCGAGCGGTCGCAATTGTTTATAAAGAAACTTCATCAATGTCGCGTATTATTCGACTTCAATGATGCTAGTGCAGAGCTTAAAGGTAAACAGATAAAAGCTCAGACTCTCCACGAGATGTTGGATTATATCACCACCCAACGTGGGGTGATTACTGAGAACATATACCCTGAGGTTGTGAACATGGTCTGTGCTCTAACTTTTTTCGTTTGTCAATGGTATACTCAAATCCAGTTTCAGTTTGCTACCAACCTCTTCCGTTCCATACCACCTCCCGTAAACCCTACTGGAGATGCTTTCGATCCAGAGGAGGACGAGCCTGTTCTTGAATTGGCATGGCCTCACCTGCAGATCGTTTACGAATTTTTCTTAAGATTTGTTGAAAGTCCCGACTTCAACACCAACTTAGCGAAGCGATATATCGACCAACCATTCGTCCTGAACCTCCTAGAACTCTTTGACTCCGAAGATCCACGAGAGCGCGACTTCCTCAAGACCACGCTGCATCGGATTTACGGCAAGTTCCTCAATCTGCGTGCGTTCATCCGTCGTTCCATCAACAATGTCTTCTATCATTTCGTCTACGAGACCGAACGGCACAATGGCATTGCAGAGCTGCTGGAGATCTTAGGGTCCATTATCAATGGATTTGCGCTACCCCTCAAAGATGAACACAAGACATTCCTGACTCGGGTTCTTATTCCGCTTCACAAAGTGAAAAGTCTTTCACTGTATCACCCCCAGCTCGCATATTGCGTAGTTCAGTTCCTGGAAAAAGATCCTTCGCTGGCGGAGGAAGTGATGCTAGGTTTACTCAAATACTGGCCGAAAGTGAACTCGCCGAAGGAAGTTATGTTCCTCAATGAAGTCGAGGAAGTGTTGGACGTCACCGACCCCGTGGAATTCCAGAAAATCCAGACCTCGCTGTTCCAACAACTTGCCCGATGCATTAATAGTCAGCATTTCCAAGTGGCGGAGCGTGCCTTACTATACTGGAACAATGAGTATGTTGTCAATCTGATGAGCGACAATCTAGCTATAATTTTGCCAATTGTGTTCCCTGCCTTATACACTAACTCCAAGTCGCATTGGAACCGGTAAGCTGCCCTGATCTGACTTTGGGTGTCCTTGTTGATGAAACATATTCAGAACAATACATGGAATGGTATACAATGCGCTGAAATTATTTATGGAGATAAACCCCGACCTTTTTGACGAGACGACGCAACACTATAAGCAACGCAAGATTGAGTAAGTGGTTCAACCACTGGACGCTGATAATGTATAATGACTTATTTTGCATGTTTTCGCAGAGAACAACAACACGCAGTTGATCGATATGATCAGTGGCAGAAGATGCGAGAGAAGGCGATAGAGAATGCCGGGGGTAAGCTGCCTCAAGGATTTGTGGAGATCGAGCATGCGCCGCCTCCACCACCCTCTGCCGCAGACGACTCGGATATTCTGGAACTGTCGATGGAGCTGAATGCTGTGTCAATCGATGGAGAGGTGCCTGGAGATTTGGATGAAAGTGGGATCGAGAGAGTTCCAATGGCTGATCCTGGTCTAGATGTAAGTGCACGATGAACCGTCGTTGTCACAGGTCTCATTTCTGATTGGTACCCTAGCGCCCATTCCCCGAGGTTTCGGGTGAGCACTCTCCAGTATCACAGAGTCCTCACGTGCGAAGGAAGAGTGTACTCCCTGGTTAGTGCATGGAATCTCGTTTCACTGGTCAGGTTTGTCATTCATTGCAATATGTACAGTGGACCCTTCTGTCATTCGTGATCTTCAAGCCCATCGAAGTCTAGATGATGCGGTTGTTTCAGGAGGAGTGCGCACCAATGGGGCCTGAAGATGAAATCGATGAAACGTGATGAGCTGTCTTTGCTTTTCGTGTGTTAATAGTTCCCAGTGCGAAGATACATTCATGATAATTCATAACGTCCGGCTATCCTTTACTTTCCATCCGCTGCGCGCCTGTTGTTTTTCATGATAGTGGTTATGCTCTTAGTTACGTTCACTTGCCTACGCTTCTTCGAGGAGTATGTATTTTCAAGTTCCAAAGGATACGTATACAACTGGATGCGTATCATTTCTGTCTCGTTTTATTTCCCGTACAGTAAACATCTCCGTTAGAAGAATACTTTGGACATCAGCCCTATATATCTGCAACATACCAGTCCTTTCTCATGCGTTCCAGTATCGCCTCGAGGATGCAGTGAGGTTTGACGGCGAGCCGTGTAAACAGGACTTGCCATTTAAGGGTGATGCATAGCAGTTGTGCTAACGTAAGCTATCTACGTCAGGAGAGAACCCTCTAGAACAGTGAAGGAACGTCCTGGAATGACGAGGAATATCACATCATATATAAGGATGGCTCCTTCTTCGTTTTTTTCTTCAGCTGATCAGTTTTCAATCACCTGTTTTTGTATCTCCTAAGTAAGCATCTTCGACGAAATCAATATTATCCTTTTCATCTCTAGCGATCTTCCAGTCACATCCATTAAAAATGTCGAAAGCCATCGGTATCGATTTGGGCACCACTTATTCGTAAGTGTCATATTTTGTCCAATTGTTGGTGCTGTGCTCATTCTGGCTTGCTTTTCAGTTGTGTCGGTGTATGGCAGAATGACCGTGTTGAAATTATCGCCAACGACCAGGGCAACCGAACGACCCCCTCATATGTATCATTCTCCGATAACGAACGGTTGATTGGTGACGCTGCGAAGAATCAGGTCGCCATGAACCCCCACAACACGTAAGTATTATGTTGTCGACTAATGTTCAGACAGTAGATCTCATCACATCTACCTGTAGCGTTTTCGACGCTAAGCGTCTCATTGGTCGTAAATTCGATGATGCCGAAGTTCAATCAGATGTGAAGCACTTCCCCTTCAAGGTGTTCAGCAAGACTGGCAAACCATACATTTCCGTTGAGTACCGTGGTGAGACCAAGGAGTTTGTGAGTACCCCTGTTTTTCGTCCTATGATCAAATGACTCAATCTACTTTAGTCTCCTGAAGAAATCTCTTCAATGGTTCTCTTGAAGATGAAAGAGACGGCCGAATCGTATCTCGGTGCCAACTGCAACAACGCTGTTGTTACGGTCCCCGCCTACTTCAATGACTCTCAACGACAGGCCACCAAAGATGCCGGAACCATCTCTGGCATGAACGTTCTCCGTATCATCAACGAGCCCACAGCTGCTGCCATCGCATACGGCTTGGACAAGAAAGTGACCGGCGAGCGGAACGTCCTTATTTTCGATCTCGGAGGAGGAACTTTCGATGTCTCTCTCTTGACTATTGAAGAAGGTATCTTCGAGGTCAAGGCCACTGCTGGTGACACTCACTTGGGCGGTGAGGACTTCGACAACCGTCTCGTCAACCACTTCGTCCAGGAATTCAAGCGCAAGAACAAGAAAGGTAAGGAGACATGTTCGATGTGGTGATTCCAGCATGTGACGTTAATCTTCCTCTACAGATCTCTCGTCGAATCCTCGTGCTCTCCGTCGTCTCCGCACTGCTTGCGAGCGTGCTAAGCGCACTCTCTCTTCTGCGACCCAAACTTCCATCGAAATTGACTCCCTTTTCGAGGGTATTGACTTTTACACTTCATTAACTCGTGCTCGTTTCGAGGAATTGTGCCAAGATCTTTTCCGAAGCACACTTGAGCCCGTCGAGAAGGTTCTCCGCGACTCTAAGATTGACAAGGCTAACGTTCACGAGATCGTTTTGGTTGGTGGTTCCACTCGTATCCCTCGTATTGTCAAACTCGTGTCAGACTTCTTCAATGGCAAGGAGCCCAACAAGAGCATCAACCCTGACGAAGCTGTCGCCTACGGTGCTGCCGTTCAGGCCGCAATTCTTTCTGGTGACACTTCTGAGAAGACCCAGGACCTCTTGCTCCTCGATGTTTCTCCTTTGTCGCTTGGTATCGAGACCGCTGGTGGTGTCATGACTGCCCTCATTAAACGTAATACTACTGTCCCCACCAAGAAGTCGGAGACTTTCTCCACTTACTCCGACAACCAGCCAGGTGTCCTCATCCAAGTGTACGAGGGTGAACGTGCACGGACGAAGGACAACAACCTCCTCGGTAAATTTGAACTTTCTGGTATCCCTCCTGCGCCCCGTGGTGTTCCTCAAGTTGAGGTCACTTTCGATATTGATGCCAACGGTATCTTGAACGTGTCTGCGTCGGACAAGACTACCGGAAAGTCGAACCGTATCACCATCACCAACGACAAGGGTCGTCTATCCAAGGAAGATATCGAGCGCATGGTTTCTGAAGCTGAGAAATATAAAGGTATGTATTTTTGCTAATTCTCGTCAATTATAGTAGTCTAACCAAATATGGTTGTAGCTGAGGATGAAGCTGCTGCTTCTCGTATCACCGCGAAGAACGGCCTTGAATCATATGCCTACAACCTTCGTAACTCCATCAGTGATGAGAAACTTGCCGACAAATTCGAAGCTGCTGACAAGGCCAAACTCGAGTCTGCAGTCAACGACACCATCTCGTGGCTTGATGCTTCACAAGAGGGTTCGAAAGAGGAGTATGAGGAGAAGCAGAAAGAATTGGAGGCCATTGCTAACCCCATCATGCAGAAGTTGTACGGTGCAGCAGGAGGTGCTCCCGGCGGTGCTCCCGGCGGATTCCCTGGCGGTGGATTCCCCGGTGCGGGTGGAGCACCTGGTGGATTCCCTGGTGCTGGTGGAGAGGATGGTCCCAGTGTGGAAGAGGTCGACTAAACGCCTCGTCTGTCACGATTTTCTTTTGCATCATCTCGGTCCTCATACGTTGCATAGTTGGTATACGATCTTAATGACACACATTACAAAATAATGAACCGCAGTGTACGCTAGTGCAGTTTTAGAATGATTTCTTTTTATTCTCGCAAATCCTTTTGGCATGTGATGAGTACTTTGTGAGAAAACGATCGTTATGATATATTAGTCAACCCGAGGTATCCGGTATTTGTTGTGTAATGCAAACTATTGTACTGGTTTTTGCTCTCGTCGTTGTGTAACGCGACACAGAGCGGCTGGTGACTGCTGCCGACCAGCATGCATGTGCGTACAAACCGGCACTATCCACTCGAACCTGATCATGACCACATCTTCCCAATTCGGCTCGACTTAGAATGATTCAACGTAAAATCCACAGGACTACCCGAGTCTCACCAGTGTACGACGACCTACTGTCGTTAGACACGCCAAGAAGATATCACAGGGTATAAGAGAGTCAATGTAGGATTCTAATCGCTCTTGATCACATGCCCAGCATCTCTGAATCCTGTATTTTCTGTCCACTAGCTAAGTCTTTAGTGGCCCATCCTCGACTTATTATTATTCTAATTAATACACACGTTCATGAAGATCAATGTACTACATCATCCTTGCGTCGCCCCATTCGATGACTTGATTTTACATACTGTAAAGGATGCTGTTATCGCACTATGCGATGGCATGTGGGGCCTCTCCAGACGCTTAGACTTGAGCGCCGAGTGCCCCGCCTCTTTCGACAGCCATGCCTTTCTAGTTGACGACCCTTGCCCATGGTGATCGTTAGATTCATTACCATTCATCCGCGTTCAACGGCAGTTGCAAAGGATTCCGAGTCTTATCCGATTGCTTTTTCAGGACCTTTTTTCACGGCTGTTCTGATAAGTAAACACCAAATATAACACTGGCTCCTCCTGATCTACAGTGTACCTACAGTAAGATTACTCTTATTCTTCAGTTATATTCCAGGTCGTTCAGAATCATTTTATTTTCATCAGAATTACGAGTTCCCAATCTCTTCCAAGACTTTTTTTCTCCCTATCAGCTCCTCATCATCTTTGAGACTAGAAACGTAGCAACCTCCACTACATTATAGCCCATCACATATGAGCTCTCCTGCTGCAGTATCTTCGTATCTAAATTATAGCGACAGTATAAGGGCAGGCCAACACACCGGTCCCTCACAGGGCCACAATATCTTCAGCGCCAAGTCCGGATTCAAATCGTAAGTTTCTCGGTGTCATTATGTTGGCTGCTGACGCTCGAAGTCGACCCATAGCTCTGGTGCCTGTGTTCATTGTAAATCGCTCAAGGTAACCGTAATCGAGGCAGTGGTTCGTCTCCTGACTTATAGCATGATACGTACCGTAGGTTCGCTGTGAATTCAACCCCGGTGAAAACGTGTGCCAGCGGTGTCAGGCAGGTCAGCATTCGTGCGTCGGGCGGCGACGCAAGAAGCGCAAGGAGGCACCGTGAGTGATGCTCACGCTTTGTTGGTCTTGCGTAATTTAGCATCCCGCAGGAGTCAAGAAGAGCTACAAGAAAGATCATTTGCACAGGATCGTCATATAAAATCTTTGTTACAGCGACTAGATCAGTTGAAACTAGAGCATAGAATTAACAGCTGGATGAGGAGTCCACAATCAAATCTCGACCATAGAAGTGGAGTAGTTAACATATTTGGTGGGCATTAGAACGGCCTTCCTCGCGCCCTCTGTAATCTTCACTGATCCGTAAAAAATAGGATTAAACAAAACCAACGACGAAGATGTTAAACTCACACACATTGCTCAGGCTTCATCATTACAGGCTGTAAGTGAGCATTTCCCCCCTGGTGAGCCTCTTGGTCTGTAAGTGAAGTTTTTTGCAACCCTTATTATGCCTTTTGTGCAGGGTCTTCATCATCATTGCCCCCAACTATCGTCAAATACTGCGCCCTGCTGCCAACCGAGATCGTGGACCTTTTTGACATGTATGTCGATTTCCCCGCTTCTTTTCTCTGGAGAGATGTTAAAGACAACACGTTCAACACAGATATTTTGAGAAAATTAATGCAAGTAGACAAGACACAGCTTTAGCACCCTTTGACATACCTCCCCTTCTCTAGCCTTATTTCTCTGTCTTGGATCCTGAATATCATACTGCCGCAAGACTTATCTGGTCGAGCCCCTTCCTTTTTACTGTCAGTGAGTGCGTAATACTTGTGTTACAAGTACACTTATGCCGAATTGGAACTTGTGCTATTCAGTTTGTGCAGTCGCTGCCCGGCATTATAACAAGCGTCCTAATTTCTATTCCCTTGCGATGGAGTTTGCCAAAGATGCAGCAGGGAAAACGCTCATTGAACCTCTGAAAAGCGTGGACATATGTCAGGCCTACCTTATACTATCTGTCTATCCAGAGCCCAAGAAGAAGTGGGCAGACGATCGTAGTTGGCTTTTGATGGGAGTTGCATTCAGGTAGATCTTTATTTTTCTTTTCACCAAAATCCTTCTGGACTGATGAACGATAGGATGGCGCATGATCTTGGCCTTGACGTTCCTCCTGCTGACTCGATGGATGAACGTGAGAGATTAAATCGAACGAGAACTTGGCTAAACTGTTTCTGCGTGGATGGTTCATACGCCACACAGTTTGGAAAATCTTCCTTAATATCCTTGAATGACTATTTGGCCCGCTGTTCAGGAAATTGGTACATGCTGTCTTCTCTGAATCAACCTACTGATATCCATCTATGCGGCTACGTCCATCTCATCACCGTCATGTTGGATTTCCAGGCGGCGCTCCGTGACCCTCTCGAAAACAAAAAGGTAATCAATATGATAAGCTTACATTACAACATTGCTCACATGTCAGTAGCATGCTGATGTGGTCATCATCGCAATAGAGTATGACCAAAAGCTATCCCAGGACTTCGAATCGTGGAACCGAAGATTCGCTGAGGACCCAAATTGCCTTGGTGAGCGGAATACTATGAATAAGGCTTTCAAGAGCGTTAACATGTACTTTGCAGAACCTATCTGCCAGTATAGAGCGGCCACGTTCCATTTGTAAGTGTATGTAGATTTCAATCGCTCGTATGATGCTTGAATATGTTATACACAGGATTGTCGCATATCTCAGGCTAGTAGTTTTGTCCATGGGCTTTCAGAATGCAGTTAAATCAGGAATTTCCCGCCATTCCTACGTCGTGCAACAGGCAAGTATTCCGAATTTTCTCTGATTTCTCCCAAGAGAAATGCTAAATTAGGCAAGCAGTCACTATACTCCGCTTCCACCGCTATACAGATTATGACGGAACGTTTATTTCCGAGTGGAAGGCTTCGGTACGCACTGGAGGTATGTCTAGTATACTACATTATAATTTAGCCATTTTATCCTGAATTGACGGCACAGTCGTACTTTCTATTTGTGGCCTTTTCAGCATCTTTCCTACTCAACGTAGGTCCCTTTTGCGGATACATACTTTACTGAAGTTGAATATTGTTTTATATACAGCTTTTAAGGTCGAAGTTCCACCCTCTCACAGACGAGGCTGAGAAGCGAAATATAGTATACATCGTCCAGAAGTTAATTCAAGTTCTGGGATCTAGCGCTGTTGCCGTGGATGGTCGACACACACCTGCACTTTACTCTCGGTTCCTGTCTTCTTTGCTCAAGAAGTACGACAGCACCAACCGTAATTCCGATAGCGAAGGCTCGGTGATGGGGACTGTCGTGCACCCCACAGCTGACCATGAATTATCTGCACACGTTTCTTATTGGCCTTATGCGATGAATGCTTCGCGTGGTTTTCCGTCGGAAGTGTCAACCCATGGCTCGGAGTATCAAACACTTGACACGATAAGGCAAGACAGGCACGAGGCGGATATGGATTTTAGCATGCAACATTTTATTAGCGTAGTAGCAGCACAGCCTGAAAACCGACCGATTCAACAACGCCTAGCGCAGAACTCGGTCAGGGGAGCAAGTTCCGTAGTTCTGGACGACGATTATGATTACACTTCGGGTGTTCTGGTTTCAGGATACAGTCGTGGCGACTTTAGTCCCTCAGGGGCGCGTTCTGTTATGTACTGAGGTCTGGTCCTTATAGGCTTTTATGCGGTGACAGTGCGAAGTTCTACAATTTTGATGTTTTCCGTTCACTTACACTATTGGCGATGCCACAGGCTACGCAAATCGAGTTATTGAATAGGTCACTTTTCGCGCGTTTATGTCTGATGCATGAATCTATAACTTCTACGGAGAGAGCGACGGTCAAAGCTGGCTGTCAGGGGAATTTTGTGACTGCAACGTAACTGCCGCGGGAACTCGTTGACTATGACTTTTTTCTTATCGCTATTGAGATTTTGCGCCGTCTGTAAACCCCATACGGCCTCACGACAGTACAAAAGATATTGACACGCATGTAGCTTTACAATATATATCGTGTTCCATATAGAGGTCAAAGTGGACTAATAACTCGGAGATACATTGTAATGGGCACACCACTCATTGAGCCAGCCACACACAACCAAATTTGTGCATAGCCACTAAGATGGACCGGTTTTACGTTTGTCACGGTGGTCATTGTATGTCATGTTGGATGGCTGGCTGTAGTTCTCAGTCCCCTCTCTCTGCTGTCATCGTGTATTAAAAGGAATTGTTTAACTCTCGAAATTCTGGGTATAGCATGGCTGACCGGCAAACGCGACCTGCGCCGCAGCTAATCAAGTCCGTTTCAGACAAATCCTGAAAGATACAGTGTTTAACCCTTTCATCGCTGCTTTCCAGGCTCGTGTACGATCAACTCTTTCATAGTGGAAACAGTCTCTCAAGATTGAAAGAGGCAGCTTTAGGAGGCAGGCTTTTTCGGTCAATAAATGACGGTATTGGGGTTGCAGGCAGAAGCCTGGCTTGGAAGGTGATGTTGAGCCATTCCCTCGTTTGAAACATCGCATATGAATATCACTTTCAGCTATTCCTACTACCGCTAGAGCCGCTGGAGCCTCCCCCCAATGTGCCGCCTACCCCTCCTATCGACTCATTGCGTAAATCTCGCATGGAATATTCGCATCTGCTGCTGGACAAGATGCGAGCGCCTGATGGAAGCTACGTGGAAGGATTTACGGTACCAGGCTTAACTGTGCCAAGGAAGGACCAATCTGGTGCGGCTGATCTTGAGACGAACAACCCTCTGAGTTTGCACGACGAGGTGTGAATTCGATGGACTGACCTCAGATTGCACTTGTCATTGATAAAATCCTGCTTGAAGAATCCCTGGAAAGCATGGTTTGCATCCGTTGAACTTAGAAAAACGATTCTCCAAGATGTGGAACGCACGTGCGTCTCCTATTCTACATCGCCGACGTGATTTGACAAGCATTTTCAGATTTCCCGACATCGGTTATTTTCGAAATCAGGACGTACAACAACAGCTTACTAATGTACTTTTTCTCTACGCTGTTATGCATCCTGACATCGGCTATCGTCAGGGGATGCACGAACTGTTAGCTCCCCTATACTTTGCTATAGGTTTGTGGTATTTATCCTCCATTTGTATTTTTTTTTTGACTTGCTCGATCTTAGATTTTGACTCCATCTCTGAGAGTTCAGAGACACCTGGATCTGACTTCACCTTTCAAGAAATCTGCTCAAGAACTTGGGTAGCAGCAGATTCCTGGGCACTATTTTTGTCTGTGATGCGTGGTATATCTCGGTGGTATGAATGGCGTGAGGCTATTGCGGTGACTGAATCCAACGCTCTGGGCGCAAACGGTCAAGTAACCCTTAAGCCATATGTCGCACCCATTGTAGAAACCTGCAATAAAATACAAGGAACTTTTCTCAGGACCGTCGACCCTGCGTTATACAAATCCATGCAGAGTGCCGGTATCGAGCCTCAAATATACGGAATGTGTGTGCTATTTTGAAATCGTGTCCTAAGGAATTGAATTAATTTTTTCTTCCAGACGGTGGCTTAGACTACTCTTTACTCGAGAGTTTCCCATGCATGATGCGATGGCACTTTGGGATGGCTTGTTTTCTTGTGTATCTTCAATAGCTGATACCACCGAGTGGATATGTGTTGCTATGTTGATACGTATACGAAACAAACGTGGGCTACATTTAGTGCACAGTGCATGGTTCGATATTGATATATTTATTGCGTGCAGTGATACCTTCCGACTATAGCACTCAATTGACCTATCTATTGCGTTATCCACCGACGGAGGAAGGTTCGCTAAACCACATCATTCTTTTGCTGCGACAAGCAGCGGCACTAGAAATGACACGAACGCCTTCTACCGGTGCATCATTAGTCGTGGAAAATCGTAATATATTGAATATTCCTGTCGACATTCCAGATCCTCCTATGGGCCGACGTAGACCTCGGCCCGGGGAGAGAGGTCATCAAGTTTCTCCCTCTGAAGGGCATTTTCAAGGTATCACTGGTGCGCACGGAGAGAACATACGGTCACCGTCACATCAAATGGGAATTCCAGAACTACTCGCCCGTGGTCTCTTGGATCGTGGAGAGAGCTTAGGCATCAATAAAACTTTCATGAACGCGGTATCTGAGCTTAAGGTGTGCAAAACCCTAATTCACACCGACTGTTTATTTATTCATTTAAACAGCGTAACCTACCCGATTTGGCTGCTTCTCTTGTACGGACACCATCTGCATCATCAGCTTCGTATGCAGCCTATCCTCTGCTGGATGAGCGGCCCCAAGAAGAAAGGCCATCCTGGGAGCCTCGCAGTCGATTTGAAATGGAACGGGAAGTGTCTGAAATGCGGCAATTGAACAAACGGTTAGGAGAATCAGTCGGCTGGATTGTTGACGTCCTTCTTCAAGATGAGGATGGTATTGAAGATGCTCAACAGCTTTCGACGATACAGAATAAAAAGCGCGAGGCTCTGGAATCTCTTTCGTATGTCCGTGATGTGCTAAACAGTGGCGTAAGTAATGTCGAGGAGGATCGATTATGGGGGGCAGATGAATATAAAAGGAGAGAAGAAAAGTACCAGGCAGAAGCATCGGAGAACGAGGGCAGAGAAGAGTCATCGCAGCTCAATGTGCCTCGCTCTGCTCCTGATCCTGTCACCCTCCCACTTTCCAACGCAGCCGATAATTCTCGCAAGTTTGATAACAAATTTGCATCTTTTCCTAGAGACAATCGTCGCTTCTCGCCCAATACCTCTTCTGCGACTCCTTCATCCACCCGAGGTTTCATGCGACCTCCTGGGTTCCCATTATCGTCAAAGACACCACCAAATCTGGTCCCCAACACATCTACTTCACTTGCACCATGGAGTTATCCTTGGACACAAGCTCCAGTGGGTTCGTCTTCTGGCGGTCATAGTCCCAACACAGTGCACCCATCTATCCCCGTTCCTCCACGAGAGGTGACCCGCCCGCTAGTTGGCCTACACTCGTATCGCACAGCGAATAGCATTATTGGAACTCACCAAGTAGCCGACAAAGTAGCCGATCAATCGCCGAAAACACAGGATACGACAGAAGTGCAACATGACCCTCTTGGTGTACTGCGGTAGGGTGAGTGAGGGTTTGGAGAAGTAATGGTATGAGATCAATTTGTCTGTAGAATATCCGCATTTATTCGCATTGTTGGCTTGTTAACACGTATCTACCTGTAACTTCAGTAAACTTTGTTTTGTCAAATATCAGTGCAGGTCACTTATCAGCGCACGAAAGCGGAACTGGGTGATATTATCATGAACCAATGCGGCGGTAGACGGAGCGGCATGTTATGCACTCGGCCGACCGGGACTGTAGTGGGAAATCACGCGCCGGGTGAGATCGTCAACTTTCCGTCCTCCATCGGAATCCCACATCACATTCGTTAACCTTACTCCTTGTCGTCCTCGCCGTGGTGGTTGATAGAAACAATGTTCAAGAAGTCTGTGTCGACGGCTGCAGCCTCAAGGGCGTTGCTTCGCTCACAACGAACCTTTTCGACCACGTCTGCAGCCAGGAAAGTTGTCGCGACGAACCCTGTAAAAGCTGAGGAAGTCAAGGTACTGGTGTTGTTGACGCTTTCGATTTTCTGTGATTCCTTTGACCCTCTTTTTTCTTCCAGTCCTGGTCTTCAGGAAAGTATCCCTTGATTGAACACGAATATGATGCAATTGTCGTGTGAGTTTGATGCCCAAGGCTCTGTCTGGTTCCTCGTCCCTCATATGTTTATACAGTGGTGCTGGTGGTGCTGGATTGAGAGCAGCATTTGGTCTAGCAGAGGCAGGTTTTAATACAGCGTGTATCACCAAGTTGTTCCCCACTCGCAGTCATACGGTCGCCGCTCAGGTACGTTTCGCCTTTCTTTTTTCCCCACCCTTTCTTCCATTGACTAGTTCGTTTAGGGTGGTATCAATGCCGCTCTTGGTGTATGTATTTTAACTTAATATAAGCACGGCGACTCTAATGCTTAACGCCATGTAGAACATGACTGAAGACGACTGGCGATGGCATATGTACGATACAGTACGTCATTTCACTTTTGAGTTTCATTTTTGCATTTTTAATTCGTTCTAATAGGTGAAAGGTTCTGACTGGCTGGGTGACCAAGATGCAATCCATTACATGTGTCGCGAAGCTCCTAGCACGGTCATTGAGGTATAAAAATCACTTGCTAAGCTTTGCCGAACCATATATTTATATTATATACTTCTAGCTCGAGCACTTTGGTGTCCCATTCTCCAGAACAAAAGAAGGAAAAATCTACCAACGTGCTTTTGGTGGACAATCTCTGAAGTATGGTAAAGGTGGTCAGGCCTATCGTTGTGCCGCCGCCGCCGACCGTACTGGTCATGCACTTTTGCACACACTCTATGGTCAATCATTGCGCCACAACACCAACTTCTTTATCGAATACTTCGCGCTCGATTTGATCATGCAGGATGGCGAGTGTGTTGGTGTGATTGCGCTCAACATGGAAGATGGTACTCTTCACAGGTTCAGGTCCCACAAGACCGTTCTGGCAACAGGAGGCTATGGAAGAGCATACTTCAGTTGTACAAGTGCGCATACTTGCTCTGGAGATGGAAATGCCATGGTTGCCCGCGCTGGTCTTCCTCTACAAGACTTAGAATTCGTCCAGTTCCACCCCACTGGTATCTATGGTGCTGGATGCCTTATCACCGAAGGTAAGCTATTCAGATGCTACTGAGAGAGTTACCATTCACGAGAATTCAGGTTCTCGTGGTGAGGGTGGATATCTCCTAAACTCAGAGGGCGAACGCTTCATGGAGCGTTACGCACCTACCGCAAAGGATCTAGCTTCTCGTGACGTCGTTTCTCGTTCAATGACCATTGAAATCCGCGAAGGTCGCGGTGTGGGACCTGACAAAGACCACCTCTACCTCCAGCTCAGTCATTTGCCTCCTGAAGTCCTTCACGAGAGGCTTCCCGGTATCTCTGAGACTGCCGCCATCTTCTCTGGTGTTGACGTCACAAAGGAGCCTATCCCCGTCTTGCCTACTGTTCACTACAATAGTAAGAGCATGTCTTTCCAAATTTACCCGTATCTGATGATTTCTTCCAGTGGGTGGTATTCCCACGAAATATACTGGTGAGGTGTTGACTACGGATAAGGTGAGTAACGTGCCGACTTTCTATTTGAAAAGCCTAATGTATTTCTTTCAAAGGATGGCAAAGACAAGGTGGTTCCCGGGCTGTATGCTGCAGGTGAAGCGGCTTGTGTATCCGTTCACGGTGCCAACCGTCTCGGGGCCAACTCCCTTTTGGACATCGTAGTATTTGGACGTGCATGCGCGCACCATATCAAAGATACCTTAACTCCAGGAAAACCGCACAAAGCTATTCCCGAAGAGGCTGGCATGGGGAGTGTTGAATTCCTGGATCAAGTCAGGAACGCTGACGGCTCAGAGCCCACGGCTAAAATCAGATTAGACATGCAGAAAGCTATGCAATCAGATGCTGCTGTCTTCCGGTTCGTCTGTTTTTACTTTCATTCGAATGGTCTAGTGCTCATTGGATTTCATGTCTCTGCAGTACTCAGGAGTCTTTGGACGAAGGCGTACAAAAGATGCGCTCTATCTACAAGTCATTCGACAATGTTGGCATCAAGGACAGGAGCATGATCTGGAACTCGTACGTATAATGCTTGGGCTGACGTCAGAGCCTTTCTGACGTCCTATTTATGCAGCGACCTTGTTGAAACACTGGAGCTCCGCAACATCCTCCAGTGCGCTATCCAAACCATCACAGCCGCAGCTGCTCGCAAGGAGTCACGTGGTGCGCATGCTCGTGAAGATTTCCCTGAGGTTTGCGGCTCTCGTGTCAGTTTGTTTGATTATAGCTGATGATTTTTTTTTATTAAAGCGTGACGATGATAAATGGATGAAGCACACTTTGACACTCCAGCGTGACATCAATGAACCGGATGTCGAGATCACGTACCGTGGTGTCATTGGCACGACGTTGGATGAAAGCGAGTGCAAAGCAGTTCCTCCCTTCAAGCGCGTGTATTAGAAAGTGCTATGATGTTGCGCACTAGATATAAGTTCTCGAGGATAAGGTTATGCCAGGGCCTTTGTCGCTACACTACGGGTGTTGTATGAAAATGCTACAGATGTAGCAGTACTGTTAATTCAAACCACCTTTGCGAATAAGGATGTGAGCACACATGCCAGTGTGAGCTTTGAGCCACTGAGACTGGTGTTACCGTGACCAAAGTGGCGCAAAGATTGCGATGTATAAATTTCCCACGATTCTTACTTTGCACCTAAACCATAACATTAAACACTTCGAGGATGTCGAGCAGAGCAGGTGGTCTCTACGGCGGCATCCAATTCTCTTCAGGAGCAACTCTTAACTTTTCTTCACCGTCTACTCCTCAGACCATAAATGTTCCAACAAACATTGAGCAGCCAACAAAGGATACACAAGCTCCCAGGGCTTCTGCTGCTCCCGCTGCTACTGCAACGAGCGATGGTGGAACTGCAAACGTAGCAGGAGGAGCTGGAGGAAATGCTTCTGGGGCAGGGGCAGGAAAAGCAACAGCCGGTATCTTTCCCTCCACCCACCTTATTGTCTGATGTCAAAATATTGACCGAATCCACAATATTGACTTTCAACGTCGTCCTTGACTTGCTGTCATTGCATTTTCGACATGCAGGATGGTCTGCAGCTTTGGCCTTCGCTCCAGTTCGCCGTACAGGAAACAAAGCTAAGCCTGCGGTTCCAAGACTCCCCGTCGGCGCTACGGCTATAACTTCTTCAGCAATGTCGCACACAGCCACCGTTGCTGCACCGCCGACTTTATCAGCTACAGCAGTCGTCTTTGCGCCTCCCCAGCTTATAACTTCGACCGGAGACAAGGATGCGCCGACATCAAAGGATACCCCGACGACAGCAGATCAAAAGGGCTCACAACAAGGCCAGGGATGGGGCAAGAGGATGAAACCACCGTCCATGGTACTTGACGAAGACATAAATGGTTTCAAAAAACGAAGCGGAGGCGGCAAAAAGGGGGGTGGAAAAAAGAAGAAAGTAAGATTGTCGTCTATATGACCTGTTCTGATCTGATCCGATCCCCATCCACTGTAGGCTAAGAATGCTCCTGTCGTTGCTGTTTGGGATCCTCTAGAACCTTATGATCCTTTACGCCCTAACGATTACAACGAGTACAAGGTATGGAAACAACGTGAACGAACTGAAAAAGCCGTGGAGAGGGCTAGAAAGAGAACCCGAAGGGGCAGCAGCTATACTGATAGCGGAGGGAGTGGCAGCGAAGGTGAGAGGCCCAAGAAGAATGGTGTGTGCTCTTTACTTTCTACTAAATCAAAGTTACGGGTGTATTGTATCAATATATCTTGTTCACTTCTTTCCATTAAGTGTATGCGCATACATGACTAACGATCGTTATAAAGGCAGGTTTGATGATCACTGGTCTCGCGAGGACGACGAGCCCCTGCGCCCTAGTGCTGATCTATCTACATCGATGGGATACGCAGATACCGCTCCTACTCAACCTCCGGTGCTTGTTGATCGCAATCTATCCGGGGAAGAGGCATTTCAGCGGCGACTTGCCCTTTCAGCTGCTCGAAGTCAGCCAGCCGAACCCTCGAAGCCGATGTCTCCACCACCACCACCACCAGAGAGGCAAGTCATTGCCCCTCAGCAGTGTGCTGGAAATGAAGGCGACGAAGATGCTATACCTGGTTTGGGTCTGGGATCCCAGATGGACTATGTTTCTGCATCAGGTCCTGCAACTGCTCCAGGCCTTACAGAGACCGGTGACGAAGCCTATCGACGCAGGCTAGTCATGTCCCAGGGTACGGAGACCCGCGATGAGTTTGAACCCGCCCCTGTGCCCACATATATGCCCACAAAGGCCCCATCTCCGCCTCCACTTGCATATAATCCTTTCGCTCCGCCATCTGTCCCGCCCCCACCATCGGCTGTGCCACCGTCGATGCCAGTACCTATAGGATTCGAAGACAGGGTCAAGGCGGCTGCCAGTATCGCTGCACGCCTTGGCGCCCTTGCCGCTGCTAAGGGTAGTGACAGTGGGTCAGGATCAGCCTCTCCAGCAATTCCTTCACCGGCCCTAGAGGAGGCTGGCGGCTCGAAGCGGTAGGTTTCACTTGTCTTTAATGTGTCAAGATGGCTTATTTGACTGGTTATAGACCTGATCCGCATGGGTTTGCCGCACGGCTCATGGCTAAGTGGGGTCACAAAGAAGGGCAAGGTCTCGGTGCGGATGGAGGTGGGATAGTTAACGCTTTAACGGTGGAGCAAGTCGCAGCTGGGAAAACTGGAAAGGGTAACAGTAATGCAGGTAAAGGTGGAAAAGGATCTGGTCCGGGAGTGAAAATGGGTAAGATAATCAACAATAATGAGGATGCCAAGTCTCGGGAGGACCGTACTAGGTTTGGTGAGCCCAGTCGAGTGGTAGTGCTTACGAATATGGTGGGTGAAGAGGATGTGGAGGATGAAGACCTTAGAGGAGAAATAGGTCAGCCTCAAGTTGTATCTTCCCCCTGACGCCCGTTTTGATTATATTCAATAGGTGATGAATGTTCAAAAAATGGAACTGTCGAGCGCGTGATTGTGCACCTCGTCCACCCTCCGACGCCAGACCCAGAGGATGCCGTGCGTATTTTCGTGCTGTTCGCTGGTCCGGCGGGTGCCTGGCGCACGGTGCGGGAGCTCGATGGGCGATATTTTGGTGGAAGGAGTGTTCGAGCGAGATACTACAGCGAAGCCTACTTTAGGGAACATAATCTTGACATGGAACTTGAATGAGGTTTGGGAAGCTGAAGGTCAGCAGAAGACGATCTTCGAAGTTCCCTCGTATGCTTTCTTGATTAACGAATCCTTGTCCTCGCTTTGTATATATTTTATTAGATCGTCTTTTTAACTCGAAGATTTATTAGGCTTAGCTACTATTCTTTGCTGTAATATGCGATTGGATGGTTCAGGATGGCCCACGTCTATCGAATGCTATCGCGACGAACAATTGTTTTCTCCACCTTGCGAGGAGAACAATAAACCAAAAACATATGATGTCCACTTCAGCAATTAATATACTGTTCCTGCTTATCCCCTTTCATTGTCTTAATAAAACATTCAGGATCTCGGTCTACCCAATACTTACTAATACGAGTACTCCAATGCTACAACTTCATTAACATTCCACCGAATAACATTGGTCATCATTGAATAGATATAACACATGCATTCGTTATGATGGTAATACATTGATTTGCTCAAAATACACTGCCTTTATCTTACATTTAACACGATGATATTATAGCATATTGATGGAGTGATGCGGATCCATTCATTTCTTCCCAAAGATCGCCTCTTTACCTGCTTCTTTCGTAGTATGGTCACCAGTTGCAACACCGTACGCATAGTTTGCTGCGCCTTCCACTGTGCTAGCTATGCGTGAACCTGTTCCAGGTGCATTACTTGCACGGGTAGATTTATCATTTGCCCAACCATCATCTGACAAAGGTCATAATTAGCAAAATAATATTGGGACAAGATTCAGTAGGAAGATGCGAACCTTTGTTCGAATTCTCGTTCAAAGGATCGATATTGGTCGATTCAATGATACCAGGACGGCCTTCGCAAGAACCTGAGGTTTGACTGAAGTTCCTGGCAGCCTCCTTGTCACCTTCGAAGTTGGCGCCTGCGCCTGCACCCCTTTCTTGAGTTGTAGGGTCAGTCACCTGTACGACCACAAAAAATGAGTTATTTGAGGATAGACGATGACAATAAAAGCACGCACGAAGTTGGATGAGAGAGGATTGGCGTGTGTACTGTGAGAGGTTGGGTTCGCAACACCGGGGTGGATATCGACGCCCTTGTTACCGCCGATGGACATATTTTTGTCGTTGAGTGCCATACTAGTAGATTGTAGAAAATGTTTAGTGTATGATAAAATATACGGTGTGGGAATTGAGCAATTGTGCAACGATTGTGGTCTCTTATAAAGTGTGAGGAGGTGGGGACGATGACGTAGCGGCAAAACGTCAGGCGGGAAACCACATAGACAAAGTGGAAACATATCGACGTCATTCAAAAAAGACAAACCAGGTTTTGGAGCGCCGCAGGTTGGTACAGGTACTTGAATTCCAACAGGTTCCAGCGGTTGGGAGTTTTTATGTCCAGGGTTACAGAGGAGCAACATGCATAATAACAAAACAATGTTTAATACAAGCGATCATACATTATGACACACGGGTAGGAAGAATCCTACCAAGTCCACCTAAAATCTTTTTCGTTTGCTTGCTCCTGATCTCGCCTCAGTTTCTCACAGTAAATGAATGTGACAACTATCAGGTCAAGCATCCCCTGATCCAGTCGCGTGCGATCTGCGTCATCCAAATGACTCTCAAGCTCATAATCTGTGTATGAGTTGATATCAATATCATCACTCGACCCTGGATGGCTGCCTGTCAGATCACCCGATAAAACCGGTCTGGGATGAACCTCCAGGTAACCTTGATGCGCTTTTGTTCCAGGTAGAAGCCCGAGACTGCTACGGTGATACTTGGCGATCGGTAGCTTGGAAGGTTGATCGTCGAGGTAAAGCTAAAAGTATATATGCGTAAGTCACTGGGCTTAGAAAACATCATGATGGTAAGAGGTTGATGTCCTCCACACGTACGCTACACACCCACGCGCCCAGCTCCCATCGGTATGGTCTTTCATCAACGCCTGTAAAGACGCGTTGCCTACAAGTGATGACATGAGCGAGATAGTAATCATCGTACAGCATGTATGCAAATGCCTTACGGAAAACTCACACTCGTAGCAGCCCTTTAGGGGGGATGAATTCGCTCGTTTGAACCTCCCCTACACCAAGTCCATTGATAACACCGTGCCAGCGAATGCGCGAAGAGCTCAAAGTGTGCCACTCGATCTCAGCGACTCGTGTGAAATGATCTTGCATGTCCACTTCGCTCAGTCCCTCTCCTTCTCTCACGCCATCTCCCTCTGTATACGAGTCGTTTGAAATCAGTTGTCCGGGCGCTCCATCACCGAGATGCTCGTGGTATATAGGACTCGAAGAGTTAGGGATTGTTTTCCAGATTGTGGTCGTGCGAGACTTTATGAAGTTGAAGGGCGATCCAGAAGTGGTGATTTTGTAGAGGACTTGTCCATCGGGGTTGGTAATAGTAGCAAAGCGAACACGATCTGTAGAGAAGATGAGTTTCATTACGGCTACAGCATGCAAGACTTGGTATAATTCAGAGGGCGTTTTAAATGAGTGCTAAGCCGATGCTAGGTTCAGTGGATGATTTAAGCAACAAGTTGCCAGCAAGGTTCAGGTTTTAAGAGCTGTCGCTTTACCATCCTTAGTTTCGCTGTCAACACGGATCCGAGTGCACCCTATGATGCATGGGATCACGGAAAGGTGGCCGGTGCTGCACAAGCTGCGAGACCTGTCAAGTGAAGGCGCTGCGGATTCAGAGGCATTAGTGTCATGATAATTAATTTTTGCACCAAAAACTTCTTGAGGGTCGGCGCTCAGCGCTCAATCAGAAGGCCTAGTAGGAACTTTCTTTGAACATCTTCCATCGGGCACAGTTTGCAGGGTCCGACAATGCACAACTAAGCTGTGAAGATGGCGAAATGGGTCATTGTGAGCAGATTAAAACAGGAGACAGTGTTCAATTGAAAACTTCTGGGAAGTGTCTAGCCACTTGCTGAGAGCTAACAGGGACAGAACTAGAGTCCAGTATGAGTAACTAAAGAATAGGAATACTGGACTCTGCAATACTAGTCTGAAGTTTTGTAAACAAAGGTAAACAAATCAGCCACAAAGGCGAAATTATAGAATGCTCAGTGAATACTGAACAATAGACCAAAAAGAATAAAGAGGAAAGTGATTTAGAAAGAAGGGAAAATAGATAGCACAACTAGGTGCAGAATCACCAAAACTAACAGACGGCGGTCATGACCAGGGTTTGGAACCAGTACAGAAACAATGTATCGATCGAGACTTTAATCATCACTGCCTGCTAACACGCTCCCCAATTGTACAGGTGCAGAAAAAACAATGCTGATAAGTAATAGCCAAGAATCAGTGGAATCCGAGTGATTCAATATTCATACAAGGTATAGATAAGTAAATAGGTGCTGTGCATACATTAGAAATGTGAATTGCCGATCAACTAGAAAACAACATTGAACGTCGAATGAATTGCGCATTTATTATTAAGAGCTATCCGAGGTATCTGTCGACGATCCAGTTTCCTGGCCTTCGACGTCTAGTTGCCATATTAAAAACTCATCTGACGAGGATATTTCATGGACTTACCTATGAGATAATCAGGTTCAATCCTGACGGTAGGAGGCGGGGGCCGAGGTGGACTAGGACGTTTGGGCGGAGCGATTGGGGCACCTCTGCCCACGCCAACACCATTGGCTTTATTTTTTGGAGGACGTCCCCGCCTGGGCGGCCCAGTACCAGCAGGACTATGCGCAGAAAATGATGATGTAGGTGTAGATATTGATGCAATAGGCGTGCCTGCTGAGGAAGAGTGCGAGGGCGAGGAGGAACGTTCGCGGTCTTGCTCCCGCTCGAGAAGAGAAACGGTAGAAGAGGAGCGGAGCTTTGAGGGGACTTTGGAGTTGGAGGAGGGGATTTGAAGGTTCTAGAGAAGATGTGAGGAAGAATAAGCCGAAGTTAGCGTTGGATGTTTCCGCATGGTGGAGATAACGTACGGTACTCTGTGAATTCGACCGCACTCGAACCAAGGGAGCCGCTGTTCCAGTAAAGTTAGCAAAATATAGAGCCTAGTGGTAACAAGTTATGTATACCTGTCTTTGACTTCTTTTGCTTCTTATTTGGCGAGATTTGCGGTGAGACTGGCTGTGAAATAAAATAACAATAAGAGCAGCAACAGCAATAATAGCATCAACTCACCCGTTTACGTTTCAAGTTGAATTCCGCGTCATCTATGAGAGATGTCAATCATTGAAAGTGTCATTACATAGAATAATGTGACATTACCTGCACGCTTGCTTTTTGACTTACTTTTCCCTTTCGGATTCTTGCCATCCTCTGAGGCATTGCCAGCTTCTAATCCTAAATAAGGCGAAACAGAGCGCCCAGGTTCGGTGGAGATTCTAGTCGATATATATATTGAGTACTTCTAGCGGCCATAATCAGCATCACCCCACACCTAGTCTTGACGTTCGCATTCCGAACAGCTCCTCTCCGGGTTCCTGTCCCAATTCCCATACAAGAACTAAGGTGAGGAGCATATCGGTTGGAGGCAATCTACGTATGCCATGTTCAGAAAGTGACTGTTCGTGATCACAATAACGTACCTGTCGCTTGCAGTTCACACACTCGTACAATACATTCCCTTCTGCTGTCTTGATACTAGTAGGCGTACTAGCTCCTGTCCCTGTTGCTCCATTCGTCGTCGCATTCCCTACCGAAGAGGGCGAAGGGTGAGAGGCGGACTGCGAGTATGAAGATCCAGAGCCATGCACTAGAGTTGATAATCGTTGTTAGTTCTTCGCACAGAGGAGAGAAGTGGCACGCTGTCGCACCCAAGCCGCAGCTAGATTGGAGTTGCAATCGGTCATAAGCAGGAGACGAGACAAGGACCAGAACATACCGAGTATTGCAAATATGACATATTGCGCGGGTACGAGTTATCTCGTGGTGTGACTGTAGCGCTGCGTCCATGACTATATCGTCCAACATTGCCGCAAAGATCCTGGATGTCTGTGGTGAAGTCATAGTGTCTGGATGAGTTACACGGTCAAACGGGATGATTACTGATACATGCCAAAGCTGACAATATTTCCTCCCGCTCTGATTTTGTCATGGCTTGCTCGGTCGTAAACTGTTGACTGTAAGCAGAAGGACTTCAATCCGAGTCGATTCACTCGATCGGTTCAGTTCAAGTGTAGTTTGAGCCTGTTTGAGCCAATTTCGATCACGTGCCAAAAGGGCCATTTTGCTGACATAATCGCTTCAAGTTCCACAAGACGGGCTGTTATCACATGTCAAAAACACACCAGTCGACGTCAAAGCCCGCATTCAGCTGAATCGCTGATCAGCTCGTCTCTCCGTGGATCCATCTAGCGATCCGAGCCATTCGAGATACTTGGGTCGGTTTGAATAATAGAGTACTGCCATATAGACTGGCTCATCTCCCGTAGAGGTCGCATACATTCTCAGTCCACATCAATGGCCATCCTTTCCAAAATCCGTCCATCTGATGCTCGTCTCGCACAATTCGCGAAAACATATGCACAACATCGCCCCATTGTGCAACGCTCGTTAACAGTGGGATTCGTACTATATGTTCTGGGTTCAACGTATCGGGGCTTATCCGCGCGGCCAGCGAGCAAAGGGCCAAGTAAAGGGAAAGGGAAGGGAACGGTCCAAGGGAAGGACGGGAAGGTAGAGAGTGGAAAGTCCACACGCGTGGCGGTGTGTTTTGCGTCCATATAGTACTTTAGCTGCGAGATTGAGCAGAGTTGTCTTTCAGGTCGATGCTGTATTCTACCAACGCTTGGCCACTATCCTCCGCATCGTTATCCCGAGTATACACTCCAAGGAGGCCCTCCTGCTCTTGATGCATTCAAGCCTTCTCGTATTCAGAACCGCCATATCATTATACGTAGCTGCCCTTGACGGAAAGTACGTTTGGTAGTTCTCTTTACTATGATGGTGCTACAGCTTTATCATTCTACGTTATCTAGGATTGTCGCCAGTCTCGTTCGCGGACAATCAAAGCAATTTCTTTTCAACATTATACGTTGGTTGCTCGTTGCCGTACCCGCGACATGGACTAATAGCTGGCTGAGCTACGTTCAAAACAAGCTTGCCATAGCTTACCGTACTAGACTCACTAACGAAGTTCTCAAGCAATATCTCGGTGAGGAGAGCGAGGGCCCAGAAGGGAAAGTATATTACAAGTTATGTAAGTACTTCATAATCAACCAGTAGACTTACGATGTAATGCTGATTTGCACGGCACAGCGAACTTGGACGATCGTATAAAAAACCCTGATCAGTGCGTACACAAAATTTCTACTGCTCTTTCTTATTCACTACGTATTTCATAGGATGATAACACACGATATTCAACGATTCTCATCTCACCTCGCGGCCATCTATGCTAATCTTGCAAAACCCATTCTCGATGTTATTTTGTACAACTACCAACTCTCTCAGAATGTTGGTGCAGAAGGTCTCTTCATACTCACCATCTTTGTTCAATCGTCTGCCGCTTTGCGTAAGTCACAAATTCTACTCTAGTATTACCCACTACACTACAGTTATTAATGATCCGTTTCTTATAGTTCGCTACTTAACTCCATCTTTTGGATCATATACTGCTCAGTCCGCTGCTCTGTCGGGCTCTCTTCGACACACCCACTCTCGACTGGCAGAGTTCGCTGAAGAGATAGCATTCTTTGGTGGTGAAGAGACCGAGAAGCTACTGATAGAGCAGGAGTATGCTACCCTTGTCAAGCACGAGAACCGTGTCCTTCGAAGGAAATGGTGGTTTGGGTGTGTGGAAGAAGGTGTTATCAAATGGTTGTGGGGAAGCTTTGGTGTGCGTTGAATCTTTTTATGATTCAGCCGGATTAAGGTGCTTAGTAGTTGATTTAGCTTGTGACATGCGCGATTCCTGTGTTTTTCAAGATACCAGGGGTAGCCGGGTTAGACCTTGGGAGTAGAACAGAGGGTTTCGTTACCAATAGACGGCTTCTTCTCTCTGCTTCAGGTAGATGCACTTTTCCCCTTCTCATCTTATAAGTAGGAATACTGATTTCTACTTTTATTAAAGATGCTATTGGTCGGGTGATGTACTCTTACAAAGACTTATCAGAGCTAGCAGGGTATACCGCCCGTGTTTCGCTCCTACTGGACACCATGGCAGATGTTCGCAAGGGTCGCTTTGAGAAGGCTCTCGTAAGCAGTGCCGAAGTCGGAGAGCATGCAAAGAGTGAGTGAATGCTGTTTCGCGAAACTTTATCATCCCTGTGGTGAAAAGGCGGTGGTTAATGAACACATGTTTTCAGTTTTACGAGGCCGTGGACAAGTGTTCGATTCAGACGAGATCCGTTTCGAGGGAGTACCCATCGTCACGCCTAATGGTGATATCTTGATTAAGAGCCTAAGCTTCTACGTCAAGCCGGGAGTAAGTCCCATCCCACATCTTCGATGGAACAGGAGCTGATCGTGGCATATATAATATTAGGAACATTTATTGATAGTCGGGCCCAATGGTAAACCGTTCAATATAGCGTTGTCGTAACTGGATTTTAAACACTATCTCTATGGTCTAGGATCTGGAAAATCTTCGTTGTTCCGCATTCTTGGTGGATTGTGGCCCGTTTACGGTAAGCACAAATGTCTACACCCCTCCCTTCTTCATGACGATCCCATTCATTTTGCTGGCCCTGACGTGAACCGTATTGATAGGTGGTATCGTTCGTAAACCGGCTGCATCCCAATTTATCCTTATTCCTCAGCGACCATATCTCTCCCTTGGAACTTTGCGTGATCAGATTATATATCCACATTCGAGACAGGAAATGGAAGATCGTACGTGTCACTTTTCCGACATCGCTCCCAGCCTTACCAAGTTCTGACTTGGTAATCTTTAGGTGGTGTTACAGATGCAGACCTTCTGGCCATATTATCAGTCGTGGAAATGGATAGTCTCGTAGAGCGCGAAGGCGGCTGGGATGTAGCACGAGAGTGGAGGGACGCATTGAGTGGTGGCGATAAGCAGAAGATTGCATGGGCCAGGTTATTCTACCACCAACCCAAGGTATTTTCTCTCTCTTGCTTTTTGTTCAGGCTATAACTAATGGATTATGCGTAGTACGCGATTCTGGACGAGGCGACATCGCTAGTTCCACCTGATATGGAGGGCAGCATGATGGTGCATGCGACGACACTTGGAATTACACTACTCACTGTGTCACATCGGCCCTCATTGTGGAAGTATCATGGGATGATACTCCATTTTGATGGGCAAGGTGGTTATGTATTGTATGTGTCCCACCTATATTGGATATTCACCTTTGCTTACCATGGTCTATATTAAAAGCACGAAGCTTGATGCAGAGAAGCGCCTTGCGCTGCAAGAAGAGAAACAGGCGCTGGAAGCCAAATTACTTGAAGTGTAAGTGTCCTACTCTCTTGGTCTTCCTCTATATATTATCTATATGCATATACTGACCCTTGCGTTCCCCCTGGTTTCGTTTTTATAGACCGAAGATGAAGGCACGCCTTACAGAGTTACGCGCAGCTGTGGAGGAAAGGGACAGACAAATTTGATTGTAGGCTTGTATGTTTGACCAAGATTGTGGACAGTATGTATGGTAGCTCTTGTGATATTAGTAGTATGATTCCATCCAGTTGTTTTCTGCGCAGTAAATATATTTAGCAGAAAAAGGCTAGTCGTCAAACCATACGTTTAGCGGTTATTGTTATGCATGGTAATTGGCTAATGTATGTGGACGATACCTAGATATGATACCGTTTTATGAACGGCACTATCGACCTCTCAAAGCTATTCCGACAAAGCCAGTCAGGTGCCATTACCAGTCAGTCGGCCTTTCGAAGTATTTTTCCCTGGCTTCCCTGCTAACTATGTGCACCGCGAAGTCGCCGGCATCAATCATGGCCCATCCATTGTGCATTCGTCGTTTCGAGTTGGGTGGTAAAGGGAGAGGTGGTTGCATGGTCAGGAGCTGACACACATTAGAATGATGTCAGCATATTTGAATCGCTAGAACGAGAACGAACGAGTACGAACAGTTTTTCGCACTAAACGGATGACAGACTCTATCGACCCTCTATTTTCAGTACCTTCTTTTACCTTGATCAAAGTAACGAATTTAGATCACAGCAGTGGACGTATAGCAGTGGAGACACTTACTTGTGCTAAAAAGACCCAACTCCAGATTCCTCCAGGCTCTTCAGTAAGTCCTTCGCCTGAATATGTCCTCCCGCGTTGCCGTTTCCCTTTTGGAATTGTTTTAGGTAGCGGTGGCCCGGGAGGCATGGCTGTATGTTCGCGCACAATGAGCGAGGAAGGGTCGAGATATGGCGACTGGTGAAGGTGGACGTAAAGCTGCTTGACGTGAGCTGGGATATTTTCGGGCAAGTCTTGAGGGTTTGGAGCTAGATGAGGGGGTGCATGTCGGACAGGAAGAGGCTCTGGGTCGACGAACCATGGTGTTTGGGAAGATGTACCAATGGATTGCGTGGTATAATGGTGTTTATTAACAAATAGCGTCCTTGTATAAGGTCTTGCGATGCATGACCTAGCTACGTTTCTTGCTTGAGAACGAAAGGTCTGCATTGTGGTCTGCGAAGACTGGTTTTCTTCGGAAATGTCCGAACCGAGTGCTGTATATTAAAGAATATCTTCTTCGTGAGACTCTGCAATGAGCTTGTGATATTTGGTTAACGCTTTGGGTCTGTTCTGCAGCTACACCCATCTCGAGCTCAACGCTGACGACAACCTCAAAAGCTTATATTCTACGATGGGCGTCAGAGCCAGCGTCGTCGTCTGCGTAACGTCTTTTTTACTCGGTAAGTATCTGCAGTACATAATATGGTTGCCACGAATACAGGGCTAAACGCTCGTCTGACCACTCTGATCATCGGAATAGGTTCCCTCTTCACTCATTGGATTGCAGACTCTCTAACGCTCTGGAAGTCACCCATCACAGACGAACATCTCTGGACAGCTGCACTCTACTACTCAGTCCTCACCAAGGGGCCCATACAAATCCTATATGTTCTGTCAACCATCATCGTGCTGGGCGCAACGACCATATTCTGGAGTTTGCGTGATGGTGAGGCAGGGAACCTAATGTTTGATGGAGGAAGTATATGTACGTTTTTAATTATACATCGCACTGTCACCGTAAAGCTAAGAAATATTTTTACAGTCCTATACGGGTTATCCGCCATCGTGTACTTTTTCTCCGTAATCCCGAGTACGTCCAAATCGTACCATTTGGAACACACAATTTTTACTCAATTTCCTGAAACTTTGCAGACCTGGCTGAAAAATTCACATCCATCCCCGTTCACCAGCTGAAAGATGCGTTCCCCCGCTCTCTGCGCAAACCAACCATAGAACTCGCATCCAATCACCTTGTTTGCAGTGTCGCACTTACAGGTGTACTGATTCTTCAAGCTGGTCGGTGGTGGGCCGAGCTTGCAGATGACGACGAGGATGATGAGGGGTATATGGAGGAAGAAAGGGGCACAGAAGACAGTGATATACCCGACGACAGCGATCCAAAATTGAGCAAAATTTCAGAAGTCATATCGAACGGTGACGCTACCAGCACTGGTGTCAAGAGCTCGCGATAAAACGGCTCATGAATATACGCTAGTGATAACCAAAAGAGATCAAAAGAAAAGGCGCAAGTCCTCCATCACACGCTGCTGCTTTGACGTCCCTTTTGCTATCGAGCGATCCTGCATAATAGGGGACTATCTCACTTACATCGATGATCATGATCTAGCTACGCTTTCCCGCCCCAGTTTTATTTCATATTCGCTTTCATGTTGATGCTTTGAATCATTATTCATAGTGCTTCAATTTCGAAGCCTCGACTGTTACTTCTCTCATCATTGATATTACGGCAGGGTTGTTCAGGCTAGGTTAAACATAAATATGAACTCAATAATGCACGTCGACGTTATTCCAACGTGTCGGCTGGATGGCCGGTAACAAGACAATCCGAAATGAGATTTGTACATTTCTAGGAAATGTTAGTAGATATAAGCTATGTCTAATAGTCTATGCTATGAATACTGGAGTGTCGCTTACGACTACTCCTGCACGATATCCTCCTTACGCGGTCTTGAATCTTTGATTTCTCTGCCTTGACCAATGATAGTCTGAGCATCATCATCTACTACCAAACCTATCACAAAATCAACTTCGTACACCTTCCGGAACACAAAAAAGGGATGCTCACCTAAACCTTCCTCTCTGACGAGACCCAACACGTGTTCCAACTCGACGAACCCATCCTTATCCACATCTAATTTCTTGACAACTGCAGCCCCAACTTGGTCATCCGGTCTATGTTTGATTACCGCCAATGCCTTCTCAAGATCCTGGACTGATATACGCCCCTGTGCATCCGCAGATATCATCTGCAGAGAGCTACCTACACGCGAGTCATATTCCTCCAACTGAGAGTCGATCTTCGTGAGCATGGTCCGGATGCGTTTGGTAAGCGCATTAGTAGGTGACTTAGGGTCCTAGATAAGATAGTGGCGGTAAGCTGCTAGAGTCGGCAGAAGCGATTAATTTAGATCTCGTACCTCTTCAGCCTGTAAATTTTCCTCCATCAAAGCACGAAGTTCGTCGCGTTCTTTGAGCACACTAGATTTCGCGGACAGGATAGACAAAGCCTCGCTCAGTTCCTTGAGTTGTTCTGTAGTCATACGAGCTTTGCCTTCCTCAACTTTCTGCGGATGAAGCTATTTTTTCAAAGCTGTCAGACACGTAAGGCAAAGACTAGATCTGCTACTTACCTCAGAATCGGGCAGGAGAGATTGAGCAGTACGTGCTTCCATTTCGTCAGCTTCACGCTTCACACGTCTAGCATCTTCTTCCTTTTGCTCCTGTTCCTCCTCATCCTCGATGAGTTCTTCTTGTTGCTGTAGGACTTCGAGTTTCTGTTTATAACTGGCATTGTCCGAGTCGACTTCCAATTCCGCTTCATTGAGCTTTCAAGTGAAAGATATTAGTAATGAACGATAGTGCATGACAAAGAGACAAACCAAGTTGTCCGGCAGGCCACTCAAAACGCTTTCCAAGCTCTTGATGACGCCCGTCTTCCCGTCTTCGTCTTCGCCGGGTTTCTTATCGAAATAGAATGCCCTCCCAAGGACCAACAAGACACCGGAAACGCGATTGTGTAAATGTAATTGTATCCAAGTCGTCAGTTCGTCACGGAGCCTTGCAGGAGAAAGTCCACCAGTACGGATCCCACGAGATTGACAAGCAGCTTGAAGTTCAGATGCCGACAGTTCATCAACTCCTTCTGTAAATATTGCCTGGTCGTCCCGGCGAAGGGTCATAAGCCTAGAGCGAAGAGCACCTCGGAGGAAGTTATCAGTCCCGAACGCATTTATGCCCATATACCTGCACATCGAGACAAGTTGCGGACGTGAAAGGTTATCAAGCGTGAGGTCATCGTCGAATAGTTTGGCCACATTGACGACATCTGTTGCAGAAGGAGACTCCCCAGTTGAACGGACTTTGCGGAAGAATTCCTTGAATGCATCTGAGCCGACTATGTGGGCGTTTGCTTTGAGACCTGATTCACGAAGAGTCTCCTGGAGAAACTTGGCCATCTCGAGCCGAACACGAAGGAGCTTGCGTTGTTTTTCCTCCTAAATGCGCAGTTATGGAGAGCGTGAGTTGGAGGATTGACTGTAAGATTTTATGTTTGCTTACAGCGGCAAACTTGTCCTCGAACGTTGATGGTAACATGTTCGGGAACAATTTCAGAGCAACTGGAAGTAAAAGTTCCATGAAAGGCACAATAATGAACACAGCGAATGGCACAAGTCTTAGTATGTCTTGCGTCGTACGTCTCAGCTAGGACATGACAAGGGTGGATTAAATGAGACGCTATGCGAGGCACATATATGGCATACCTGTCTTCGCTCTCTCCGCGTCAGGCTCTCTCCGTGCAAGATTTTCCATTGCAACCTCCCCGAAATACGCACTTCAGATACAAGCAGTTTCGAACCGTGCCAATAGTGGGCTGCTTCGTGTTTGACCTTTTTCCAAGCCCTTGTCATAAGAGGTGCTTGGCTTGCTGCATCTTTAGGTGCAGGTGGAGAAGGTTTGGGGTCCGGAGAAGTGGACGGATCACTGGGTACACTAGTTGACTCGTGCCTGGATGAGCTGGGAGGTGTGCTGGGTGTACTGTGACTGCTATTTGAGCGATAAGAAATAAGGAAGGCGTGGGGGCTCGGGTGAAAGTGAGCGGGGTAATTTGCAGCACCACGAAGGGCCAAGGTAGAGACGAGATGAGCTCGTTGTGCAATGTGGTGAGGATTGCGACTATAAGAACGTGCAAGGAGTGTTGGCTGCGAGCGAGGAAGCCATAACGACATGGACGTTAAAGCTGAAAGCAATGGGATACTATTTGTCTGTTGGCCTGAATGCTGGATTGTCGGATGCAAGCAAGCATAAAATACTTTCAGACCGGAATTGCGCAAAGGACTCGGCAGCGTTCGGTTACGCAGTCCGGCAACGTCAGCGTCCGCTCATATTTGCGCCTGTTTGTAGAAAGAAATGTCTCCAGCACCGACCACCACAACGAGCTCAGCAGGAAACATTCATGATCCTACGAGCCCTGCATACAAGAAGGCAAAAAAGCAACATATCAAAACTACGAGAAACAGGGATAAAGAAATCGATCTCGACTGGACACCCTTCAGAGCAGCAGAAAAGAAATACAAGGCTAAATTTCCTCCGCCTGATCTAACCGATGTGCTTGATCTCGGTTTACTTGACGAGAAGCGAGAAGACGAGATAACTCAAGGAGGTTGGCGTGGCAAGTCAGATGCTGTGGAAGTGGAGGAAGTCCCAATGGGAAAAGCTGCGATTAGGGCTTTCGTGATTCCTCGCATACCTGGTGCGGCGAGTCTGGTTCTGTCATACAATGTCATCGTGTATTTATTCATGACCTATCACTTTTTTACTACATCGCTGGTGCAGGATTGGTTGTGCTGCCTTCCTTTGTGACTGCTCAAGAACAAAAAGACCTCGTCCGATGGTCCCTTCGTGACCAAGCCGGGCATCCGAATGATACCAATCTTGATGCACACTATTTGCTCCCAGAAGAGGGTCTGTGGAATGCTTACACTAAGTCGAATCGAAATCAAGGTCCAGATACTTTAGTCCAACCCCGAATCATAGCTGGATCGTCGTCTGGGTCAGATGCTGACTTACCCGGCCCAAGGAAGCTCATATCCAACACGCCTGCCAATCCCGATAACTTCCATATACTCACATCTTCACCCAAGCCACCTCCAGCGCCATCACCTGCCGCACAACCATCTTCCCCCGCTTTACTTATCCCAAAACTTCGATGGGCCAATATTGGCTGGTCATATCACTGGGGCAGCAAACAATATGACTTTACGAAAGGGAAAGCACCTGTTGGCGAAAATGTTAGAAATTTATGCAAAAGGGCTGTATCTGCTGTCAACTGGGAGCAGGTATTTGGGAACCAAGAACATGCAGATGGATGGGGGGACGACGATTGGAGGACATGGGAGGAGACTTATGGTGCACTAGATTTTGCACTTCTGTCATGACCCTATTTTTGATACTTACATCTATATTAATACAGAGCCTGACGCTGGGATTGTAAATTTCTACCAGACAAAGGTAGATTCACCTGTATTCGCGCTTATTCATTCTCAAAAATATATCTCAATCAATTCACAGGATACTCTTATGGCGCACGTAGATCGATCAGAAGTTTGCGCAACATCACCTCTGGTGTCCATATCGTAAGTCATTGACATCCCTTAACGCGTGACTTCACTGATGTACTGCCATCAGACTAGGAAATGCTGCAATATTCCTAATCGGGGGCCTTACAAGAGATACCGCACCAATACCCATCCTCGTACGCTCAGGAGACGTAATTATTATGTCTGGTCCCGCGTGCCGACGGGCTTATCACGGTATGTTTCCTTTATACATCCATCGGCCTATACGACCGTTCCAAAAAAATGTTACTGAGTTTCCTGTCTGGTAAACGAAGGCGTTCCCCGGATATTGGATAACACACTACCCCCACATCTGTCGCATATAGCAGACGAAGGCGGAGATGATCATGAAGATGGAGATTGGGTGGAATATGAGAGGTACATGCGCACGACGCGCATCAACATCAACGTTCGACAGGTATTCCCGAAAGGGTTTGATCCAGGAGTGCACCCAGCGGAGTAATATGTTGTTGGAAAGTATATGTCATCGTGAGGCGATGTATTAGTACAGGACTCTGGGGGGACTTTTGATTCAAGATCTTATACTATCTAGCGTGCAGAACTTAGAACGCATTCGTAACTATCAGCTTATGGATGGATAACTATGTGCTTAGGGAGTAAAAGAATTCAGGGGAACTGATATGGGTGTTAAGTTATCAAAACTCTCTTTGATTAACTCCACCCGTTTGAAGAACCGAAAAGGTGTATCACTGGACGCTGTTGTAAAATGAAAAGGTGATGGAATAGGTCATGTGCTACTGCTGAATTGTGCGATTCTTCTCTCTGGAACTAACAGGTTCGGATTAGAAGCTTAGGGGCTGATAATGCGCTCCAACGTTACTGACGCTGTCAATGATAGTACGGGAGTAACTTAATACGGATCATATAGATGTTTACCTTGGGTCACACCTCACACCCCTGCACGAAACTCCTAAAAAATGCCAGCTATACTGATTCAAGAAAACAAGTCCTGTAGTAGGTTAAGCCGATTTGCTTGTGAACAAGGGAAGTAGTGCTATCGCATGGCAACAAATCCATGAATACATGAGAGAAAGGCTGAGCATGAGATTTCGTTGGATGAAGATAGATCACTATCACTTACGGCACTATAATAGTGCTCTCACCGTCCAACTTCTGCTGACGCGAACGGGAATAAGGATAGTGCAACAGGCACATGTAATCTTTTGCTTGCGTTGGCCGCGTTGGAGCTCTAATATGAAGCACCGATGGGAAGGCACATTCCAGAAAGCAATGTTGCTTTGTTGCTTTGTTGTGACGTCAAAGTATTATTAGTATTCTTCGTCATACCTATCCACACCCCCTTGTCCACCGCCGTCAGGTGAGAGAGGCCTCCACGCTTCTATCTCCTCCGCGCCATCCGTGGTGGTAAATCCCGTAGTGTTGAGCACCGGCGAAGACGGATATTCACCAACATCGACGCCAGCATATTCGTCGTCCGATTGTCCTTCTTCGACGAGAGAGTCCGTACCACGTAAAACACGCTCCAACGCATCCATATTGATACGGTTTGCGCCACGAGCCACTTCCTTACCCTTTCCTTTGGAACTTTTCTTCGTCTGCGCGTTCTCTTCTGAATAGCTATCAGGTTTATCGACCAAATCATCTTCGCCCCATTCCAACATAAAAAGCGGCTGTAACTTTTCACGTTCTTCTTCGCTTCTGAATATTCCTTCCCACTCACTTTCTTCAAATAACTCGTCATCGCCGACATGATTGAGGTCACTTCCGCCACGTGCCGTAGCTAGCAGTTGAAGACGCGTTGGTTTATTGCGTAAGGGCAGGTCAGGAGAGCAAGCAAGGAGATACGAAGCAAGCGACGGGGACTGGGCGCTACTGGGACTTACGAGATGAGAAGACACTTGACTTGTCGCAGAGCTAGAAGCGGGGGGAAGGGCAGAAGAGAGAGGGTCCAGTAGGAATTGACATGCTTGGCCAAGAGTCCCGTGAGTTGTTTTCCGTTTCTTGTGAGGATGTGTCAATGTGTCCACATGATCTGGCATCACCCTATTCTTGGCCATCATCGTCGTAGACACCTTAGGGTCGTCCAGGTTTATAATTTCGCCGTCTTCATCTTCATCTACTTCTGAATCCACATCTAAAGCGATATTGAGCTTATCTTGATTTTCAAACTTCTTTTCCCAGATCTCTTCCCGGAATTGGATGACATCTTTCAAACCTCCAGCGACTATTGAACGTTTCGGGACCTTTGCACGCGCTTTCTTCCCGTGGCCTTTGTTTTTCGGTTCAAAATGGTCAAGCCATGGAACTTCGCGAATCCATTCCTCCACAAGATCGTATATCGTCCTGTAGCGCGACATCACCACACCACGTGCGAAACCAAAACGAGATGCCAGAACACTGGAAAATTCACCGAGCTTGGGAAAAGATGTGCGCAACTCTGCTTCAAGGGCAAGGATCAAGATTGCGCACGCTGTTGGCGGCGTCGGGAGTTGTGCAATGGGGAGAACAGGTACATGACCTATGAGAATATCAGATAAAGACGTAGCTATGCGAATGATTGATGGGAAAGACAGAGATTTGAGAAGAGATCCGTGTTCTGGGAGTAATGATATAGAAGTGGACTGGGACTGTGAATGCAGAAGTGATTGAAGGTGGGCCTGTATGATGAGAAAGTGGACGGAAGGATCTGTTGAGTCTAATTTGAATTCCAATAGAGATACCACGGCAGTGAAAGCGCGGGATAGGGAAATGGGTGAGTCATCGAGTAAGAAAGCAATATCACGGAGCGAATCAGATTTGTGAGCCTCACGCAGGGCGATGGCAATTGACGCGCCGGCTGCGAGTTTCGCTCTGCGGCCCCATTTGTAGTTACCTTTCGACATTGCCTGTGTGAAGATGATGATGGCTCGTGGGGATAGACCGGGATAGTTGAGCCTTGTTAAGAGAGATTTGATAAAGCTGTGGATCGCAAACTAGATCAAAAGTAAGACAGCAATGTGAGGTTAGCCGGAAGAAACATAGAAGAGATGAGAAGACGTACCGCGTTTTTTCTGTCCCTTGCTTCCTTCCCTTGGCCGGCGAGATTCCAGCCATTTTTACTGCGGATACTTTTGAGAGTTGTGGAAGAAGAGTACGAACTAGAGGGATATTGAGCAGCAGAAGTATCGGAATATTCTACATGTGTTGACAGCAGTGACTGGGATGGATCGCTGAGGGTGCCACATTGTGTACAGATCGCTGAACAGACGTCCTCGTCCCATACGCATGCTGCCCCGCATTCCCCGCAACTGGTCATAGAGGAACATGGCACCCGTGGGAATCATGTAATAACTTGCCACATGAGGTGAGACCCCGGACACTCTGTTCAGAGTTGCTGTCAATACTAACCACAACACACTGCATACATCAACCACCTGCCGCTTGTTTCTTGAAAACTGTCTAACACGCACCTGCATATCCCTCACGTCACTTCCACATAAACGCATATGCCCACCCAGTACAAAGCTCACAGGGGCGTGAATTTCGCGACGGAGATCTGTTTCTCCCTCGTATTTACCAATTTGATTTCGTGGGGAATGTGATCAGGGTCCAAGTTGTGGATCTCTGACGTTTGAGTGTGAGTTCAATCTCATTTTTTGCAGAATTCGGCTGCCCTAAGCCCATTCCTGTATTTGGCTGCTATTGCCTACATGAGATAGTTACGCCCTGGGTCTATTCCATCACCAGCAATCAATCAAACTTGAAGCCTGATTGGACTTGCATTTAAATAGCCCTCTGAATCTTAGTCGTCTCTCCTCCTTTACCCCACAATGTCTCCACCAGCCAGCGTTCATGTGGATTTCGAGTCCAAACATCCCTCCGCCATCAGGCGTAGGCTCTCCAGCGTCAGTTCGTCCCAAAAGCCCAATGTCCATGCATTCTCTAGTCTCGCCGTAAGTCTCGTGGTTCCTTCATACTTGGTCATCATCTAAGTATAATCTCATGTCAATCTAGTCCATGTGGGCTGGTATCGCTGGTAGTGTTGTGAACGGGGGCACATCCTTCGAAATTGCCATCTCTGTCCACGATTCCGTCTACAGCACCGACTTTGCGTCCGCTGTGGTCCCCTACACCCCCAACGACCCCGCGAAGACGGCTACAGACATCGAGGTTCATGTCTTACAGACTATCAGGAGATTTTCTACAGAGCATCTGTGCAAGTTCCTTGGTGCTGGTGTCACCCTCACTCTCCTTAAAGAGGTACACACCGTGTCGTCTTTGCCGACTGAAGAAGTAATCTGATCTGCCTTCCCTATTTAGTGCCCCAATCTTTGCACCCGTTTGTGGATGGAACTGGACGTAGTGCCAATTGTGTTCAACATCAAGCCTTTCCATACAGACTCACTCACTCGTCCCAACGTCAAACATCGTATATCTTCCACAACTGGTTCATACGTTCCTTCTGGGACTGATACCCCAACCGTATATGTGGACCCATCTCCTCTTATTCACCAGGACAACCTCCAGAGTGGCGTGACGACTAAGCTCCCCATTCCGCGCACCCTTGATGAGCAGGCCGATTCTGCCGCCCGAAAATGTATCATGTATTATGGTCCGAACAACAACCCACGTCTGAGCATCGGCCCACGCAATCAAGTCACAGTAGATGCTGCTGGGAAAATACATCTCCTTGACGATCTTGAGGAGTACAGGAAGACTGTCGGACAAGGCACTTGGAACGCGGTAATCAAGCTTGCCGATGAATTGAGAGAAAAGAAAGTCAAAATTGGCTTCTTTTCATCCACTCCTCAGGGAGGTGAGTAAGTATTTCAATTCAATACGCACGAACTCTGATAGTAGTTATTTTTGCCATCCACTTTTAGGAGGAGTTGCACTTGTGAGTTTACCCCCGTGAACCTTGTTTTCATATACTCATAATCTCACCTGTCGTGTGACAGATGCGACATGCTCTGATCAGATTTCTGACTGCTCTGGATGTAGATGTTGCCTGGTACGTAATACATACAGCGGCCTCTTGATTGCCGTCTGTTCCGCATCACACTCACATGTCTTTCCTGTGACACAATTTAGGTACGTGCCCAACCCGTCACCAAGTGTCTTCCGCACAACCAAGAACAACCACAACATCCTTCAAGGCGTGGCGGCGCCCGACCTGCGTCTCACGCAAGAAGCCAAAGACCAATTCGATGCGTGGATTCTCAAGAACGGTTTGAGGTGGACGGCTGAAGGTGGTCCCCTGGCTCCCGGTGGTGTAGATGTTGCCTTCGTCGGTAATTGGGCTCCTGATATCATTGATGTCCACTCACATCTCCGTGACAGATGACCCACAGATGCCTGGTCTAATTCCTTTGATCAAGAAGGTTAGACCCGAGTTGCCTATCGTATATCGCTCCCATATCGAGATCCGGAGTGATCTCGTGCATGTCCAAGGTTCCCCTCAAGAGGAAGTCTGGAAGTACCTGTGGAACAACATTCAGCTAGCCGACCTCTTCATCAGCCACCCAGTCAGCAAATTCGTCCCGAGCGACGTACCGATTGAAAAGTTGGCTCTGCTGGGAGCCGCTACTGATTGGTAAGGATCATTTTTCCGTTTAAGAGGTGGCAGCGTCTAATTGACGCAAATAGGCTTGATGGTCTTAATAAGCATCTTGACACATGGGACACCCATTTCTACATGGGCGAATTCCGGAGTCTGTGTGTTAAGGAGAAGATGAACGAACTCAGGTGGCCTTCTCGCGATTACGTTGTCCAGATTGCGCGATTCGATCCGTCGAAGGGCATCCCGAACGTCATCGATTCATATGTTCGTTTCCGTAAACTGCTCAAAGAAAGTGGAAAGGTGGCAGAAGACGAGATGCCGCAGCTTTTGATCTGTGGCCACGGTGCCGTCGATGATCCCGATGCCAGTATCATTTACGACCAAGTTATGAATTTGATCAACTCCGACCATTACAGGGACTATTCCAAAGATATGGTTGTCATGAGACTGCCCCCCAGCGATCAGCGTACGTCACATCTTGCACTCTCATGCTAGACTCCTTTTCTGACAGGACATTATCATTAGTCCTGAATGCTCTTATGGCGAATGCCAAGATCGCCCTGCAGCTTTCGCTCCGCGAGGGCTTCGAGGTCAAGGTTTCGGAAGCATTACACGCTGGTATTCCTGTCGTTGCCTCTCGAACTGGTGGTATCCCACTACAGATCGAGCATGGGAAGTCCGGCTATCTCACAGATGTGGGCGATAACGATGCAGTTGCGAAGTATCTATACGAGCTTTACACAGATGCTGATCTGTACAAGGCGATGTGCAAGTACGCAGCCACCCATGTATCAGACGAGGTGGGCACAGTAGGGAATGCTGCATCCTGGATGTACCTGGCTGTCATGTATAATCGTGGCGTCAAGATCCAACCCAAAGGCGCTTGGTTGAACGACATGTTGAGAGAGGAGACGGGTGAATTGTATGTTGAGGGTGAGCCGAAATTGCCCCGTGGTGGTTTGGATATGCAGGGCTGAGCGAGATGCTCATGATTACTTCTTGTATCCCTCACTGCACAAAACTGACAGTTACAGTCTTGTTTGTATTTTTTGTTGTATCACTAGAAGTCTCAGGCTATCTGTATACCCGATGTACACCTGTAGATTTCGCTGTTTTTTATGTTATGCACTGTCTTAGAGTCTTTCTGCTCAGATAGCAAAGTTGTTGCAATAAAGTTCAAGATCTCAGTGACACACTGAGGACGATACGGTCTGTAGTTCCGAGGTCCGACTATAGTGGCTCGGATGTATTTGCCTTTGTAGACGGGCATTGTGTAAGGCGTCTCGCCATAAGCTGTCAGTGGCACTGCCCGTGAATCTCTCCGAGTCCATTCCTGTTATCCTTCGTCCTCCTTTCACTGTGCTATTTGGGTTCACAATGCACATGGAGGTCGACATACATTCGCCTCCATACAAAGGCACGCGTTCATACTCCACAAAAAGGCCCCGCTCCCCAGACGACTCAATAGTTTCGGAGCGTCATTCAGTACGTTGGACTTGTTACAGAACTTTCAAGTGACTCAACTTCACTACCTTGTGTTTTGTCACGGAATTTTACGAATAGAAACGCCTGTCTTTAGCTATAGGTAATGCGCGTTTGCCACAGACCAGAACCTCCCACAATGGGGTCATTACCCAAACTTCTGACAGTACACTTCGGCCATCTCCCGAGGATTGGGTGCGGCAGACTAGAGGACTTACAATCGATAGTCCTCTAGCAGTCACTGAATTTCCCTTTTCATGCCAATCTGTCAACCAGGATGCCATAGACGATAATATGGTCAGTCCTGATTTTAGCCTGCCATTCGGAGCATTCGGAGCACCAGGACTCCTGGTGTTGTGATTAGATTCTGACGTACTATACTTAGACTTTAGATTATGATGAAGGCACGCACATAAGGTCCCCACCATTACCTACGCCCAAGCCCAGTCCTCCGAGAAACGTACCGTTCATACAAATCTCAACGACATCCTCTACTCAATATCCCCCGCAGCAATTATATCAAGTTTCGAGACAGTCCCACCACCAAAGTCAATCTTCCTCACTCCCTTTACCATCGTTGCTCTCACCTTCGCCCTCAGCGTTAATAGCGCCTTCACTAGGCTCAGACCATCATCATCCTCCAATGATATATCTTCATCCTGCTACACCATCTGATACGCCTTCTCTTCAGAGTTCATTACAGTTTGGTGCCGAATCACACCTCCACACACGTCAAATATCCCCTATATCTAGTTCAATGTCCGGTACTTCTCCCACTTCTCCCCAACCGAATTCGCCGATTTCCTCTGGGCGTAAGCAACGCTTTACCATGGGCCCCCGAGCGGATTGCATCAAGTGTAGAACAGGGGTGAAGGGCCATTGGATGCATGTTGGCTGAGTAGACAGTTGTGTTATGTTTGAGTTGTCAAAAGTATGAAGTTTACTGACTATTACGTATCTTTGGAAAACCCTCGAATACGCATAGACTCATATATCCAGGTTTCTGCAGATAATGTATTTAGCTGATACTCGATGCTTATTCCTACATTAACGTTCGACTGAAGCTAACGTGATATATATATATTCGATTCTGGCCGGCCGGCCCGGGAATGGCTCATATATTTGCAGCTGATTGGCAAGAGCCTCCATTTCAAACAAGTCAAAACAGTAGCTTTCCCAATCAGTGCGCTCTATTTACTATCAAAAAAAATTCCTGTTAGGCGCAAGCCGCGGTGCTTTCCGCTCTATGGCTACAACACTTCCATTATTCTGGGACTTGTCTTCGTCCACCAAAAAGGATCGTATAGACGCCTCCGTGAAACTAATAGGTGCTCTCGAACAATTTCAAGCTCAGTATATTCCCAAGGATTCTCCAGACGGTTCAGACGATGAAGACGAGGACCAAAATCCAAACAATGACGGTTTAGACACCCTTAATGCTCAAGATGTTTCATATTCAATAAGACGACTCGTGAGAGGTCTTGCTAGTCCTCGAGAAAGCAGTAGGTTGGGCTTTGCTGTCGCATTGACTGAGGTGAGTTGTAGGCGGAAAATAGTCTAAAAAGCTGATTATTTTACCCTTTTCTCAAGTTACTCTCCAGATTGGACACCATCACATGTTCTCAGACTGTGGCTCTTCTCCTAAATTACACCAAAACAAATGGATCTATGACCGGGCAAGAAGAACGCGATATGATCTTCGCTCGACTATTTGGTTTCACAGCAATCATTCAGTCTGGCCTTCTCGTTCGACAGAGGCCTCTTCCTACATCTGCTTCATCTGCAACACTTGCATCAAGCTTGGAGGGTTTCAACGAGGTTCTTACAGAGCTGATTGTCTTGGGCGATAAAAAATCCTGGCTTCGGGAAAGTGCTTGGTGGTCGATAGGGCTTGCAATTGATGTACTCAGTACTTCTGATGCACCGTGGAAGAAGGAAGCCTTTGAGGCTACTATTCAGAGTATATTCGTGGATCAGAACATTTGGACACCCGAAAAAGTTGCTGTGGCTCTAAAAATGCAACTATTGGTTCCTCAACATAACTGGCAGAAAACACTATCAACTACATTCAAAAGTCCCGATTTGCTCAGTCCTGTAAATCTTTCAGCGTTAGCACAGATCATGAAAGTCAGTTGCAGTTCTGTCCTTACTGACTTTGTCTTCACTCATTACATGTTCATTGGTTAGGAAACGTCTTCGGATGATGGTGTCGCAGTGACAGTATCCAGTAGCAACTGGAAGCCACAGATTCACTATGCATGGGACATCATTCTGGACCGTTTACCAAGTTCAGGAGCCCAGTCCAAAAACATTTTCCGTGAATTCTTCCGAGTCGTAGTTGATGGTATGATATTTTTCGAGATTATAATCTCAGACATCCGACGTTTCAATTATAGAATCATTGTTTTCCTCTACATCGTCTACCGAGCGCAAATACTGGGGTTTTCAAGTCTTTCAGAAAGCTTTACCTCGAGTTGCTGCAACCGATCTCCCACTGTTGTTCACCAAGAACTTTATGCGTACTTGGATAAACCACTTATCAAATAATGATCGGTATTTGCATAAAATTGCGATACAAGTGGTATGTAAATCCTTGCTATCTATTCGGCAATTGCCCTGATGCCTCTTGCAATTATCAGGCCAAAGACATACAAGCATTTGTTCAGAAAAATCCTGCATCAGGGCTTCCGTTTATCCTGCAGCTCACTGGTGTCAACGGTAATTACCAGTTCGATAAATTGACTAAAACCAAGACTGTGGAATCCATTTTGGCTTCCATGGATAGTGAAGGAATCAAGAGTTATATAGACTATTTATTCCAGCAAGTCAACAACATAGTTGATGGGCCTGCACAGTTCGTGTTCTATTCTTGATGTGTCGTCAAAATTTACCAAGTGCAAGTACAGAGATGATATACCAGCTATCAACGCAAGAAGAGCTTGGATTGGTAGTCAGTTAGCAGCGTTGATTCACAATAAATCAATACCAAAAAGCGATGACTGGATACAACCTATCTTGGATTGGTTTGTTGTGAATGGTCTATTTATATTGAAGGCAAAAAATGAAAAGAGTGTCTGCCGTGCGGTGAGTCTTCTATTTGGAAAACTGAGCACTGTTTGAACTGAAGACGTCGTGGCCTAGCTCCATTCGTTACCATCTCCAAGTTTCTCCGACGACTTGCGCCAGAATTACCGTGACCGGCTTCTCAGTTGTCTGGCTGATTTGACAGGACAGACTACTGCTATCAAAATAGGTCTGTAAACCATATTGATGCTATTCGTTTCACTCATTGTGCATAGGTGACAAGATACAGAAAGCATCTGCCGTTGCAGCCGATGGAGAACTCTGGGTTTCAAAAGTTTTATCCAGAATAGAGCAACTGGAGAAGGACACAAAGCATGTCTCTTCCCTTGCAGAGGATGACGAGGAGGATGTGGCATTACGAACACGTGCGTTACAAGTGGTAAAAAAGCTGAAGAAGGTATGTTTTCTGATCGTGTAGGCTAAGCAACTCCTGCTGAAACAAGTATGTGAAGGCATCTGACAGTCAAGGTGAACAAGCTAAGGGGGCTGAGTTACTGATTGAGGCTATTCTCATCCAACAGTATTGTGCCGATGAAGACGCTGTAGAAATGGAAGTTTTAGAGGTAATTGGCAGAAGGGTCTATTCTTTCAATATCAACTAATCTAACATGAATTTTGCAAGTCATGTATTGAAGCCACAAACCAAATGTTTTTGGTCAACAAGAAAGGCAAAAAATCCAGAAAATCTGTGGACAATAAAGATGGCGAGCAAACTCCAGATCCTATTGATGTTTTCGTGGATACTATTATTGGATTTTTGGAGAGGCCCTCAACGTATATGCGTACAACTGCCAATCAGTCGTTCTCTTTGCTTACTGGGGCTGTACAAGAGAGCACCATAGAGTTGATAGTGCGAGTAAGTCATATATAAATATATATGCTCGGTGTGAAAGACGTTAATCATGTGCTCTTACAGCAATTAGAGCGGAGAGACCCCGCTGAACTTGCGACAGATGGCGACAGTGATGAGGAAGAAGAGGTGGAAGACAATCTTGATGATGAAAACGATGAGAGTGACGATGGTGTGACTTCCGCGGGCGAAGAGTCTGAAGACTTGGATGATGCCGAGGATGCTCTTCAAGTCAGAGCGAAAATAGAGGAAGCCCTTCGGGCAAATGGAATAGAGGCTGCGACCGGTGATTCAGATGCTGACACCGACGAAGATCTCATGGATGATGACCAGATGATGGCAATTGATGAGCATTTAGCAGAAGTCTTCCGGTCGCGGTCCAATGAGAAGGCAAGTAAAGGTGTGTTGTGTTTTATTTCATTTGGCATACAAAGAAACGACTGATAGACTACTCAGGTGTCGACGCTCAACGAGAGGCTACCCATTTCAAGAACAGGGTCCTTGATCTTATTGATACATATATTAAGAAGCAACCGACGAGCTCCCACAACGTCCTCCTCGTATTGCCCCTCGTCGAGATCGTTACCACTAGTGGGCTTGACGAACGTCAGCTAGTAGATAAGACTACAGGCCTTTTGAAGTCTAGGTTTGAAAAACCAAAGGACGTCCCATCTAATGCCAATGTCGAGCAGGTCAAGACCCTACTCGAAGAGCTCCACCAGAGAGCTCGGAAGACACGTTCATCCGATAGTCTGACGACCTTGAGCTTCTGCAGCCTGTACCTTTCGAAAATGTTGTTGCAGTCTAATGCAGAAGAATCCATTCACCACATATACCAACAGTCTTTCACCGATTTTATCACCCGCAAGGCGTCACATCTTAACGTCAACTTCTTTCAAGACTATGCCCGTCGTTATCCTCTATTAGGCTGGAAACTTAAGACGTATATAATCGAGGTTTCTGGCGAGGCAACGAATATCTACCGGAAATGTCAAGCATTCCAGCTTTTGCAAGTGATTGTCAATCAGTTGCCCTCAATAGTGAGTTTGACATTGAGCTTTTTCAGAAATCGGATTGTTATTAATCATCATACAGAGCTATAAGCAAGACGAAGTTGTGAAGTTCATGACAGCTCTTCGCCATGCTTTATTGGATCTGATCTCCTCAGCTTGTGATGAAAGGGCTGCTTTGACGGCCGCTCAGATCAAGGAATTGCTGAAACTTGGCCTTCTTGCTATTCGTCAAACGACTAAAGCGCTCTCCAAACCAAGTGATATTGAAACTATATGGGATCCGAGTTCGTGGAAAAATGTACTCGAGAGACTCTCCTCATCCAGTCGCTTCAAATCGTCTACTGCACTTCTCAAAATGTGCGAGCAGATTGCGAAGAGCGCCAAAATAGCAAGCCCAGAGAAGATCAATGGCACTAATGGGAAGGAAGGCTCCTCCAAGCGGAAAGCCGGTGACGTGAGCGAAGGTGAAGGAGGAGGATCCAAGAAGGCCAAACAGAAAAGGGCCAAAAAAAGCAAAGCTTGATTGTTTCATCTCATACATTCATATAGAATCATGTTTAGCTCGTAGCTCATTCAATGCTGTATACCTTCCTTTCAAGCATTCACCGATGAGTTGCGCACACTGCCGAGTTCTGACAGTTTTGCGGTTAGAGTGGTTCAAATGTCTAGTTGGAGGATTCACACCTGTTTTGTGCATGCCGCTTCTCGATGGTACATTGATATGATTGGGAACGCTCTGTAGCAACTTGAAGGATTTCTTCAGAGACACCAGCTAGGCGGGCACATTCTACTCCGAATGATTCAGCAGCAATGCCAGGAATCAAGCGATACAAAAAGGTGATGTCCCTGGTCCCGTTTATGCGTGTCTCAGCAGTATATCCCATGTGTAAGTTTTGGATTGCGTTAGGGAATTTCCTCTCCAGATCAACTGCCACAAGAGGATAATGCGTAATAAACAACGTTTTGCAATGGACATTCCGCACTAAGTGCTCCAGGACAGCATGAGCAACCGCCATCTACGTAAGAATCAGCACTGGCGAATATGAAGTCTTCTGGAAAACCTACACCATCCACTGTGGAAGTTCCCCTTCCAAGTTCGTCTAGTATAACGAGACTCCTTGACGTGGCGGCTTGCAGAATATCGCTTGTTCCAGCCATCTCCACCATGAAGGTGGAACGCCCTCGATCAAGTTCATCCGAAGCTAGGAATTGATGAGCACCCGCTCTTAGCTACCTGGTTTGGGAACTTACCACCCATCCGGGTCAAGATGCTATCAAGTAGTCCCAATCTAGCAGACTTTGCAGGAACGTAAGATCCAATTTGAGCCATTATAGATATGAGAGCAACCATCCTGACAGCAGAGCTCTTCCCTCCCATATTTGGCCCAGTGATGATCTTACTGGAAGGCTCGTCCCCTCCCATGTCTATTGAGTTCGGCACGAAAGGATCCGACCTAAGGGCCTCAACCATCGGGTGACGTCCTTCAATAATCTCCAACTTGTCTTCATCTGTGAATTGTGGCCGGACATAGCCATCCTGAAGAGCAACTTGTGCAAAACTTAACAAGCAATCAGCAATAGCCAATTTGTTTACAGCATCCCGGATCACAGTATAATGGTCCTGAACGATGTCATTCAAAAACGACTCGAAAGCTTTTATGGCCTCAGCTTGTAGAGATTCCATATATCGAGCGCGTTCGTCTCTTTTCTTTTTTACGTCAGGGGTCAGGTATCGCGTCAGATACTTAGTCCTAAAGAAGTATGTTTTCATCCTGGAGAAAGAATACCAAGTATCTATATGCTAACCTAGATGCAATAAACCAGTTCGGTGGAACCTCCCGATTCTCTGTTTTCTTCAATTCAACAAGATACTGCACAAAAATGAGGTAAGGTCATAGTAGACTCAAGAATTAATTACTTACTTCTTCTCCAGCAAAGGTTGTCCATTGTAACAATGGCTTTTTCAGTACCTTGCGAACTGGTATCTTGAATAAGGCGTGTAGACATTTCACAGGGAGAAGTTACATACTAGACTTCAGCTCTTCCTTGAGGTCCGCCTCGACAGCCTGGATCGCCTTCAATAATAATCAACATGAAAAGTTACGTCAAGACTACAAATGCTAGGACACACCATAGCCATATCATCAAGTGCAGGATATTTGTCAGGATCAGACCAGAGTGTATCCTTCCGCCCATCAAATGCCTTTTGCAAAGAAATGGATCCTAATAGGTCCATTACGGGCTGCTTTAGCTTGGGCAAAGAGATGACAAGTTCTTTCAAGAGTTTCGCTCGAAAGCCGCCATCCGCGCTGTCTTTGCAACCTTCGAATACAGTGGCAACTTTCTTGAAAGCCAGAAGTAATGTTGCAAGTTCCTGAGGCGTGCACTGAAATACAATAAGCCATGAGTACTCATGATCTCTGTACAGGTCTAACTTACTTTGCCGTATTGAATGCGGCACAAACCTTTGGAAAGATCGGGTAGCTTCTTCAGAACTTGCTTCAGAGCCACCAATCGCTCCGATGAACTGGATATAATTTCCTCCACAGCATCCATCCTCTCTTCCAAAATCCTTCAATACATTGAGCTAGGATAATGCCGATAGAGCAAAGGACACTTACTCTTTATGTACGAGTGGTCTACCCACCCAACTTTTGAGTAACCGTGCACCAAACTTAGTGGTTGTGCGGTCTAAAATCCACATCAAAGAGCCTTTGGTCGTGAAATCCGTTTCATTCCGATAAATTTCCCTAATGGCATAATGTCGTCAGTTTTTAACCAGCTTACCAGACACGCAGGGGGAAAACATACAGGTTGACCAATGTGTTGCCATTGAGTAGCATGTGCGTTCTGTTTGTAAATCTCATGAAGAACCTTATTCCAAGAAAAGCATCTGCAATACTAAACGCCGAAAGGTACTTGATAGCATGAGCTAGAACGATTACTACTTGCTGTGGGAAATCGGTCACAGATGCGAGTAGTTTTTCTATGTCATGCGCTCAGAAACAATGAAGATGAATGTTCCTATATGCACACCTGGGTCAACATTTCCAGACCTTCCCTTTGATTTATCAGCATAGAAGCCGGAAACAAAATCAAAAGCCTCGGTATAAGTCAATGTGTCATTGAAGCGCTCCAACCTTGGTTTACTATTTTCCGTGGAACTTCTGTCGGTCGATCATCACATACCAAGATGATGCGATGAAGAAATACCAGACTCACTCGGTATAGTGAGTTAATAATTTTTCAGTAAATTTACTTAGCCCTTCATGAGGCAAAAGTAGTTCTGCGGGCCTTGTATGCACTAATCTAGTCTGGTGGACCGTAAGTGTATGCTATAATTCATATAAGTGAATTACAAACTTCAAGATCAATACGCATATATGTATCTTTTGGAGGAAGCTGTTAGCGGATCGAAGCAATCATAAGCCAGGTAATTCACCATTGAACTCATCCCATACGACGTCTCCTGTGCGAGGACTGATAGAAATCATACCTATAGATACATCGTTGGAGCGTGTGTCATCCTTGGAATGCTCAACAAGACATAATAGTGATGGTGAAGTGTGTTTATCGAGATCGTCGACGGAGTCCATTTCATCCACATACCTGTTTTCAATACTGTTTTATCACTATTGAGAGAGTTTATATAAACTTGACTACTCACGTTGTCGCTGTATACAAATGAGTAAGCTTTCGTTGGAATAATGTGTTCCTGTTCTCGCTGACTTTCTTCAATGCAGCTGTTTCCACTTGCTCGATTATCCCTACTTTGTGCCCCTGGGAGAGTAATCTATACGACTGTGAGTTGATTGGTATATGATAACAGGCATTGGCACTTGCTTCTTAAGGTGTACATCACGTCTATGAACGGGAACCGACGCCGTCCAGAGATTACGACGCATATAACATACAATTCCTAGTTCTTTGCTCGCTATCTAAAGCGCTTATTAAAGATTGTTGGCATTTCCAATGAAAGATGTAGCTCACCTTAGCGCTATCTTCATAAAAGTAATACTTATACCCGGTCTCGACCATTAGCATCGTCCCTGGGTTATCGCGTATGAATTGTAAAACCTGGAAAAAGCAGTCAGAGATGGGTATCGAGTGTTCAAGTAATTTATTGACCTGTTTTTCTGAAGGTGTATAAGGTTGGCCACCGGGTCCAATTTCCTCCTCCATTGCTTTCTCTTTAGTGCCTGTAGCCATCTTACGCTTCGACTTCCCTTTGCTCGACTTGTGTGAGAACATTTCATTCAGCTTCTTGAAAGCCCTGTCTGACTCATCCCCAGAAAGCTCCTGAGGTTGTTCATCTTCACCCTTCTCGCCGTCCTCACCTACTTCTATGGTCTCGCGATCGTCATTTCTACCTCTACCTGCGATAAAGACGTTATTCTCTCCGAGAAGGACTCTTTTGAACTCTTCGCGACGTTTTATTTTCGAGATTTCCTCAGCTTTCCTCGACTCCGGGGAACCCTTGAGGTGAGGAGCTGATAGCTGAGAAGGATCAAAGCGCCATTGTTCTGCAGACGAGGAGTTGTTCCCAGAAGTGGAAGGATCCGAGACGTCGTGACTATACTTAAGCCGCTTTCCTGGAGGTCTCTCCCAGTCATCCTGGCCGTCCTCAACAGTCAAGTCGATAGGCGAGTTGTCAGCACCTGTAGTCCGCCTTTTGGCCAATGGCGTGTGTTGACTGAAATAGTGAGAAATGGTAGGCTGAGTTTTGGGACTCGATCCAGAGAGCCTCCTCATATCATTGAATATCCAAGAAAACCAAGAAAACCAAGAAGACAGCAGAAGAATAAATCGACAGCAGCCAAAGACAAGCACCACAATGATTCTGACATTGAACTTACGAAACGCGGGATCACGCGATCACGTGAAAGTGATTTTTTCATCGGGTGGCGCCGACGGTGACCTCAAGTTTACCACTAAAGGTCAAGTTGCAACAGTAATACTAATCCATGCAAGCTTTTCAAAGAACATGGCTGACGCGCTCTCTGGCAGTCTCTGCAGCAAGGTCAGAATTGCATAGCTCAAGGCTAGTATGGTGCACCAGAAAATACGTAACAGCTGCCTCGCATGATGGTCCCGTCGTTTCTGAGACGAATCGTATGTACCAGCAACGTCGTACTCACCTTCCGTACCCATAATTAATAAATCTCGAACTCGACAGGTGCTGAAGCGACATTGAAAAGGTTCTGGAAACACGTCGGGCTAGAAAAGCGTGATAATTCATTTGCGGTGACGCTTGACAAACGTGCAATAAAGACACCTTCTGGAAACACTCTGCTGTTACCCGAAAACAAACGTCTGCTAGCAACGCTCATCGCAGACGAATGGGAAAACCAAGAGAGGCTCTTGCAGCCTCATGCGTTACCCATGGTATGTCGATTGACCGGAGCTCGTTATCGCACATTTTTACTTCCTTCCAGACTTCGCTTGCATCGAGGGCCATAGATGCTATGGGAGACGATAAAACGCGCTCCGAGGTACGCGCAGCTCTTCTTACTTATCTTGACACGGACACTATTTGGTAGGTCTATCACATTTCTCTTGCCAAGGATTCTGTTCTGATCCAAAATAGCTTCCATGCAGATGATCCGCCACCTGTCGTAGAGCTGCAAGAAAAATATTGGTTGCCATTACTCGATTGGGTTCGGAGCACCTTTGAGGTTGAGATAAAAGTTTTTGATTCAGTTCTTTTCCACTCGCAATCTGATGAAACAAAGCGGAAATTTGATGATGTCCTTGCGAACCTAAATCCTTGGGAATTAGCTGGTGAGTTCCACGGTGTCACTCAAAAATAACACTCACGTATTCTGGTAGCAATGGAGCGTGTTACTTATACGTCAAAATCATTCTTAATCGCTCTTGCCCTCGTGAAGAAACATCTGACTGTCGAAGAAGCAGCCTTGGCTGCACAAGTCGAGGTGGCCAGTCAAATCCAGCGGTGGGGGGAGGTAGAAGACTGTGAGTTTCTTCTGTTACTATTCTGTTACTATTGGTATCCCTTTTCCGGATCACTCCGGCGCCCTCTTCCACTTTCCTTTTTCTCTGACGGGACATACTGACTGGTCTTACTTTCTAGCTCACGATGTCGACTTCCACGATATTCGGCGGCAGTTAGGTAGCGCCGCTTGCTTGATGGCGAATGTTTCATAGATAGTGGCAATACCATTATCATTTATTTCTCCATATACATGATTCTCTCAAGAAAGTATCTTAAATGAAAAACACGCACACGAACGAATCTCCCCAGTCCGTAGTCATCGCTGTGAAATGCTGGTCCATCTTCGACTGCTGCGCGTTACTGTGTACCTTCAGCTGCCTGAAGTGGCCATCTCAGCCCTAATAGCCCAGAGAACCCCAGCTCACGAGTTCATATCCCCTCTGTCTCCGTGCTTCGCCGCTGTCATGTGAGGCACTAGCATAACGAGAGCGAACAGGATGATATCAGAAAAAATCTGTGCCGTTTCTTCCACAACCTTTTTGTATATTTACAAGATCAAAGATTGATGGGTGCTTGAGGCTGAATGAAATTCCGATTTGTCCAGTGGGCAGAATAGGTATCCCCCTGTCTGCTCACACCCACAACAAGTACCGTGCGTTTGCTGAATGAGCCCAAGCGCCTTTCTATTCAAGCCGATTGAGTAATGAATACGTTCTACTCGTACCTGCCCACGCACAGCATTGATATTGCTGCCAATTACCGATAGCTCAAACGGATGAGCAGGTTCCATAGCGCCTACATTTCGAATATTTCCCGCATCAAATGCCATGCAACGAACGATTCACGCTGCAAGTTATCATGTCAAACCTTGTTTGTATGAGCTTATCTGACTGACAGCCTACCTGCAGTGCACTATCAATTACCACTCTCATCCGCAATTCGGCACAGAGAAATCGAGGATGTGTGACCTGGACTGTGGTTACCTTGCGCAGGTTATCACAGCATCACCTTGAAGTACAAAGAACCTCCGTTGATGTCATGTTGGCATCCTTTTGGATCAGGTGTCCGTGCAGTAAAGCCATCTTCGTCGATGGTCACTGATAATCACAGATAAGTTCAGCATTGCACATGTCTTGTAAGCCGATACCTTCTAGTATTCGCTTCGGTCATTTTCATTTCCGAGTTAGATAGGACCTCTTTTAAAGGCTTGAACTTCAAAGTTTGAGCCTTCGAGATGTGTACAGTATACTAGAACTTACTAGACGTTAGGAGAGCACATATCAATCATGATATGACTACCCGTCGCCTTTCGCGACAAAGTTGAACTCAGCGCTTAGTGTTGCACCCTTGATCCATTTATGATCGAACCAACCAAGACACGGGAAACTTATATCTGGGGAAGTGGCCGTCAAGACACGGGGCAAGCTTGGCGAGCATAATGATCACGAGTGGTCTGAATTCCTGGCACACGAGGACGAGAATCCCACAAGCGTTGATTTGTGAGGCCTGCACAAATACACAGTTAGCGACGAAGAACCACTGAGGTGCGACTATGATTGATGCTGCCGCTGCTGTGAGAAATGCGCAAGCTCAGCTTGGTTTAGCACCAAGCCTGCTTTCGCCAGCGGCGATCCGCCGTCCCGTACACTCCGCACCGTAGTAACTCGGTTTATTGATTTCAGTATATAGCATGAACTGCGAAGAAGTGCATAACCCAGCCTTCAGACAACGAACAGACATGACTGAGAACGTATTGAAATCGTTTGATCCGTTTACAACGCACCCTTTCACCAACAACAGTGGAGTGCTACCTGCTCCACCCCAACCAACCGAATATCCCTCGCCAGTTTTACCTCAGGGTCACAATAATTATTATTATAACCCATCGCCCGCCGCAGCACCACCAGCGCTAACAGATGCGACTGGGGAAAGTCCATTGCCAGTCAAATCACCGAAACCTCGGCGTTCAAGTAGCCATGGATCACCGGGTGCAGTCAGGCCAATCTTCGTGACGCCATTTAGGCCAGAAAAGACTACTCCAGAGCTGAGCGAGATCCTGATTGCGAAAAAGCCGTCAAAGACCTGGAAGGTTTAGTTGAGTCGTCGAGATCATGTTCGGAAATGAATGGAGGTGTCCGGACACGATGTCGAAGTGTCTCTAGTAAGTAGCCCGTTTACTCCCAAAGTTCGTTCCTATCTGACTTCAGTTCGAAGAGAACACAGCGGGGAAGATATGCTGCTTGCTGGTTTTGCACATGTACAGTACTACAGCGGTACTTACTAAAAGAACCGTTTTACTGGCCAGGGTCACGGTGTTTACGGTTTGAATACCGGCGACACATGTGTGGTCGGAGTGCGAAATCTGAAGACCGAACGAACTGCCACACAATTGAATTAGCAAACCTCGAGGACACTTTCCAAGTTCCGGTGTCATGACTCCTATCGATATTCCTGTTGACCACACTTATACAAGCTGCTACTGTGAAGAAAATATATATTTGCTAGCTAAGTATTTCCTAGATCAACCTTCCGTCAAACGCCGCTGGGATATCTTTGCTATATTTATTTCAAATGCAACTAAGATGGTGACTACGATTGGATAGTCGTGTTCTGTGATTGATGATAAACCAATTTGCTTATCTAGGTTGCTCTCTGGAACCAGCGCAAGGCAGCTTTCGCAGACGTAGCTGTGGTATGGGATTACCATGTCATTCTAGCCATGCGGCCGCGATCCCCTTTTGTCTCATCAGCTGGAGATCCTGCAGCACAAACATGGGTCTACGATTATGATACTCGTTTGGGTATCCCGTGTCAATGGAGAGGCAAGCCATATATCAAATTAATGACTCACACGACTTTCTCGAGCAGTATCACCGGGAATTACTTCTAGATTATGTCCAAGGAACCTTTCTAGACACCCCGGATGTTCCAGTGCTGTATCAAAGGTAAACGCTATTAATGGACGTTTGAATGGTGCCTTCAACTTGTCGCAGTCTCTTCAGGGTCATACCAGGCGAGGAATTTCTGGACCACTTTGCTTCAGACAGATCGCACATGGTAAGTGGGCAGCACCTGTGACATGGGAAGTGACATCTCTAATAGCATTCACAGCTATCAGTACATCCAGGGGCTGAACCTTGCTATTTCGCTGAACCACCTGTGTATCTACCGTTGCGTGGTTCGAAGGCTACAGAAAGGGGGGTAACGAATAACCTTATGTCTGCTTTTGTCTCGATGGCACGATCAACCGATGCATTTGGACAGGTGATGGATAGGGATGATTTTGAGCTTTGGTGCTCACAGGTTGAGGTAGTAGTCTAGGGTCGCCCAATGAATATAGAATTCGGTGCAGCCACACTTGATGGGCCACTTGAAAAAAAGGCTGTGACTGTGACGTGTGACTCTGCAGAAAGACAGGCCGTTGGACTACTACTCCACAAACTACAAACAGGTTTTCTTGCCCTTGACGCTCTTTCTTCTTTCTTCGGTAGCTTTCATGAATTCGACACCATCATCTTCATCTTCCGTGAACGGCTGTACCCCTTCTAGCAATGGTGTATCACACATGTCTGCATCTACACCTTCCGAACATTCCTACGTCAGCCATGGCGAGAACCACAACTCATCTGGCTCTTTCCCTGTCCCGAATGGTTACTCGCAGTGAGTTTCTTCAGCGTGCTCCACCCCTTTTGGTTCATTTCATGTATCATTGACGCTGATGGCGCGTGGGTTGCATGCTTTTTCCTGGCAAAAATTTAGAATGCCTTATCAGCCGCACAACGAGGAAATAGTGCATCACCTGTACCATGCCGGCTTTCAAACTGGTGTGAGTACATGCCCATTACAGGGAAATAATTTTTAATTCTCACCGTGTTATCAGAATTACGCAGACACCATCTTGGTGGGTGCCCCTCACTATCTCAGTTGTTTTCACATGTCCTTAATTTATTGGCCCTAATTCAGCATGTTCACCAAAATGCATATCGATTGCACGCCATCATTCTTTCACGTTCGCCTTTCCTCGCACACCTGATGTCTACATCGCCTCAGTCGGGAGGTCAACGTACACTTTTTGTACAGCTAGATCATGAACCGGAAGTTACGCGCGAGGTAAGCTCAGAATTCTTGGACTCTGTTGAATGCGGTGTTCGCAGCTGGTCGATCTACGATCAGGAAGACATGTCACCGTGTCCATTATCACCCTTTAAACTCCTAAGTCTCGACTTACGGTGGCATTTGTTGTGTCTTTCTGACCGACTCACTCGGACGCCGTATTCAACGGAGCCTTTCATTTCGTTTTGCTTTCTTCGAGTGCTGACGGATTGGTGATGGCTATCTAGGGCTTTGCTATAGGTATTATATTCTCATGTTTTGATTATCATATCACTCATCATTCATTGGTTTTTTCAAGCGCTGGGCTACCTTTACTCGTCTGTCTCATTAAGTTTGATACGACCTGAAAATGCACGCGGAGTGCTTGCGGCAGGCTGCCTCCTTGGCGGCATGGATGACCTTTGCGGCTATTCCTATGAAACCTGCAGGCAGTCCTTTAGCGTCGACACTATCACAGAATGGCTGGAGTTTGTGCATAGTATTCCTGTACCGGATAATTCAGGTAACCCTGATATGGCAGTAGCATCTGTCTTTGGGCAGTACGCCCAAAGGTTGCGAGACGATGTATTTCATTTCCTTATAGTGACTCTTCCCAGCATTCTGGAAGTACATTCTTCCATGACACCCGAAAGCAGTCCATCAGAGGGACATGGTGGTCGTGATACCTTATTGCGTGTATTTTCCCTCGTGCCATTCGAGATGTTCAAAGCCGCAGTGGAATCACCCACCTTCCAAATTGGTATGTGGAAGCCATAGAATTAACAACTCATACCGAGTTAATGTGCGCCTTCATTACACAGGGTCGGATCAAGCACGATTCAAATTTGCTAAAGATGCCATTGAGCTGAGAAAGCGGGGAATTGCGAGGGGGCATGGGGCAGAAGAGACGGTTGTGCTTGCGTTTGGAGGAGGACAAATGGGTGGAAGCGCTGTGCACGTTACGCGAAAAATGCGTAAACGGCCTTTATGGAAAGTTAACTCCTGAATCGCGTTTCTTCGATAGGCATGTTACGTGACAATTCTTGGTTCAAATTTAGTTGCTCTGTTGTTCTGCAAGCCATGACACGATCACGGTCCGCGTGATATTTTATTCGCATCGTATCGTGAATTGGCGAGAGAGAGTGGGAGTGCTGGGAGGACGGAGATGGTAAGAGGGTGCTGAGTGTTGTCTGTACCAATCTCGGAAAGAGCCACGGCGTGCATTAGGCTTTTTAGCTGTTGACAGGCAGATCGGCCAAGCTGTGGCAGAGAGTGCGGTGGCGATCAAAGTGACCGTATGTCTGAGTTTTGCTTCACACCTTCCAGCAACGGATGCTTTTCGCGCTTTCTAGATTCAATGATTGACCTGCTCTATCTATGTCTGCATCTGTGCTATTACTGCGCCACGATCGATAAAGGTTTTTCCTACCCGTGTATCCGCGCCGAACCTATCACGAGAGCACTACCATGGGCAATCCTCAAGTCGTATATGAAGCATACATCATCCCCCGGTTCAAGTATAATCATTCTCTGCCATGGCCTCTCACACCTACGAGCTCTACTTCACAGGCAGAGACGACCCTCGAGATGGCTGCATCATCATGGGCGAGGACACAAAGCACATCTTCTTCGAGTTCGAGACCAGCATCTCGGACTACATGACCAACGCTCAGACGACTGTGAGTACTCTATGCCCCTACAACGTTCCATGCTGACCCTTTGTCTTCAAGATATCGAGCGAACGCAAGCCCGTCGCCTGCTTCGAGTGGTCCATGGGCGGCACCCAGCTTGGCTTTGCGACCATAGGGAACAGACACTTTCCAATGTCCAACCTCGTCATGCCTGGTTCATCGGCAAGGTGCCTTACTACACTGCCTCTCTATTTGAACTCGCACTCACACCTCGTTTGCTCAGTGCTCGCCAATTTTGTTCGGTCGATGGCAGACATTTCGAATGGCGAAGCTGCTACGATGACCCGCAATCTTATGATGTAATTACCCTGCTTGTTCCCTGAGGCAGTTCCGTGCTCATCATCTCTTTCCGATAGCTATTCACTTACAACGTCAGGATCGCGGTTTTTCGAAGATACCCGCAGGCGACACCTGTGGGTCCCTCACATGGTTTCATGCAATATACCCTCGTGCATGATATCCCGTTACTCGAAGCCCTCATGGCCCTTAGTCTTAACCGCTGGATAGATTGGGGCCAGAGGGTTCCCTAATGTGCTGCCACGATGACTCCTCTCATACAGTATACCAGTTTATTGACCGTTGATTTATACGGGTATCAATGACAAAGGAAATACAAAGGCTGCATGCATGCAATTACGAAAGCAAACGAAGGTCAGAAGTGCATATTAGAGTATATAGAACAAAAATCAAGGGTTCTTCATTGATCCAAGCATGTGCTCAAGGCGCTCTTCTACTGTCCAGTGCATATCGGTATCAGAGTGGAAGGAAGAGGGAGTGGAATGACCAGGTGGTAAATTAGGAACAAAGTTAAATGAACCGGAATCCATTCCCTGAGAAAGGTTCTCTATCAGCCGGCCAATTTGGGTACTTGAGCTATAAAAAACCTGCGGGCAAGGCGTCAGGAGGTGGCAAGTAGGCATCCGATAAAACTTTACTTTGGTGTCTGGGCGACTTTTCCCCAGGTGAGGTTTCTTACGCGAGAGGAACGAGGTGTTGCTTCCCTTAGAAGTTGATCTCGCGTGTTCTCTCACAAACACCTGCACACCATCACCATTCTCGCGTGTCGAGTACTCAGAAGCAAAGCTGGTTCTGTTAGCATAAATAGAGTCCACATCATCGTCGCGCAGCCCATTCACTATAGACCTATGGGCAAAACGATCACTGTCTGGGCACCTTGCATCATCGCACGACTTACCATATGGTCTCGCCGTTGGCCATCTCGATAAGCTCCAAAGCGGCACCGCCACCGTCAGAAGGGCTAGGGGCCTCGTGGCTGCCATTGCCAGCCACGTCCCCGCCTGCTTCGCTGACAAAGGTATTTGGATTCCTGTTCTCACCAGCATACATATCATATCTAAGTAACCAGAAGTTTCAGATGAAGCGGATCATGATAAGAATTACACTGACAATGAGTCATAAGCCGATGTAGATTTGTCCATATTCTGGGGAGCATGTAAAAGATTCTCAGCTTGGGCAGATATCGTTGTAGGTATCTGGGGTACAGGAGGGGAATTATCAGACGAGAACCGTCGGCCTCCAGGCGACCGAGGGGGAGGCGGAGTGGGCGCTCGGTCATGGACAGAGCGCCCCGACTGAACAGATGCTGCGCTTGCAGACCGACGACGTCGGTTAGACTGTGATCCTTTTCTCAACAACTGACTCAAGTCCAAATGAGAACCCTTAGCCTCCGAAGGAAAGATGATCGTTCTGCGAACAACTGGGTTGCTATCCTGGGCTTGTTGTTGCCTTGGACGACTGGTATTGGTATCCCCTTGCTTACGAACAGTGAGTTTCCTAATAATGCTTTCATCAGGCGCAGGTTCAGAAACTTCATCGATACTCGGACGTCCTTCTGAGATCATAGGCGAGCGAGCTCTGTCAGCTGTACTGCTCTGACGGGTGTTTGGTCTAGAAGCTGTCAAAGCTGAGTTGTTTCTAGTCAACATAGTCCATCCAGTCGATTTGGATGAAACAGATGTAGAACGGGCTAATAAATCATCCAGAGCTGCTCGATCTAGGCCAAGATTCGATGCTGCTTCGAACAGCTGCTTGACGGCAGAATCGTTTATATCCGTTGAGCCAGAGCTGATATGAGAAAGGACATTGCTACCGCCACTAGGGGCGGATTGACCCAGGGGCACAGTCGATGGCGGTGTGCTCAAGCTTTCTGCGTTTGCGGCTAAACCTCTGCCGGGTGATATATAAGACTGAACGTGATGAGGAGAAGTGGACGATGACGACGCAGTAGGAGAGGGATGTGGTGCCCCATTCCGATCGCTGTCAGAATGAAAATCAACTGTACGCGGCTTGCGGAAGCGAGCCATGAATCCTTTGATACCGGGGCTAGCAGATGCAGGAGGGCTGGGAATGGGTGATTTGAGTCGACTTAGTTCATTAGGGCTTGTTGGCGTTGCTCCTGCAATTGGGACAGGAATAGCACCGTGAGTAGTCTGCGTAACAGGAGCCGACCGCGGCTGGAGATCCATAGGGAATGGGGTGACTTCTTCACCAGTCGGGGCCGATGGCTTCGCTCGAAGAGTTCCTCTGAGTCTTCTGATCCTTTGAGTGATGTTTAAGGGCCCTTGAGCGCTATGGGGCATTGTAGAGGAGGGTGGAGGGAGAGGAATGGTGTCGACACTTGTTGTGGCGGACACTAATCGAGGCGTTGATATTTGATTTGGAGTGATACGTTTGCGAGTGACAGACACGCTTGAAGCATTTAGATCAGAAAACTTTTGACTGGCAGAACCCTTTTTCAGGGCCGCCATAGCCACTTCTGTTTTGCGTTGGACTTCCTTGGTGAGTTCAGCATTATCAACTGGAGTGTGTGGACTTCGCATCACGGAGGCCTGAGGTGATAAGAGAGGTGACCTTGTAAGCACTACAGGAGGTCCTTCTGCTTCATGGATGGATGATGGACTATTGAGCGAAATGGCGTTTGCTGTTTCAGTTTCAGGAGCTGGGGTGGTAGCTATACTAGGGATATCCGGAAAACGAGTGTTTGAAGGCTCTGGTTCCTCATCTTTTTCTTCAGAACCAAAAAGAGCCCGAGCCAAATCTCGATTTCTGCGAGTGGTCGGTGATATCTTCAAGTCAGTCTGCGAAGGAGGTGCTAATTTCTCAGTATCTGGTACGTTGATGACTGGGCGCTCGGTACTGGGATGTATGCTATCAACAACAGAATCAAGCAGTGCGCTAGCTTTAGCAGAATTATCGGGAGATGCAGCCCGCTGAACCAACAAAGAAGGGTTTTGATATTGGGGAGGAGGGCTCGCCACCTACAAACAATCAGCAAAGGATACACACCAGTACAAAGGAAGGAGTCAAATACCCGGTTATCGCGACCATTCAGCGAATAATTTGACTGCGACGTCGATGGCCTGCGTCTCCGCAGCGATGGGACCCGTTCACGAACTTCAGAATGAGTAGCCTTGGTGACTGCTGCACCGACAAGTTTTTCCTGGATAGCTACAAAATCGGACGTCGTCAGACCTGCATACCGCCGAATAATGTCCTCAGCATCCCAGTTGTCGTCCTGGGAGTCAGCCGGTGTGGCAGAGCTCGACTTGTCGATTAAGCCGATATCATGCCAAGTCGGCTGTGAGTTGTCAGTATCGCTAAAGGCCTCGAGAGTGCGAGCTTTCTTATGCTCGTCCTCCCATGAGTGGTAGCTGGAGCCCGCAGACTCCAAAGAGGAACGTGAGGAATTTACAAGAGGAGAAAAAACGAGTGCTTGAGGTTGTCCAAGAGAAGATTGAGAATTATGATTTTTTTTCGATGAGCGCCGATTAGTATTTGAATGGGGAGATGCATCGTTGTGGGGAAATGAAGGGGAAGTTGGCGAGCGGCTCTGAGTGGGTGTAGGAGAACGAAGGGAACGATTGACCATGGGCGAGCCTGGACGAACCCCCGACATACTTGAAGACGGTCGATAATCTGGGCTGAGAGGACGGTTCCAGGTCGAAGATCCAGAACTCGTGTGGTTGTATAGAGGAGAATCGGGGAGGGCAGGAGAGCGTAAGGATCTACTTGAAGATTTAGCTCTATCCGGGCTCCCGTGAAAGTCTGCAATAATGCTACGATCAAGCCCACCACTGTCATTCTTCGAATGACCTGATACACTGCTGCCCTTTCTACTATGATCCTTTGGAGGGCTCGATGATGACCCGACGTTCCAAGTGACATTTGAAGGAGTGCCAGGACGAGGCGACGCTGACATGAGTTGATATGCCTGGCCAGATAAAGGAGAAGCAGGACGAAGTCTACCGAGTATAGATGAAGTCACTGAGCCCTCGTAGTCAGCACCACCCAAGCCATCTTCAGGAGTAAATCTACCACTGCCACTTTTCGACGTATGCGGTGAAGCTGCTGGAGATTGAGGACGGGGAGTTTGGCGAGACGCGTTAGAGTCCCGTCTCATCAAACTCGATGCTATACTCGAAGTAACGAGGGGAGAAGCGCGACCATTCACAGCTGGAAGTATAGGCGACATCGCTCGTGGCGTAGCTGAATGTGCGCGAGATTGGTCGTCAGAATCAAAGGACGTATCACGAGGAGTCATCGGCCTGGGCATGCCTGGGATATATCCGGGTAAACGTGGGGTGGGTGAAACCGTTCCAGGACGACCATATGGCGTTGGGGAAGCGGGCTTAAGGTCAAGGTCGGACATTTGCCTGTCAGATAAGATCGCAGTGCCTGCTTCAAATTCACTGGACGATTGAGATAGACTATCGGGGTTCTAGTACGTGGTGAGTTATGAAAATGTTTTGAACATGCCAGCGACTTACTGATGATACTGAGTCTATTGATTGACTCGTCTCGGTAGAAACACGACTTTGCTCGCCATCGACGGCACGTGGAATGGGATGAGCAGTCCTAGGCATGACAATCTCGTCTTCAGCTTCTTCCTCTAGTTCCTTAATGACACTCTCCAAAGCCAATGAAGCGTGTTGTAAATTGATCGTGTTTAGTGCCTTTGAGAAATTCCGTTCGGTGGTCGGTGACTCTTCCGAGCTCGAAATCAATGATACTGAACGTGCCACAGGCGTTTTTTCGTTCGGGCTTGATGGTACAGATGAAGGGGGTCCACTTCCCTCAGGGGTCAAGGGCCTCAAGCTATCAGTGTAACTGGAGTCCTTCTCCCTAAGGCTGTGACTGGAGTCGGTAGGTGTGATAGAAAAGCTGCGGTTACTGGTACTCCTTTGTGACGAAACACTCCGGATGTAGCTATAATCTCGGAAGCGGCCGGATCCAAACAGATTGTTGCTGTATCTCTTCGTGGAGCGCGAACTGGGCGAAGAGATAGTGGATGCAGGATATACGGTAGAAGACGTGGTATTAGAAGCGCGCGAGTTTCTCTGTGGCTGGTAATCAGAGGCTCCTTCATCTCCGGGTGAGGCCCCGCCTTCCTCCTCGAGTTTCTCGTTAGTGGATGCATTCTTTGCTCGCAAACGCCCTAAAGTCTCGAGTATCATGTTCTCTTCCTCCTCAGAGATTCGATTTGGGCCTCCACGGGCTCTTTGCTCCGCGAATCTGGCCCTGAGGTCGTCTAGGGAAACAGGATCGCCTGACGAGGTGCGTAGGAGAGTGAAACGACGGGAGAGGCTACAGCATTGAATGGTAAGAGTGCATGGCGAGAAAGTCAGCAGGCTATATGCTCACTCTGGTAAAATGAGAGACGTGCGAAAGTTGCTTGCGGGGGGAAGCTCTGGGAGATGCTGGTGCTCAGCAGAGGACGATAACACGTCGTAGAGCTGGCTGCGCTTGGTGTCGGACTTTTTGCTAGGTTAACAGAGGCCGGGGAAGATGAAGATGGAGAGAATTAAGAATCTTGAATGGGATGATGCGAGAAACAGGGAGACGTACCGGAAACGATGCATTGGGTGTCCAGGTCCCTCGTTTTGTACACGTTGGACTGAAGCGAAAGGGACGATTGGAATAGAATAAGATCTCAGCTAAGGGAAACGACAGGCAACGTGGTGAACACGAGTTGGCTTTACGGAACGATCAGGCAGTTATTAGATTCCAACACTGAGGGCTGAGACTTCCTTCAATAGAACCAGCCACAGTACGTAAAATCCTGATGATCTTACGGGCCTCGAGCTCTGCTTACACTAGTACTGTTGTGTCGTCGACGTCGGGGTACACAGTGAGCGAGGCCAGTCTGGGACGTGTTCAGGTGTTGGGCGGTGGCGACAGAAAAAAGGTTCCGAGTCCAGGTCTTGTATTGCGCAACAAGGATAAATACAACAAAAACGGATCCACTTCTGTTCATTCTATTATTTTCCACGTCTGCAGGTGCGATGCAGAAGGCTGACAGACCCCATGGGGTGTATTCATCCAGCATCTTTGAGCAATTATTGGACTTGCTAAACAATGATCCTTAACACAGACAAGAATGGCTGGCACCGTCTCCACTATCTCTTGCCTTTCACTCTTCCTGATATGGAACACATGCCTCACCTCGCCAGAATTGCCTTATGCGTTCACCGCTAAGTCCGTCACAATAAGCCTCACATCCCACATAAACTTACACCGCAAGATACACATCACGTCTTTACGAAAAAAATACATGCGTAATCTCAGCACGCCGTTCTACGGATACATTACAGAGCAGACGCTTGCAGTACACCCCTGTTTACATCGCATATCTGCAAGTCAAAATCTATGTTAGCCAATTTCAATATCAATACACATGATAATTTCTTACTTCTTCGTATGATCCCTAGCTGTCGCCAAGAACGTCGCCTTATCTGTCTTCATTAGCTAGGCAACAGGTGAGTGCAGGTCTCTATATGATAACAGTCAAATCCCTTACTGCAGCAATCTCTGGCTCAAATGGGTCATCCGGACTTGGGTTGTTGACTTTCTCCTGAATGACAGCCAGCACTACGAAATACATGTGACTCGTTAATTTCCGCCCAGGGAGTACTAGGCTGAGAAGATATCATACCTGTAGACAATGTTATGGAAGGTTTCCACTGCGTACATCAGAACAACATCAGCAACAAGCGCCTTCAAACGGTATAGTAAGTCCAAGGAGATCCGTGGGATCCTCACCTCGTCACCGCGAAGTATAGGGACACATATTTGTCCTTCGTCATTTATACCAGGATGGTATATCTTGGTTGTGAACGTGACCTGGTTGGGGATATTCTACGTAAGCACAACGTTTTGCGGAAAGATGCATGGTATATCATCGCACATTAGGTGGTTTGAAAGGAAAGTTCTGCGGGAGCTCGAGCACAAACCGGAATGTTCCGTTCCTGTACGGACTGTTTGACTGTGGAGCAATGGTTCAGATTGGCACAGGGGGGACAAGTACAAAACAGCGCACCGTGCCTTTGACAGCACACTTCCACATAAAAAGGTTGTCTTCTTCTGCGTCAACTGTAATACCCTTGACACTTGATACGGTTAATTGCCGGTATTTCAACGCCCAAGCAGTGAGGTGAGAGACGTACCTCTATCGGTTTCTTCGAAATGTCCGATAATTCCTAGATCCAGCATGAATAAATGAGTTCTAGTATGAACAGATCAGCACCTTTTGGATGCGGCTGCGTGAACTACATGAGATGGCAACAATAATGATAGAAAAACATGGCATACCGAAGAGCGGTCATGACTGGGCACTTTGAAGGAGATGAACGTTTGGAACAAAGGTAAGATTGCCACTTTGGGTTAGGGTTTATTCAACAAATATGTCTGCATTAATTATTTGATTTTCATTCTTTCCAAGAATGCTCGCCACCGCGGCCTCGTCTCCCGCCCTCGATGAATCCCGCCCATCGACCCCTGCAGCCTACACAAATCCCGCCCAGTTCCCAAATAAGAAACGAAAACATGCCGCCGTCGCTGCCTCCAACGTCCCCGAAGCCTCTCCCGCCCCACAAGACCCGCCCACCCCTGCAGAGAGCGTCGTTCTCCCCGCCCGCCATGACCTCTTCTCCCGCCCCCGCCTCTCCATCTCTCGCTTCCCCTCCTTTCCTACAACCGACAACACCACCTATCACACCACCGACCAGCTGGCTATGAACAAGCTCAACTTTCGCTACGTTCCCGCTGGTGTTGCTCCTCCAGGTTCTGCGCTAGCCTGCAGAACCATCGAGAGCGCCCCTGCTAGCTTTCGCGTCAGTTGGGAGGATCGCAGTCCTTTCGTAAAGGTTACACCCGATGGCCTTGGTCTTCTCGGGGACAAAGGTTATCGCAGTGCGCGTTGCAATGCACCCGTCCGCGAAGGTCGATGGTACATGGAAGTGCGCATTCAGCAGGGTGGCGGGGAATCCTCATCAGACATGACTTCGCGCGAGGGTAGCTATGTACGTCTTGGTTGGGCTAGACGTGAAGCTCCTCTTAACGGTCCTGCCGGGCTTGATGGCTACAGCTACGGATATCGTGATAAAACAGGCGAAAAAGTCACTGCATCTCGCCCACGTCCTTACGGACAACCTTTTAGTTCAGGAGATGTCGTTGGTATGTATATTGCTCTCCCACCACGACGCAAGCCAGACCCTCGAGACCCTCATGATCCTGCCAAGATTAAGCGCGAACGTATAGCTATCGAATTTAAAGGCCAAGAGTACTTTGAATCACTCGAATATCCTCAATCCAAAGAGATGATGTCGTTAGTCGACTATTCCAACAAGCCCACCAAAACCTCTACTCCTTCTTCGACCAAAAAATCAGCCACCGTCAAAAGTTTACCAGAGCGAGGGCGAGCCACTACTGCTCCCAGTGAGCCTGAAACGCTCAGGCCTCTTCCCATTCTTCCTGGCTCGCAAATTGTATTCTTTGTAAACGGTGTATGTCAAGATACTGCTTTCGAAGATATATATGACTATATCCCTCTACGCACCACTCAAGCCTCGCGCAACAAAGGAAAGGAGAAAAAGCGTAGCCGCGAGGGTGCACGTGAACACAAAGAGAACCCATTTGATGACGGCACCCTCGGATACTACCCGTTCATATCACTCTTCAATGGCGCTCAAGTCCGCATCAACCCTGGTCCTGATTTTGACTTCACCCCACCCCCCAATGTTGACCCTCTCCTCGACGCTGAGACCGAGGAAGTCGAGATAGACCCTACAGAAGAGCGCACCTGGCGTCCAATATGCGAGAGATATCCCGAATTCATGGCGGAGCAATGGGCTATAGATGCAATAGAAGAGGAAGAGGCAAAGGTCGAGGCAGCACAAATAGCTGTAGTCGATAAAGTCGAGGCAGACAAAAGGGTGCAAAGAGAGAAGAAGCGGCTGCAGTCAAATGCACGAAAACGAGCTAAGAAAGCTGTAGATGAAGCGATGCATACGCCAGTGGAATTATCTGCTGCTCCCACTGCTGTTGTAGTCGACGACCGACTAGTACCTCCAGTCGTGGCACCTGGCGGTATCAGAGACATGGGGTCACCTCCTCAAATCTCTGTCTCAGCCACCACTTTTGGACGTAGCATCGAAATGTCTCACTCGCCAGCGCCTACCCCTGCTTCCAGTGCCGATGTATATGGAGCACAGAGTGGATACGATTCTGAGAATGCAGGGGCTCCAGTCGAAGGCGATGAAGTGATGGAAGATCCTATAGCGTATAAATCACCACATATACATGATTCAGTCAAGTCTGAGACGGATACTTATAGAGAAGATTTAGAGCTCAGAGCCAGAGTTGACTAGACTGACAGATTTGAATTCATTACCAGTAACAGGAAGACGTAAAATATATTCATAAGTAATAATGAATGATAAAGCAGTGGTAAAAAGTAAAGTAAAATAATGGGTATCTTGGTTTTTTGAGAAAATTCATCAAAGAGTAGACGATAAGAAAACGTATTGTAATTGTACCACGGAACAAGTTTATGACGATCCTGCAATCCACTGAGGCGGCGGAGCACGGACGGCATATCTGGGTAGCATGATGTAAATTCCAAGCAAAAGGCGCACGCGCGAGGCTACCTGGACGTACCCGACGGTGACTCCGTATCCCTTCTGCTTCTCGACGCGGATGTCGAATACCAAGTCTCCTGTTCGATTGTCCCAGTGTACACTGCACCAATTTCGTCGACCCATGACGAACTTCTGTTTTCGTGAAGAACCATCCGGTTCCATTTCAAATAGAGGTATCTAATCGTTGATGGAAATGGAATAAAAGCAGTAATTCGATAACCAAAATGGTAAACGCACCATGCTCTCATCCGTATCAGCGTGGTGCAGGGTCTTATGTACCTTGGTTGCAAGCGTGGATACCATAGTAATGACTCCATTAGGGGGTCTGAGCTTGGCTAGTTAGTGTGGGGATTCGCCATCTGCACTGTGGACGTACGGTGTATTCACAATTGCACCTGGAGGGATAACGGTCAGCTACAAGCCTCATTTCGGGAAATTAACACGAGGCACATACTGGTCACCACATTGAGCATGTATCTGAAATCGGTGGCGGGAGGAATCTCTGCTTTTCCGGCCTTCCCATTACCGCGTGCCAGGGTTTTGAGAACACCAACTGCGGCGCAGTGAACATCCCCTGATAGGAAAGTCACCCGAATGCGCCTCACCCTCGCCAGACCTTGTAGTTGTTGAATGAACCAGTTACGTTCTTTCTATTTGAGCGATGAGTGAGCAGATTACGCAAAAATCACGAGAAATGTATAGTACTTTGTGCCCCTTTGCCGTCCAATGATCATTCTAGGCGTAGATGAATAATCATCATCATCAATAAACGTCAAACACTTGCCAGGTCATCTAATAGCTCTGCTTCTGCATTAAATTTGTTTACAAACCCACCCAAACCCATCATGCCGGACCGTCCAAGCGCGACGAGAGGGTTGAACTTCCAGCCAAGGGCACTCTCAAGAAACACGAGACGCGGATAAGCGATCGGTATACCTATAATAATGTATATGGCAAGCATGGTGTTCATCACGGTGCCCGTTAATATGATTTGTACAATAGGGCATGGAATGGGCGTACCAATTTGTACTACGAGATGCTCAATGTGTGCGGGAAGTCGGCCGACTTGTTCAAACACCTTCCTGTACTCGTAGGGGCTGCATACCTGGTCTTTCTTTCTTTCGGCCCTAGGATGTTACATTTATTAAGAACTGGCGTTTTTACTCATCCCAAGCTTCCGCTGTGATTCTAGAAGCAGGGGAGATGAGAGAGAGGAAGAAAGGAAGCTTACCGGCAATCTAATAGTAGCATATACACATTTGGGCCAAGATATGAGAGGACGGAGTGTGATGGGGATGAAACAAATGGCCCCGGTGCGCCAATAATAAGTGATTTGAACGGGTGTTCTCCGGGGTGGCCACTCAGACCATCGACTTGTGCTGTAGATGGGATTTGCTGGAGATAAAGTAGGTTGGCTTATGAGGACCACTTACGGTTAATGAAGCACTGGAACAAAAGGAAAAAGAAGTAGCCTCTAGAACCGATACTGCAGATACCAAGATGATGAGTATGCCAGCATGGTACGCTCGAAGATCAAACACGCACGCTTTGAAAACTGGAGCTAGCTGAACATCATCAGGATCTACAGAAACGTAGCTCGATTCAAAATAGCCTTGGGTAAAGTGGCGAAAATCACTCACAGCTGCCAAAGCCATCGATCTTCGTTTGCATCAAATCAAAGGCGTGGTATTTAGGGGGAAGACACAGAAACGCACCAGGTCTATTTCGATATCAGTTAAGACCTAATGGAAAAGAGTGGAGTTGATTTACCATGATCATCTAGGGTGTTTTCCAAAGTTCTATCAATGTTCTTTAGATGGATGAAAAATGGACCATACCACACATATTCAACATGGGTCTATTGCAGGATGGATTAGTATAGCCGATTATCAGGATCGTCAAGCCCTACATTGAACTATTTGCTCTTGCAAACGCCCCACTCCTAAAAGAACTGCAGTAGTGATTGAAATAGAACCGATCAATGCACGCTGCGATGTCTTGGGTGAGAGGATAATCCTTCTTTGCTTCGGGTGTTGTTTGCGTGACCCACTCTTGCAGTTCAGGCTCCCGTGTCAGTCTATAGGCGTGTTGACGATCGATCGCGTTTGCAATTGTTCCACAATTGAGTTGTGGTGAGATCAAGACAAAATAGACAATTGGGAGGAACACACGAATCACAGTACAGCTGGTCACCACCACCAACAAGGACATGAAAGGGTTCTTCATTGTGCTTTTGTAGAAGATCACTCCAAACAGGATCATACCCACTCCTAAAGCCAGGACCACGGAAGTCATCAGGGTTTACACCGGAACTGAAGCCGTTGCACTGCATGCAGAGAACAAAAAATATGGTGATCGAAGGAGCATTGCCATTCGCGGTTGGTCAGACGTGAAGATAGAACTAAGAAGAATATAACGAACCGAATGTGCGGCCCATCGCATATTCTGGTTGCGCGCCGGGACAACAAATTCAAGCTGTATACCTTGGTTGATAGCATATTGTATGCACATTTCATTAGGCCCCAGAGGGATTTGGATGAGGAAACGCCAGAAAGTGAAGGTCCTTGAAAAATTCAATCAAAAATGAAATCGAAATACCTACAAATTTGTCAAAGTTCGACATACCCGCCACCACCGGCATGAACATATATCTCAAGTCCCGTTGCGTGGTAGACTTGCATGTTCAGATTTGAACGCCCTCCTTGGGCACCATCACCCCTATCCCCCGCGTCCGCACCATCAGTAGGATTGAGGGTCACGGAAGAAATGGCTGTCATGTGAGGATCGGCAGGGTGAGGTCCCAGTTCAAAGGAGCCAACGTGCCTTTTGCGGTGCAGAGCGGGCCCGTCTGGGTCCCACTGGTACGTAAGCGTTGGATGTGGACCATAATTGGAGCCTGAATCAGCAGCTAACGACGACATTGGTATGCGACGATCACGATAAACGAGGATAATTGGAACATGAATACTCACTGACAATAAGCGCGGCACCGTGCCAAATACCACTTTCGTCGACAGTATCGTAGCGTAGAAGAGGGCCTACCATAAGCTGCAGGTGTGGATCCATGCGGGCGACCCGTTGTACCTTTGAGCGCTCGACAGCACTTAGTTGTGCTAGATGCGCCTGAGCAGAAGCTTGCGAGACATTCGTGTTAATTCGACTTGGGGAGTAGGTATTACTGTTTGGGATCCTTGAAGGAGGGTGAACGATACCAGAAAATCCACTGGAATTGATACTTCCGGTGGGATATGGTTTCGGCGGCACTGGAGGGGGAGGAGGCGTGTCAGCGGGCGATGGTGGACGAAAGCCTCCCACGAAATTATCATCTGCGAGAGGTAAGACCTGTTCTACAGGCTGATAGTGCCCATCTGGACCTCTGTGTGGACCATTATAATGGCGGCTTTCCTGTGTAACACTATAAGATAGAACCTAATCGAGCCATTGGCATCACTTACTTTCTGAGCCCGGCGCTGAGCATGCCAGCCTGTACTATCCATTATCAATTATCAAACTGAAGTCACAGTCGTCCTGTTCAAAAGGTTTCAAATCGTTCCGTAACACAAAAAAAAAAATGAAGCTGAGTAGCGCGGGAGGCAATCATGATGGACTAAAGTCGCGCTAGACTTACATGTAGTAATTCTTCCTTACTAGGCTAGCCGAAACACCGTAATGTTATCAGCGGATCACTCGCGTTCAACTTGGGGGCTCCTTTCCTACAACTCACAAAATGGTCTATAGCTATACTTAACTTAGTGGCTGCAGTACTCTGATCTTGTATTATGACTCCATTAGATGATCACTGTAACTTTCTAATGGCACTAGCAAAGCTTTTGCACCCAATTATCCAGTTGAAATAGCTCGCTTAGGTATCGACCTTCACCCAACATGCTCCACGACCGATGTCACCAGTTTGCCTTCCTGTACAACGGTTTTCAGCATTTCTGGCACTGCTTGTTCCTCAAAGACACCATCCTCTTCTCCTTCCACTGGTAAGCTGACGTTGATGGCACTACATTTCGCCGTAGTGATTTCGACGCCAAGACAGTCTTTTGACAAGTAGATTTGCCCAGAGTCTGTGGAGTCTATTTGAATCGTCGGCGCAGAGCCCGTGATCTGCAACGTAAATGACGGCGACTTAGTTACGGACACGTAAGATATGACCGATTCAACGAGGATTTGGGTTTTTGTGCAGTTCACTACAACGATTATAAGCACGACAAATTCTTCGTACGTCACACACCATACGTACCGAGTGTAATAGCATTTACTTTCCCTTTCACGATGATCGTTATGTTCTTGCAACCAAACAAATTCACGGTCTGGTTGATCTCGCCATCTGCCACTTTCAAGGCTGACTCGTTCTCTTGATATTCCTGTAGGTAATGGTTAACATGGATGCAACATACAAAGGGATGACGTGCTCACAATGATCCACTTGTTACCCTCTAGCGCAAACTTCGAGGGTTTCTTCCCCATCAAGGCCTGTGGCTTCATAGGTTTGATGGGCTTCTTGTGGGGTGCTGGCACAGATGGGCGTACAGTTAACATAATATTGCAGCGCTTTGACATAGCACTTACTATTACTGGGACTCGCTGGCCCCGCGGGAACAACACCACTTGCTCTCAGTTCAGGGTTCTTATGAGTCATCTGGCTCCTGTCGACCTTGCGTAAACCTTTGGTCACATCTTCACCACGGTTCAATTCTGCGAATACCCCAGCGATGCCACCCCCAGGCGCTGCAGCGGGAGCAGCAGCAGGAGGGGGCGGTGGGGGTGGGGGTGGAGGTGGTGCAGAAGTCGACGCAGATGGTGCCCTGTAATCTGACACAGCAATACCCTATCATTTTACGCGGTAATTAGGTCCACAGGTTTCGCAAGAGAGGCTATGCGATATACCTTGGGGTTCCAGACTAGACCAGTGGTATGATATTCCATAATATAGCGCTTCATCTCCTCCAAGATTGCCATGTACGCACGGACCCATTCCACGTGCTTCGCGTCTCTGTAATCACGATGAGACAGGTGCATTCATGTGCATTAGAAGGAAGTGAGCTCACTTATCCTTGAACTCCTTCAAGACCCTGTTGCCATAAAACATGGTCGAATCCTTTATTTCACTGACATATGGACCGGGTTTCGGCTCCTATGAATATAACAAACATTGAAAGGCGGATCAGTTGAGTGTGCACTGGGAACCCCCAGATAAGAGCATCGTCACTCACTACGGTAACCCACCCTACACACACTGCGCCCTCTGCTATCACTGTCAAATGAGTGAACCATTCACGCTCTTTCCTTCCCGCTTCCTTAGCGCGTGTAACAGCCTCGATACCTTCCTGCAAGGGTTTCAAGAGGGTCCCAAATGCCGTCTGATCAGGCTTCTTGCAAGCAGTAGCAATCAGGAGAAGCTGGCGGAGATCTTGCAGCTCTTTAGAAAACAAGGAAACCTGGGTTTGAGATATACTTCATAAGTAAGATAATCCAAGACGGTCCAGTGAAGAGACAATATAGTGGTATATTGGATATCGATGGGATAATGCGACGCGTAACGAACCTGATCGTTTACAAACTGCGGAGCAAATCCTTTCGTGAGTTCCACGAACGGTTTGAGCTTTCCTTCAAGAACTATTTCATCGTATGCAGCTACGCTTCGGGGTATTTCAACGGCTTCCACTGGAGGCGGAGGAGGGGGCGGGGGAGGTGCTGGGGGTGCCGGGGGTGCTACTGCGGATGCAGATGAATCGCCATTCCTACTGGACTCAGGCGAGGGCTGACGTCCATGAATAGCCCCTTCCTCTTGTGCGATGTCTTCCAAGCGCGAAGTGACTGCTTCCAGGCTGCGAACAGATTAACAGTAAAGCACAAGTATATGAAAACATAAATCGCGTATTTGATACAGTTTTGTAGGGGAAAAGGGTGTTCGTCAGAACCCAAACCACCAATAATGAACTTCATCGAGAACCACCTACCGCTTTATGATCGTTGAGAGTGAGTACATGCCTGACGAAGACATGCTGCTATTCTTGTCCTGTGTTATGTTGTGAAGCCTCCTTCGTGGTTGCTAATGAACAAGCCCGAGATATGACAAGGGTAAACTTGAACAGCGGAGTGTTGTGAAATGTTGAAGTTTTGCACAGTTGCGCAGTGCCCAGTGGTGATCTTGCAAAACCCAAGACAACCGTAGTCGGAGTTTTCCGTAACGAGACTAGGCTTTTACTTATTTTGTATGCTCTGATTTATCTCGAAGTACTTAGATTCAAGTTACCAAAAGATAAAATGAATCATGTTTTCAACATTAAAGACATCGTCAGATCTAGAAACGCTGACATTCATTTCCGGAAGCCCATATATCTGGAAGCTACAACCTGGGCAATATTAACCCAAGCACTTCGACAAAGATTTTCAATGGAACATTGATTCAATCAGAATTTCTTCTCAAGACTCGACATCGCTACCTTCCTTCTCCCGCGTCTTTGCTTTCTTCCTTGATTTCTTCCGCCGTTGACGCTCTCGCTCCTGCTGCTTTGCGCGCTGTAGCTCACCCTTTGACAACCCTGGGTTCTGAATCTTGTCGAGCTGTGTACCATGATTTCATGTGGACGAACATAATTGTATCGCAGGATAGAATGAATCACACAAATTGAGGTCAGTTTATCTGTATTATCATGATCAAGCATTGTTACAGGGAAACACGCCTTTTCGAGCAATATCCGCCTCGCTAGCTTGCGATTCGTCTGTAATGACCGTGTTTCCTGGCACGTCACACGAAGGCCAGTTGGTTTGTGTATGATTTGGACATTATTTTCAGTTTTATTGATAGACTGCCCACCAGGTCCACTACCTGAGAAAATTTTCGTAAAGCGCTAATCTCAAAAGTGTGAACTATAAATGTGCTTACCGCGCACAAAAGATTCTTCGATATCTTCCTCTCGTAACTCGGGAATTTTGCGCTGTTGATGAGCCTTTTTGAGAGCAGGGAGGTTGCGCGGAATCGCGGGCTTAGGCTGAGCAACACCTGCTGAGCTATCGTGTCAGCTTCAGATACCCTTGTGTGCACCGTATGTAACCGTTAAACGCACCCTTGTTGCTGATCCTTCTCCTGTTTTCGCGCCCTGCGACTCGACTGCATTGGTGGTGGGTTTTTAATTGTAGCATTATCACCCAGCTCCGTGTCCTTTGTCATACGAAGACCTGAATGAACCCGTCGTCAACGCCTGTTTTGTATCATGAATAGACAGAACAACTCACTCCAGACATCCTCTCCATTTGCCCCGTTGCCACTCACTCTGCGGGCCTGGACAACGTTCTTTCGCAGTATGCCTGCGATCTCACGAGCAAGCTTGGTCTTTTCCTCCAGTACTGCGTCGGTTGGTGGCCCACTTGTTATAGCCAATGTCTCGGTACGCATTTTTAGGCGAAATGCTGAACAGTAAGAACGTGTTGTGTCAGATGAAGTCTACGGATCAGGAGAAAGCTCCAAACCTCTTAGAATCTGTGCATCGCCTGAAACAGAGGTAGTGACTCAATACAGAGGTAGGTTTTTAATACCCAGACATACCACGGAATGTAAATGCTGAAGCACGTAGTAGGTTACGATAAGCAGCACGTGCCGATGCCTTGAGTGCTGGTGCGACCGACATGAATATTTTCGAGAGTCAAGCTAAGAGCGGTTGCAGTGACGAATTTGGTTGTCGGTATCTTCCGGCTCGATCTGAGATCGTCTGTATAAGGTGGGCGCAAGACGCGCACCTAATTTGGACGTGTCGCGTCCAGGTCGCGTCCTCCCCAACCATGTCTTTTGTCTCTGTGTCCTAAAATTCTACTAGCGGATGATAAAATGGGTTTTTGTTGCTTTGCAGGAAAGTACGCTTGCTTTGAGGTTTTCCTGAAGCTTTTATAGAAAAATCTGGGTAGTGTCCTGAGTTCTGCAGCCAATAATTACAGGCACTGTGTACGATACCAATCCTCAGGATTTTTCAGCTCTTTTCACGTCAGATCATGCCCAACCGCCCTCCACTCCACACAACAGTTACTCTACATGAAGCTATCAGTGTTCGTGAGGTATAAAGGATACCAAGAAACGGATGTCAAATACCTGCTCACGTGACCCGCGAATTGAGTTTGTTGACTGCTCGACGCGCACTCGGAGTTTTAACGTCTCCCTCTCCCAAACCACCACCATCTCCCTTCCGCCGTTTAGGCCAGCACGGTAGAGTCCTCCAGTTCCCTCCAGGACCTTATAAACAAGCGATAAACCCCAATCAAACGCTGATACATCACCTTTTCGTCAAACTATACGATGTCTGTCAGGAAAACTGCATCCGCTGCGAAACCGGTCAAGAAAATCGCCTCAAGGCCCGCGGCTACTCATCCAAGCTGGATTGACATGATAAAGGTGTGTAAAAGTACCTACTTTAGCTATCCAAGGTTTCTTGTAGTCCCCCCTCGCTGCTGAAGGTGTGTCCATGCGTGAATAAGATGTCTGTGCGCTATCTCCCAAAAAAGGCAGGGCGCAGGGCATGTGTATTTCCCGTGCTACAAGTGGGGCGAGTGGATTCAAAGCGTCTTCAATGCATTGCCAATGGCGCTTCCGTTCTCTTAGCTATGCAGAATCCCTGTTGATGGTTTCCTCTAATATGTTCTATTGTTAAATAGGAGTGTATTTCTGCTAACCCGGACGACGCTCGCTCCGGTGTTTCCCGTCCTCAAATTAAGAAGTAAGTCGATGCCTTATCTTTTCTAGGTCAAAGCAGCTACTGAGCAGCCGAAAGGTATGTCGAGGACAAGTATAAACTCCAGATTGGCAATGCCCAGAACACGCAATTGAGCAAGGCAATTGCCACTGGCGCCGAAAAAGGCGCATTCCTCCTACCCAAAGGTGACTATGCAAAGCAGCGCAGATCCCTATCGTTCTAACAACAAATTCCCTTGAAGGACCTTCCGGCCGAGTCAAGCTTCCTCCCAAACACGTTAAAACCGATACTTCTGCTACTAAAGAGGTAAATCCCCTATCTTATTTCTTCTCGTTTTCTGTTACTTAGATTTACTTAGAACAAGCCTGCATCAAAGACCGTAGCAAAGCCTACAGCAAAGGCTGCTGTCAAACCGAAGGCTGCAAAGACCGCTTCGGCGAAAGCTACCACCGCTAAGAAGCCCGCAGCGAAACCTAAGGCCACTACGGCTACCAAGGCGGCCCCAGCAAAGAAGCCAGCTGCCACCAAAGCTGCACCTAAAGCTGCTGCCGCAAAATCTGTACCCACGAAAGCGAAAACCACTGCCCCACCGAAAAAGACTTTGGCAGGGAAGAAGACTGCCCCCGTAAAGAAGACTACCACTGCGGCCAAGAGAGGTTCTGCTAAGAAGGTTGGCCGGTCAACATTCCTTATAAAACATACCTCATTATCATTTTTCAGGCTGTCACCGGATCTTCTGCCTCTGCCAAGGCAAAGGTCGCAGCTAAAAGGACACCAGCGAAGAAGGTTGCTCCTAAAGCTTCGGCCTCAACAACAAGTAAGAGAAAGGTGTGTCATGAACCAGAATTTTCTTACTGTTCTGGTATTCAACGTTTGCATTTTCTGTTAGACTACCAAGAGAGCGTAGTTTCTTTCTTCAACACCTCCACTGTCGCTGTTTGTCTTATTGTGATATACACGTCTCTCCGTCGTCGATCTTATGGTATAAGTAGGACTATGTTTTCTTCATTTATTCTGTCTTACCTACTTTATCCACTGTGGTCTCATACATGTGGCTTTATTGTCTGTTACATCCAGAGGTCTTTTGTTGTACGACTGAATTACTGCCCTATATCTCTTTCCCATTTTTTATTTCTTTATTTGTGAGTCTCGCTTTGTATTATATTTTATTGCCGCGAGTAGTGTATGTCCTGCTGCTAGAAATCGAACAACTATATTCTCACAACAATCAAAATAAGGTTGGAGTGATACTAACATCGCCAGAGAAGATCATCAACAGTGGACTGAGCTTAGAAGCGCAATCCATGTCTAAGATTCCGAATTCACACTAAATTGGAGGGATGCTGGACATGGCTTGGATGTTGGAATCGTGTGTTTTTATAGATTTCGTGGTATACAAATTGCGTAACGATAGATTATATTACTAGAGTTTGACCGTGCCAGGTACAAACATCCTCTTCCCGACCCACAGCCCTTGGTTATTCTACGAGGGATATTTTCAGCGGGAGTTGTGGTCGTCCACTTTGGCCTTCGATCATGGGAAGCATAAATAAGGCTGCTACACGGCGCACGCGACGTGCGTCGTCTGTTAATGCGAACTCAAAGTTGCTAATGAGTTCTACGAGGATGGTGTGTAACTGGACCAAGCTAGTATAGAGAAGCAAGGGGGTAAATGCGAATTCGGTTTGAGGCTGCAGAAAACAATTCATACGCAAAATGCCAGCCTATGCATGCGTGTGGCCCAGAGCCGAACGACATACTATATGAATGAGTAAAGTTAGTGAGAGGCGACGTTTAGGTTTAGTGATGATCAACACCCACAGGTTTTCAAGGACCCCGACGCTGGTCCCATCGTATTTGCAGATTGAGCCGTCTAACCATCGCTCGGGTCGGTAAAGTTGGGCATCTTGTCCCCATAGTTCTCGCAGCCTGTCAGTCATTAGCCCTCGACAATGACTAAAGGGTAGGTCCAAGACGGCCATTTACCTGTTATAGCCTGCGATGGAGACGATAACTCTCATCCCCTTTGGCACCGGTATTTCGTTGATGACTCTACCAGATGCAGTCGTTACCGGCCTTGATAGAGGGATGACATCGTCCTCGGTTGCCGTACGAAACATGTGCGAAAATACGGCATGGAACCGTAACGTTTCCTGATGGTACAAGAAAAGATGACCTTCAGTTCAAAACAAGACTCTCACGTCGTGCACCACGGGAGCAATCCCACCTTGATCACGGCGCCTAGATAGGGGAGGGCCTCCATATCCTGCATCGACATCTCGGCTTGTCCCCGAGAGTATGCTGCCGCTTGGCCGCGTTGGATCTCTCTGCGCAGCTTTGTCTGCATTTCCGGGTGCCTAGACAGCTCAAGAAGTACCCAGGTGAGAGTGTTTGATGTTGTCTCGTGGCCGGCTCCCATGATCGTCCTACCGCCAAACTAGTCAAAACCCTGTCAATCGTCATTGATAAAAGAGGCATTCTCACCGGAACTCGGCAAGTAATTCTTCATCCGACAGTTTTGTACGTTCGTTCTGAGATAGATTTGCCTTGACTGGAGAATATGTTATATGAATCATGTGTGAAGATGCATGATGGGACTGATTTCATTGTTCTGCGCTCACCGATTAAGCTTAATACATCTCGACCTGCTTTGCCTTGCTGCAATGCACGCCCTTTGGCATCAATCAGCTCTCGTGCGATGCTATCACATAGTTCTCCGTGTTTCTTGAACCGTTTGATGCCCGCTAGGGGAAGACTGGTAGCTAATTTTAGTAATGGGCCTGGAATGCGGCCCATGATACCGTGTTGCACCAGAAGTGTGCCATTTGTTGGGAGACCGAACCCCTCCACCCTGCAAGGAAGTATTTGGTTGCAGATCATCGTTTACAAATTGGAAAAACAATACAAACAGGAAGTTCGTAAAGGAAGTGGCTAGCGCGTTGCCCTTTCGTTCTAGGATACCAAAATCGTATTCGAATGCGGCTGCATGAATTATAGTTATTCGAAACCTCGGCTCTTGAAATGATAACACACCTTTCCCCACAGCATCTAAAGTCGCTAGTGTTGCCTCGTTTAAGACATCATAAACGATGGTACCGTCTCTCGAGTCGATTAGAGCGTCCTTCCAGTTTATCACAAGCTACACTACGCCTTAGAGAGCCAAGATGGTCACAAACAAAAATGGGCAAACTTTCTGGATGTTCTCGCGGAACATTGGCATAAGATCCCTCATTTCACGATTTCCAAAAGCAGGGAGTAGTACCCTCCGTTGCCGTTGATGCTCGTCACCTTTATCAAAATATATCGGTACCGGACCCACCTTTGACCGAAGATTGTGATGGACATACCTTCAACGGAAACAAGCCCCTTGCCGAGACTGAGGACGAGGGTGATCAGTCTATCATGCGGTTTGGCGAAACGATATTTGGTGGTACCGAGGACGTATTGGATGCCTTTAGGATCCATTAATAGCAAGTTGTCCTCCTGCAAGGTAGGAGTTAGTGATGCTACGGCGGCCGTTTGCACAGCCATTAGCGACGCGTACACCAAACGAGCTCTTGATCCGCATCGTTTCCCCATACATCTCTTGCAACTTGAAGTCTTCTTCACCGATGTCATCCTGGAATAACTGGCGAAGGTTTCCTGTCAGGGTGTCAGCAAAGGACCTATGAAAAGATTTTATCGATTACCAAGTAAGAACGATTCAGGTTGGGGACCGGGCAAATGTGAGATGGATATGCGGCGATATCTGCTGATCGCAAAGCGCAGCACGAAAAAGAGGAAGAAAGTGGCAAGGGCGTAAAGTTGTACATTATCCATGGTGGGCTGGACGGTAAATCAAAAGAGGTGACGATCCATGGGCCGGTTACTTTTTATACGCCCCTGTTTATTTGAGGAATGCTATACATAATGGTTGTGGTATGTCAAGATGGGGAAACGGCGGTTACAGGTCCCAAGTTCAGTCAAGGAAGCAGAGGAAGGGTATTGACATGTCGGCACCTTTTTAAGATACGGCAACAGGTGAGATTCCTGAGACAATGGGGAGAAGAGGGGTGCAATTAGGAGAGTATACCGATGGCCGAAGCAGATTGCATCGCAGCCGTGAAATGGTGTAGCGCTGATTCGCTGGGTGTACGTGGCCACACATGCGGCAAGCTGGGCACGAGAATTGAGAATAGAACAAGGAATGGACTAACCGTCTAATTACGGGACCACTGGGAAAGAGAAACCCATTAGGAAAGACGGAAGTGGAGAGGTAACTTCCAAGTTGGCACTGATTGAGCTCTGGGGAACAAAAGACGAGAAAGTGATAGATAGATTAGAAAGTGGTTGGCAAGCTTGCGATAGTCCCGGGGTTTCGCACACAACACGAGGCACACGTGGGCTATTGCTGCATGGTAGATTGATGAGGCGAGGATGTATTTAGAGATAGGAAGGAGTAAAGGAACGAAAGAAAGTAGTCATTTGAGTGGTGTTTACATTGACGTGCGGGGGTGCGGACGCGAGGGAAGATTAAGGTGAAGCGAAGGGCGGAAATGACGGTGACAGGGTATGTTGTGAATGAAAGTGGGGGGTGAATAACGTTGGATTGAATGACAGCCCCGCATACGGTGATCAGCGGTGGAGAATGGGTGGCTCAGGGTCTGATAGGAGAACCGGGAGTTACAGCGGACTGATGCGGCAATCTAATTCACACAGATTGGTTGCCGACCCTCTTTAGGCTTTGAATGCCGGTACCTGCCTCGACTTTGATTACCGCTTCCGGCTATTCACTCATCATCCTGACATGCGCGCAATCCGCCATTCGTCAATCCTCCTTGTTCTCCTCCGTGCAAGACTCTACCTTCATGGGAATAGCCCTATCGCTGCGAATAGACACTCCTCATCTCTGGCACAGCGTTTCCTAGGGGAGCGCCAGATGAGTTAACCCACTGGGAAACCCAGTTCAGTCTCAGTCGTGTCACTGTACTCTGCGAGCCTTGAACGTTTGAACTCTTCGCGCCTACCACAGCAACCGACCGCGCGCGCAACGACTCTTCCTATCGCACTGATGTGATCACGCCCCCTGATGGTGATTTCGACAGAGAACATCACGTGACCTTGCCCGTATCTGCCACGGTAGCTTCGCTCGCAGCCTGAGCGCACCGTTCCACACTGTACCATCGTTAGAACACGCCTGAGCCAACGTGGCACAGGCCCTCTCTTGACCCTCTTTCTCTTCTTGAATTTGACAGGGGACCAGCTCCACTAGCATACCCTACTGCCTTGGACCCATGTCGAGACCAGCAATACGTCCAAAGGCCGTCCCATCCGACTACTACCCTGTTACCTTTACCCACTCTCATAAACAACAGCAGTCTTCTAGGTCTTTATACCCAACATTCCTGTCTCTTTCAGACACCCTCAAGCTACAATCGCTGCATGCATGGAAAGGTTTGGTGGCGGCTTTCAGATGGGACATCGTCGTCACGACTGTAAGAAGGTATTGTCTGGCCTGTCCAGCCTTATCGTATTCACCTACAAGTTCTTCGACAGCGACCCTGAGATCCGTTCTAATGTCTTGAAATCTCTTCTTCTTAATACCGTTTCCTTGACTTCAATATACATGTTCGACCTGCTCCTTCATCCTCTCTTACGCGACCATCCAAGCTGGCTACATCGCAATGTTGGGTGGTTCTACCAGATTCTTTGGCTGCTTCCGGTAGTGGGTGCATCGTTATATCTAAATGTCAGTGCTTCCCCTTTGACCCTGCCAGTTTGATATCAGATCCGTGATAAATACCTTCAATGTTGGCGTGTAGTACATTGATTACTTATAATTATCTAACTAGGGCTCGTGGTGCAATCTCATTGCAAAGCGCACTCTTGTTCTTCAGCACGGAACTCGTGCCGCGCAGCAGCAGCCCGTCTCGTACAATGGCCTGCTTAACACGCTGGCCACCTCCGCGTACCGAGCAGTAATGGTCTTTACCTCTGTCGTCGTATCGTTTGCTATTGGATCCGTGCCATATCTCGGACAGTTTGCAAGTTTCGCATTCATGTGTTGGGTCGACGCGTAAGTAGCCACTTGTATCCCCCCCTTTTGAAATGCATTCAAATTTTACCGGAATGAAAAGTTATTATTGCTTCGAGTGAGTCGTGTTCCCCAAGATATTCACTGTTGCGTTCTCAGTTATCGCCTTGCTTCTTGCAGATTTATTTGGGTTGCCCGTGGGTTATCGCTCTCACGACGAGTGCGACATCTCGAAGAACGATGGGCTTTCTATTTTGCGTTTGGTTAGTACATTCTCTCACACCACGTATTCCTCCGTCCTTGAGCTATTTTGACTCACCGCTCTATAGGCCTCCCCTCCGCCGCAATCTGTACATGGGGCAGCGGACTAGCCAACGCGGCGCTTTTCGCCCTCATGTTTCCCGCTGTAAGCTATTCCCTGTACTGTCCCCCTGCTGACACCTCACATATGTTCTGTCCCCTCTCCAAGTTCATCATCATGGCCATGCATGCCCGTCCAGTGCCACAAGATCCCTACAACCCAACGTCAGCCGCGCGCGACTCGCCTGACGCGACACGCTACCCGTCACCACTCGTTCCCATCCGCATTCCTATCTTTTCAGTAGTTATATGGCTCAACGATCTGATCGTGAGAGTTCTGAGCGTGGGTGGGGGAAGCGGTGCGAAGGCTGCAAAGGGCCATAGGAGTGCCTTGAGTGATGGAGCCGAACAAGCGGAGGAGGGTGCAGGGATCGAGCTAAGTCCAGTCAAGGAGACTATAAGAGCTCCCACCGCTCCCAAGCGATCTACAACGGCTACTAGGTATGATACCCGGAGTGTTAGTAGTAGTGCTACACGGGCATTAAACAATGCACGACGGAAATTGGATTAGGAAGGTCCATCGCCAAGGATGACGGATTGACTCTGCACATGTTTCTTAACTCTATCTCAACTCTATCATACAGCTTTCACTTGTTCAGTAACCCCTCCTTTTGATTAATGGATGGATAACGTGTATATTTATTTAGGTTTTATGATATCTCTGGTTCGTGTGTAGCGGTGGTGTTCCCCCGAGCCCGAGCCCGAACGTGAGCCCGAGACAGCTGTCGCCCGAGGGTACAATGAAACTACACGCGGTAGTGCCAAGGCCCGCAATCTCCCATCCGCCGAGAAAAGAATGAGAAGGCCCATCAGAAAGGATGACAGCTTTTTCTCAAATAGAAGTAGTAAAAGCAGTACCACTCAACCGAAGCCTGCCCACTCGATAGAGAAAAACTCTACTTCTTTCTTTTCGTCATCCCATTGACACAACAGGTGTGCCTTTTTAGTACCAGTCCCGAGTCGACCGTGAGCGACTATTTCCATGGGACGGAGGACAGCAGTTGAGGATTCTATGACTGTTGCGACGAAGTGTGAATGATATCGCAGTGGGTCACCTACCAAGCGTCATCAAGGCACATAATCAGAGAGGAAATATCAAAACGAGAGAGGGCGCGAGGTGCGAACCGGGATAAACCAAGAAATCACCGCCGAATTTAATCCCCCCGCCCATGAAATAGCCCTGCTCGAGCAGACCGCGAAAGACGCCGCATCGAGCACGCTCAGCGAGGGTTGAGGGGTACTCCCATATTCCAGCTTCCTTTGCTGCAGCTAGCGTTGGGTAGAAGTGCTCAGAAGAAACATACCACCCTAAGGAGGAGGAAGGTCCAGGGATCTGCACGGCATAGGGAGTGTCAGAAGACGAAGCAGGATTGGGGGGCTGAGACGCAGAGACGTCTTGATTCGGCCGGGATGAGGGCTCGTCGGATGGTGCATTGAACAGTGAGATGTCTGTAGGATCTGATGTGTTAGCCTTTTCTTGCGCACGGCGGCTCTCGCGCTCTTTCCGTTTACGGATCGCATCCTCAGACATGGCACGACCGAAAGTTGCGGCCTCCTTCACTTCTTTTTCTTGCGCGAGGGAAATCTGACGCTTGATATCATCGACTCTCTGAGTGTTCCAGCGCTGCATCGATGAGGTTGAAGGATCGTGATGAGCAACTGAATCGTCAACGAGAACGGCAAGTTCTGCACGGTGGCATCAGTCTCTGTGGGGCGCGTAAGGTAGTGCGTGCGTGCTTACCACTCTCGACAAGAAAGGCCACCTCCTCTGGCATCAACAACAACGGTACGCCTAAGAACACATTCTGCTGGGAAAGATGGGGCAGAGTGCCAGCCAAGATCCCGCAGATATGGTGTTTGGATCGAAGAGTTGCGATATCTGCCCTTGTCCGGCGTAAGACTGATATCAGGTACGACAAACGTATATTCCTTACCGTCCACATCCCACACATAAGCCTTGCAATTCGAGACGCGAAGAGGTATTCGACTTTCGAGTTCGACCATAGGATCAAAGGAGCGGAACTTCCCGAAATGGTATTTTCTCCCTTGGGACAGCACGGAATTTGCCCGGTATTTTCCCGAGATGCTAGCAACTGCACACTGACAGTGACAGTGAGTTTTTATCTTGGTTTTATTTGTGAAATCCCCGTGTACTATGTATAGGTTTTGATCCTCCTGTTAAATAGGGGAATCACAAAGGAATACGCGCTGTTCAAGATATCCGGCTTCCCACCGACTAACCACGGAGTAGAGTTGCGCTAGGTGAGCATAGTATATCGCAATCATCCTTACAGATCGTCTGAAATGTTGACATGATTGCTAGATCTTAACTTTATATCTGTGTAGAGCTTAAAAACATACCCCGAACTACTATCGACATGGCTGCGAACGTTCAGGATGCTATCATGCTTCTAGGAGATTCGTTAACCCAGGGAGGCTGGGAACCCAATGCTTTTGCTCAGCGATTATCCTGCAAGTTGCTCTTTCGCCCTAGATCAAAGATGGTCTCTTATCGCATCACTCTGTAGATGTCTACGCCCGTAAACTGGACGTCATTAATCGTGGGTTCGGTGGCTACCAGACCGATTGGGCTATCCCTGTTTTTGAACAGGTATGTTATCTTTCCAGGATTTTTTTTCTGCGGTGATATATTACTAAATTATGTGGTTATCTGCATTGATATATGTAGGTATTCGCAAAGCAGCATGAGCAACAGCACGTCCCCAAAGTTCGCATTCTCACCATCTGGTATGGTGCCAACGATGCTTCACCTGCTCCCAGTCCCCAACACGTCCCTCGGGACAGATTCAAAGCCAATCTCAGTCACCTGGTCCAGATGGTTACGTCGCCTACATCGGCGCACTACTCTCCGGATACTCGCATTATTCTTATTACACCCCCGCCTGTGAACACTTATCAGTGGGACAGCCGCGTGTTTGACGTGACTAAATCGTATGCGGAGGCCGTTAAGGAAGTCGGGCTGAAGGAAGAGTTGCCTGTTGCTGATATCTGGACGTCTATTTGGGAAGCCGCCGGGAAGGATGAAAAATCATTGTCGAAATATTTGTCCGACGGCCTCCATCTTACCGCTGAAGGCTACGACGTGCGTTTCAAGTTTCATTAAGCTTGGGTATGATGACTAAAATGGCACGATGGATTGAACAGATCGTTTTCACCTCGCTGATCAAGATCATCGGTGAAAAATACCCTGAAGTGCACTATGACAAGTTGCAAAACGTGTTCCTGCCGTAGGTGCTCTCGAGATAATACAGTTTACGTCTTCTTACACGTCCTCTGAACGCAGGTGGGATAGCGTTGATTTTGCGAATCCCCGTTCGACGCTTGGGAAGAGAGATGCGATGCTGGCGTGACTGGTTTGAAATACGTGAAGTTGTAGTGACTAAGAATGTTATGTACCGAAGTAACCTGTAAGACTAGTGGAATGTTGAGTGGAATTGTGGCCAGGAAGTGGAGTATGGCCGGAAATGGCAGGAGTTCATTATGATGGATCAAACGGACCGGGCTGGTTCGACGTGGCTCGCTGGCGTCAAGGTGACGATGAAACAAAAGCGGTCACGTGATGAAAACGAACGTTGAGCAAAGGAAGGGCAAACAAGAAATAGCCGTCAAATAATACTTGAGCTCCTGCGACGACATATTGCACCGGAGGACAGCGCGGATATTCACTAGCAAGGTCTTTTTGGAAAAGACGAGGACTGCATATTATATATTTTCTGGTATGTGTCGAGGGAGAGAAAGAAGCGCGGGGCTGACTGTTCGGGATAGGCAGTGGACCCACAACTGTCCACAACAGAGTTTGCGTAACCTTCCTGTTCAAATTCCCCGTGAGAATGCCTTCGAGCCTTTCTTTGACCAACTTGTTGGTGCTTCAACCGTCAGACGCTAAAACACGTTTTTCTTTGTTTCTCTCCAGGCGCGGCCTCCTCCGTCAACACATTCCTTACGCCCAGGTGAGCTTCTCTGTCCACCTTTGCATGCCACCACCACACGGCCCGTGCCGGTATGTTTCGACTGGTGGACGTATGTCCTTCTTTGGCGAACAATGAAACATACCACGCGCGTCTCATACGGCTATGTCAGATTCAGACCTATCAGTGCTAATATTCATTATCGTCGTTCTTACAGTCCAGTTGTTTTAAAATTAAACCCCTGGCCACGACCCAAACCTTCGGGCCACCTTCCTCGGTCTGTCCTCCTATTTCTGTTCCTGTCTCTCTCTCTCACCTTCAACTTGGTTGTATACTTCAAACTGCGTCGCGTGTACCATTACCTTCACGTCCCTCACGCTCTACAATACACCTGCATCGGCCTACCGTCCCACTTGTTCTATCACCATCATGTCCATCTCCTTCATGGACCGCCTCACAGATCCTCACCCAAGCAAGAAACAGAAAAGACAACTTTATACCGTATCTGACGAAATGGCTTTCTTCACTATCTCTTCTTCCTCAACACAATATCTACAGGCGCCACCCGCTCTTTCGCGCAAGCGGACCCAGCAGCTTCAGCGCCCACGCGACGACGTCGATGAATTCCTTTCCTCTGATCTCGAACTTTCCTTCGCTTCTACCATGTCCTTGAACTCTCCTCCACGCGATACAATCGCTCTCTCCTCAGACCATGGACGTGACGAGCCTATGGATATCTCTCCAGCACCACCCAAAATACTTGTTCCTGCAAAGGAGACCGGAAGACTCGGTCGTCCCCGCGCGTTTACCAGTGCAGCTAGGATGTTCGGGCGTGATATGAGTAACGGTGTAGCACCTAGTGAACCCCCTACCTCTACCTTGAAGTCGGGTTCCTCTCAATCAAATGCAAAGCGTATTCAGCGAAGTGCCTTACCTACTGAATGGTTTGCGCCTGAATCCATGAAGGTGTCAGAATCCAAGACCGATGAGAATATGTATACTGTCGTGCGTTTATGTTTCATCTTGGGTTACTTTTGAATCAGGCGTGGTGGCTGACATTATCTCGTTGTCAGCCTCCCTCTCCAGGCGCAGGAGATGCCATGGACGTTGACTCCGCACCCCTCTCCGTAAGGAGGGACGTCTTAGGCTCGCCGCCTCTCTCGGCGGCTCCAACGATTACTGGATTCAACAACCTGTTTTTTGAGACGATGTCTCCCTCCAAGACCGAATCACCTGTTGGTCCTCAGCCCAAGAAACGTCGTTCCTTATCACCTGACTCTGTACGCCGAGTTGAACATGACGTCTCCTCATCTCCTGCTCCTTCATCTCCATCTCAGCATAAACTCGAGAGAATGTCGAGCGGACCCATTCTGACCAATTTCAACAAGCCCCTTTTACAAGGTCTCGGAGTTCCCTCCAACCTTAACAAGAGACCCCGCCGTCCTGTATTTTCTGCTTTAGTCCAACCTTCTGAGATCAAATCCGCATACCCCGTTCTCACCTCAGAGACTTCTCCAATTGAGGAGCAAGTGCAGAGCCGACTTCCTCCTACACGTCGTGCCTTCTCCGCAATGTTACCCCCCACTGCACTTGACTCTTTCTCCGACGAATCTTCGTTTGACGGCCCCGACATGTCGTCTCCGGCTCAGGCATATGCCAAGAGACAACAGGTTAAAACCCTTCGTCGGTGTGATGGAACAGAAGATTTCAGGCCGCTCACTGGAGCTATGGCTATGGTCAAGAGGGACCTGCAAGAAAGTCCTTCTGCAAGGTTTATGGTCGCCGGTATGCCTGGTTTCGGCGACAATGAGGCCCATGGGAAAATTTTGCCCTGCCACCGTGTTAGGGAGGATGGGCTGATGAGGATCAATGCTCAGACCGTGCGTCACCTTCAATCAAATTTATTGTCGGTGTACTAATTTTATTCGCTATCTGTAGCTGGACTCCCTCCTTGACGGTGCTTACAACAACCAAATTGCAGATTTCCATGTCATCGATTGTCGTTTTGATTACGAATATAATGGTGGACATATCCCCGGCGCTGTCAACATTAACACACCCATCGGTGTTGAAGAATTTTTACTTGGTAAAGCAACACCCAGGCCCTGCGTTAGCGGTGATGTGAACAGGAAGACTATTGTCGTATTCCACTGCGAGTTTAGCGCAAAACGTGCCCCTACTTTGTACGTTTCATCCTCTCTTCTGTTGTAAACATGCTGATTCTAAATTACGCGTCAGCGCCAAGCATCTTCGTTCCAAGGACCGTGCACTCAACAACCACGTATACCCCAAAATCCACTACCCTGAAGTGTACGTCCTCGAAGGTGGTTACTGCGAATACTTTAAGCAATCGGCGATGCGCTGCCAGCCCCGAGGATACGTGACGATGGACGATCCCGTTCACGCACTATCCCGCAAAGAAGACTTGGACCAATTCCGCAAGGCCAAGTTTGGACGCACCAAGTCTTACGCGTATGGTGATGGGGCCTTGAAGATGTCTGCCTTGTCCCATCAGCCTAAGAGGAATACCGCGCCAACCGCCGGTGCAACTCAACTTTTTGCGGCCGCGAATGCTGCTCGTACTCGTCGTGGCGGTGGCCTCTCCACCTTGGCAGAGGACGGAAATTCCGCTGCTCACTCTGATGACGACGAGACTGATATCGGCGATAGTCCATGCCCTCCTCCGACCAAAAACGTCTTATCCAAAGCGAAGAGGCTCAGTCGCGTTCCGATGGTTAGGGCCGAAACTTTAGGCTCTTCCCGCATGGCTTATTGATAATACCCTGTCAATGTCAGTGCCTGCAAGCTGCACACCTTAATGCTCCTCGAGGGCTCCTGTTTTGTCTTTCCCAATTAATGTTTTCTGTGCCAATGAAGGCAGATCGTCTCCGCCAAATCATGTTCTTTCGTAATTCATAATCAACACGACACTCCGATGTCTTCCGTCTCAGACACCCATCTACGACCGTTACCAGAATAAAGACTTTCACGTCTCAGTTATGCTTATCTCATTCCATTACGCTCGTTATGCTCTATGCTCTCTGCGGCGTGTCCGATATACATTTTCGCATCCGTCTCGCACCCGAAGCCCTCCTAAACAAACTTGACAAGAACACACTAGCATCCGAACTTCGTTCAGTCTCCTTAGCCATTCAATCGATCGCATTCCAACGCTCCATTTGTCTGACTAGTATCACTATCACGCATCATATGTGACAACCGTTGCATATCAGCTCGCTCATCTGTTTTTATATATGTCAATGGACGGTCATCGCACCGCTGTCCTCCACACATCTTTTTCGTTTCTATTTTCTATTCGCATTTCAGCCGAACTTACTATTTTCCCGCTTGCGCCTAAAACACGCTGTTACCTCCTTCTCTGTCCCCCGCACTGGACATTTCCTAAGACTTTCTTCACTTGTGATATGTGGAGTTGGAGTAGACAGAATGGCTTTGATTCAGTCTGGTGTTTTTGTTCGTTACATTTGCCATTTACAATCATCTCTTTTCTATTCTCCTATTTATTGTTCACTCTTGATATATCATTCTTCTGTTTCGTCAAGCTTTGGACTTTATGTCTCGGTGTCATTCTCGAGTGTTACATCCATTCGTGCTAGTGATTTCGTGATAGTGCCTGTTAATGTCTTCTAAATATTATTTCTATGAAAACGAAAACTAGCTTGACACTGATTGAGTACACGGCTGCCTAGTATGCTTCCATGAAGTTCGATAGGATGAGCGAGACATGCTACAACATTTACAGCGCTTACTATATAAGGAAAGTTAAGTAAGCAGTCTCAGAATCGTTGGCGCGTCGCACCAAAAAGTGCGGATTCATTTGGATTGTCTTCAACGAATTCATCCAAGATGTTTCAACGCGATCCCCGAGCTGGAGCTTTCCTTGGTGGAGACAGAGTATCAGGACAGGACATCCGGGATCAAAATGGTGAGTGCTATCAGCAGAAACGAAACCGGATGTCAATCTAACCGTCATATGCGATCGATGGCTACCAGTACTCGCCGCACAGTCCATCGCGAATATTGTGAAAAGCTCCCTAGGTCCTCTGGGTCTTGACAAGATGCTCGTGGATAACATTGGGGTGGGTAAATTTTCCAGATCTTGAAGTCTGCTTTGCTTATGGTCTTTGCAGGAAGTGACGATCTCAAACGACGGCGCCACTATTCTCTCTCTGTTGTCCGTCGAACATCCTGCTGGGAAGATTTTCGTTGATCTTGCACAGAAGCAAGACAAAGAAGTTGGCGATGGGACAACGTCTGTGGTGATCGTGGCAGCAGAGCTTCTCCGCCGTGCCAATGAACTTGTCAAGGCGAAGATACACCCAACTACGATTATCACTGGTTACAGGCTCGCGTGCAGAGAGGCTGTCAAGTTTATGCAAGATCAACTCAGCATAAAGGTGGATCTCCTTGGTAGAGATGCCCTTGTCAATACTGCGAAAACGACGATGTCGAGCAAGATCATTGGAAAGTGAGTTTTATAGACTTGTTGATTTCTGGCTTTCGATTACTAAGGTGTATATTAGCGATGATGATTTGTTTGCACCCATGGCTGTTGATGCGATGTTAGCTGTCAAGACAATTAACTTGCGTGGAGACATAAAATATCCAGTTAAAGCTGTCAACGTGCTGAAAGCACACGGGAGAAGTGCACGGGAGTCATTATTTGTGCAGGGATATGCTCTCAACTGTACAGTCGCAAGTCAAGGTATGTTTCCCCTTTATTTTCCCATTTGAATTGCTTTATGAACGATACGCTATCGTCAGCCATGAAAACGCGCATACTAGGTGCAAAAATTGCCTGTTTAGATATCAATCTTCAAAAGACGAGGATGCAGTTGGGAGTACAGATATTGGTAGATGATCCGAATCAACTGGAGGAGATAAGGAAACGGTACGTTCGCGTGACTTGATCGCCCGAGAAAATCTTTCATTAATTTTCACGAAATTTAAAGAGAAGCTGAGATTACACTGGAACGCATCCGTAAAATTCTGGCTGCAGGGGCCAACGTTGTTCTGACTACAAAGGGTATCGATGATCTATGCCTCAAAGAATTTGTCGAAGCTGGAGCCATGGCCGTACGTCGTTGTCGGAAGGAAGATCTCCGCCGTATTGCGAAGGCAACAGGCGGAACCATGATTTCAAGTCTTGCCAATCTCGAAGGAGAGGAAACATACGAGTCGAGTTATCTAGGTTATGCCGACGAAGTCATTCAAGAGCGTATCTCGGATGATGAACTCATTTTGATCAAGGGAACAAAAGTTGTGAGCTCGGCGTCCATTGTCCTACGAGGTGCAAACGATTATATGCTGGATGAGATGGAACGAGCATTGCACGATACGTTGTCTGTGATCAAGCGTACTTTAGAAAGTGGCGCCGTTGTCCCTGGTGGAGGGGCAGTGGAGTCTGCTTTGAGCATTTACCTTGAAAACTTTGCTACCACAGTTGTAAGTGCAGGTTATTATTCTCGAAGTATTACTCGATACTCAAGGAAATGTAGGGTTCGAGAGAACAGCTGGCGATAGCAGAGTTTGCGAGTGCACTTCTTTCCATTCCCAAGCAACTTGCCATCAACGCTGCAAAGGATTCGACTGAGCTCGTTGCCAAACTCCGTTCGTATCACAACGCTGCACAAAATGCTCCTGCGGGAGACCCCAAAAAGGCTCTGCTCCGCTACGGTCTGGACCTCATGAATGGAGATGTGCGAGACAACGTTGCAGCAGGTGTTCTGGAGCCTACTATGAGCAAGGTCCGCAGTCTCAAATCTGCATACGAGGCTGCCATATCTTTGTTGCGGATCGACGACGCTATTCAATGCATACCAGGTAAGGAGTTGTTGGAGCATCATGATGGCAAACACTAATGACACGCATTTCATAGAACCGAAACCCGAGGCTGATCCCCATGGCCACTGAGAGATGAGATAGAAAATGAAAATACATGTAGATCAGTAATGCTAATGTAGTACTTTGCGCCCTTCTACACTGCCTGTTAGTGTGAAAGCAAACATGAGTGGCTGTGCAAGATATGAGTGACGCGGCAGTCACGTGCTTTTCCAGGCGCGGTTCGTTTGGTACATTGCCGACGAGGTCGACCTTTCCGTCTTGTATTTCATTGTAGGCCACTCCAATTAATCTTCATACTCGGGAGACACCATCAAGCTCACCGTTGGGGAGTATCTTTCACTGTGAAATTCACCAATTTTTCCGCTTTTTATTTGCAGGCGATAGCAGCTCAATGCGCTAGATCTGTCCTATGCAACAAGAAGCCACTCAGTCCTTCCTGCCTTACCTTTCCCAACGGTTCCACACGCTAGTCTGGACATGTCTCGACTCAGATCTCACAAAATCTGCCGTGTTCTATGCTGAACGCTATTTCGCCATGAACCAACTGAACCACGACGCTCGACATCTGTATGCTACCACGCTTTTGTGTGCCGGGCAAACGCATTCTGCCATGTGCCTCATCGATAACCCTCCAGATATGCGGTGTAGTGGATGCTTAGAAATTAAAGCAAAGTGCTGTACAGCACTCGGTCGGTACAGACAGGCGCGTGAAGCACTGGAGGAGAGCCTGCAGGATACATCCTACACACCAACGCGTACGCCACGTTTTAATCTTTTGCTCGTGGATATTGAGTTAGCCATCCCGTATTAACAGAATCTATGGGCTCCCGGACGGCGCGTGCATTTCCAGAGGAAGCAGCATTGCGATGTAGATCAGGTACAATGGCTTTGAAGGGTAATCTTCCTGAAAAGGCGTCTCTCAGCTTTCGCCAAGCACTAGCTCTCAATCCAATGTTATGGGAAGCATTCGAAGGCTTGTGTGCTCTTGGTACATTTTGTCTGATGATTTTAGCGAAGTTTTGCTAAGTCCTACCTTTAGGGTCTTTCCCTGAAATCGACGAACTGTTTCCTCCTAAGTCAGTACCTGTGAAGCGGACTGCCCCAGAGGAGCAGGCTCAGCTGAAACCTGCACCATCAATACCTACAGCTACTGGAGCTGGATTCTTTACTCCAGACGTTGGTTCTACCGGTAACTCACATCGTGGCTGGAAACCAGAACCACAAGCACCACAGCCTTTCCGAATGGGCCCCCCACCTTTACCTCGTGATTCACTGTTAGTCCTCAAAGCATCTCCATCGTGCCTATCGCTGACTTTTACTTACAGTGCCGCCAACGACACGTCCATATTTCCGGTAGATAACTCTTTTCTTCAAGTACAAGCTCATTTGCGGCCAAGTCGCACACAAGCAACAGTGGTTGGTTCGGCACAGGCTACTACATCTCGTCCTCTTTCTTCAGCTGACGAAGCTGGTCCTGTGCACAAGAAATTACGATCAGCTGTTCGAAAGCCCAGCGCTGAAGTAGTCAAGTCCAAGGCAGTTAAGTCCACAGTGGACGAACCCCTGAAAAAGGCACGCGCACGCCCGGCCTTGAAATTTGCTAACTTCTTCTCATCATCCGGTCGTCGTTCTCAGCCCGTCTCATCTACTAGGACCACTCTTGCTGGAAAAAGCGAGCGACCTGTGAATTCAGGAGTCCCAATTCGTCGCAGTACTCGGCTAATGAGCAATGCCAATATCAAACCAGCCAGCAAGGTAAGGGTATCATTCTTAGCATGTCCGCGGTGTCATATAGATCCACTGCGTTTTATCTGCCCTTAATGCTTCTCGGTGCAACTTTTAACAATTCGTCTCTTATCACAGCATCCACCTCTCAGGGAGCGACGACGAGTTACCACGCGTTCAAGATTAGCAGAGTCAGAGAATGACGAAGAGGCACTCACTCACGGAGAGGCCCCCCAGTCCACGTCACCACCTTCAAATGCAGCACAATCTCCACGGTCTGATGTGTCTCCTGCTCCGAGCAACTGGACAGCAGGGCAGGAGCAGGCCGCTCAGGAAGCTTACGACGTAGAAATGGCGGACCATTATGTGTATGAACTGATGCGACGCTTTGCCAGTGCGACAAGAGCCTTGTCGATGTACGACTCGCGGAAGTGTTTATTGGAACTGGAAAAATTGCCCCTCATTCACCAAAATTCGCCGTGGGTATTGGCAATGGTTGGTCGGGCGCACTATGAGAGACTTGAGTATGCTTCAGTACGTAAATTAATTGGATGTCTCTTCTTCCTTCCATTCGGACCATGGGACTATTATTGTTTCGACCTGGAAAGTTAAGGTTACTGATACGCATGTTTTTAGGCCGAGCGCGCTTTTAAAGCTGTCCGATCGCTGGAACCGTTCCGAATGTGGGATATGGAAGTGTACTCAACCCTATTATGGCATCTGCAGCAGAACGTCCAACTCTCGTATTTGGCACAAGAGTTACTGAGCATAAATCCTCAGTCGCCGCAGGCCTGGATTGCAGTGGGCAATTTGTTTTCTTTGCAAAAGGAGAGATCACAAGCCCTGACATGCTTCCGTCGTGCTGCACAATTGGACCCTTCGTGTGCCTATGCGTACACGCTTAGTGGACACGAGTCAATTGACGAGGATCTGGATAAGGCAATTGGGTTCTTTCAGTCAGCTTTACGCACTGATCCACGACACTATAATGCATGGTGAGTTCCATTGGTCTGATAACCTTGAAATTCCGTTTTCATGTAGAATTTGACGATATCTTATTAGGTATGGCCTCGGAACATGTTATCTGAGGATGAGCAAAATCCGATTGGCAGAATACCACTACCGGAAGGCCGTCGAAATACACCCTAATAACGCAGTGTTGCTGGGTTGCGTGGGGATGGTGAGTGATCACGGGATTGGTTGAATTTGATCGGTGGCTAAACGTGTTGTTTTATTTTTTCCCCTAATCTTTTTCCCTCGTTTCGTGACACCCTGCTTTTGACTCACAGGCCGTTGAGCGACGCGGAGATAAGACTGTGGCACTTTCGCTATTCGACCAAGCGGTACGGTTATCGCCCGATAATGCACTTGTGCGTTATCGTCGAGCAAAAATCCTTATCTCTTTAAAGAGGTACTCGGTGAGTATTTTACCTGATAAGGACTAAGAGTGACTAAATTTGCAAATACTAAATTTATGTGATTTATTCTTATCTTGACACACAGTCTGCGCTGCAAGACCTGGAATTACTCCGCGACTCGTCACCAGAAGAGTCTAACGTAGTTTTCCAGCTGGCTAAAGTGTACCGACTGATAGGCGATGAGGTCAAATCAGCTCATTGGCTTGCTGTTGCGCGCGATATCTCACCCAAGAGCGTCAACAAGATAAAGAAGCTGATAGAGACGGCGAAGGATGAGGAGGAGGATGACCCGATGGATGAGGGGTGAAGCACGCAGCCGTCGGTGACTTTACTGGATGCCCTGATGATAATTGAGATCTTGTATATACACCGTTTATAGCGGGTTGATAGGAAGACCTGATATAGCGCCGAGTGGTGATATCTGGCGTGGTGGCGTGCTAATCTTGTGACATTGTCGGGTTTGGTCGTGATTGGTCGTGATTGGTTCCAGATGTGGCTGGGCAGATTCACTCCCCGAGGGGTTCGCTTCGATTCGGCTTCTCCGTCACTTTGAGTCACGACATCGTCTATTTGCAAAATACTATATAAACACGGCCTCTCCTCAGCTCACATCCCCATCTTTTAGCCCCTCCTCCACCATGTCTACATAACTGCACCGCTGCCGTCCTGCTATCAAACACCCAGTACTTGCATCCTGCCGCGTCCCCAGTAGACTGCCTGGCGCACTGATTTAAAGTATGGTTAACAAACTTGCCCGTAAATCTAATAACGGCACTATTCTCTTTGAACCTTTCATCGTATATCGTATACACCGGTGATATTAACCGCGCAAGCATCGGTACGTACGCACTAGGCTGCCGCTACGAGTCTCAGCTCACTCCCTCGTGTGTTACCCCAGACGCCACATCTCTCGCCCCCTCTTCCAATCCAACCTCGTTTGCCTATCCTATGTCAACAGAATCTTTCGATTTCCTTCATCTGGCCCGTTCAAAGCTGCATACAGCCATTGGCGGGAAAGATAACTGCAGCCTGCACCGATGGGTGCTCCTCAAAAATTCGATTGTTCGCACTCCACCTAAAGACGGTGAAGTTCAAAACCCTATGCCTGATGTAAATTCTGTATATTCCTTTGATGACGAAGGAGACGGTGACGATGAAGACGACGGGGTTGAGGAAGAAATCGACTCATTCATGTTCCCCGACGCTAGTAACCTAGTTGATTGTGGTGGAGCTGATGTGAACGCTTCAGAAGCTGAGTGGCTCGACTCCCTCTTAGAAACCCTTGGTGAAGATGGTGAGGACTTGGAGCAAATTCGCGTCTCAGTATTGCCTGTGGAAGACGATGAAGATTTGCAAACCAGCCCCTTGGTCTCGCCCATGTCCTCGTCAGACGACCTTCTTAACCAACTTGCGTATTATTCACCGCCTATCGCTGTACCATATCCTGTGCCATACCCTCCGTTCCATCCCCCACTCATTCGTCCATGTGAGCTTGGCCCTATTATTGACTCACCTCTCCTCTCCAGTCTTCCAGCATATGATGATCCCCTTCCGTACTATGATACCGATGAAATAGATGATCTGTCCGTGCCTGACGCCATAGAAGACACTTCTGACGACGAGTCTGATATTCCCTCCACTCCGTCTCTGGTGCGGTCGTCAACCCAGTCCTTCGTTGACCCAGCCTCTGTGCCCCTTCCAGCGGAGCGCCGACGTCAGCGGATGCAACCCCACGTATATATTGGCACCATGGATCCTTATTTTTATCCCTTCGAGCTTGACCCCCTCCCCTTCCCTGATGAAGATCGTTTCGCTTCCTATAATCCCATCTATTCAGAATGCTAGCTGCTATGTCTATAATCTCTCCTGCCTCAATTGTGTATATGCACGCTTTTTTGCCCATGTATTGTATTCATCTCTGGGAATCTGGTTGTCCTTGTCTACAAGTGCCTAAGGTTAACTATATTGTAGGCCTATCCGCGAGCGGTCTTCACGGCATCTGACAACTTGTTGGTGTTTCACTTTGATATCAACGCACAGTTCCGACATCACCCGTTGATATCTAAAATGGTCCGTCGCAGGTGCCGAAGTATTCAGTGGGTGAACGGATGAATGTTGGAGCTTTACAGCTTTTGAGACATGACGTCCTTCAACTTGCTATTGAATTGCTGTCTTGTTTACGGCGGAAGCTCCAGAGAGTGTCGTCCTCTGGCAGCAACGGACGCCGTACATACTGAACCGAGATATTGTTAAATGCCGTGGGGTAACATTCAGACGTGGGAAGGGGTCGGGAATCTAGAAAGGGTGCTTAATGTTGGATAATGGTCGTGGGATGTCAACACGCGGCCTAAGACAAGTTAGCTCTGATTCTTACCTAGTCGTAACAAACACGGGGATACCGTTTCCAACTTTGACAAAGGGTTGCTGCGTGGGGGGGTCGTGGACGTTAAGCACCCTGGATATCATATGAACCAGCGTGTGGGAGCGACGGACGTACTTGTCAATGTAATCGCTGAATCGGTTTGCGATAAAGATGATATTGGATAGCTGTTCGCGCGTCCAGTTCTCGCGTATGATGTTCTCGTACAGGTCCATATCGCAATGCGGCATGTAGAGGATGGTTGGACGTATCACGGGATGCTTCGCGTTCTGGAACAGATAAAAGATAGATACGCGCTCAATGGACATAGCCCGCATACAATGCTGAAGGTACGTGCTCTGTTATCTGCCAGACACTGCATCCCGAGCGCTTGCAATAGCGCGCTGTCTGCATCCGTAAAGACGGGATCATAGACGGACACATTTTGGAGATCCTATATTCAGAAAGTCGCACGAACGGACCTAGTGTCATGCACAATTCTAGGGTACACGGGAGTGATGGGCGCACTATATCGCAAAGAGAACAGAATCTGATGAGGAACGCCAGCTGCGCCCGGGCGTCCCGAGACGAGACAGGGCTTCCAAGACCAAGGCACAACACCTCTGAAGCAGCAAAAGATAGATCCTGTAGAACGTCTTGGAGAATCTCTGGAAAACAAAGGGGGTCGTGCCTTCATCATTATCGGATTACAACTAAAACACCACAGGACTTGCGGCGGAGAAACGAACCGTGACAAGTGGATAGCCAGACAGTATTGGATTCCAGTTCTTTTTTCGTGCGTTCCAGCTGTTCCAGCGGCTGGGGCGGTTCACCTGATGGCTTTCGTCTTCGCTTTTTTCGAGGACCCGCACGAGTGAATGGCTCCGAATATGCAAACGAAGCTGAATTTTCCATGTGAAGATCACGGAAGGTGATAACAGAAAAAAAGCTCAGGAAAGGTATAAAGCAAAGACAAAGAACCGCTAATTTCCGTCAAAGTTCGAAAGATTTGAATGATCATCCAAGTGATCATCTGATAACGAATTGCCACTCTTGGGCATACCGCTGGCCCTGACCGAGGATATAACATATATGGGTTGGCTTCCATTTTACAGATACTATGAGCAATATCATTCTGGCAATCCACGTTTAAGGGCTCCTGTGCTCTTCTAGCTCCCTGTCGCGAGGCAAGGCGAAGCAGGGGCGTCGCACAAGAACGCCCCTCAGATATAAATTGTTGGTAGGTCCCATGACCAGACTGTTGTACATTCTATGCTAAGACATTTTATTCCTACAAGGTTTGCAGCGCCCAAAGGTCATCTCCTAGGTAAGAGGCCACTTCCACTCCGATATCCTTATTCACCTTTCGCATCTCTTCAGTCCCGAGTTTCGTAATCCCGACACCGACGGCATGTTCTTTCCCTTCTGCGTATATTCCGACAAGCGCTCCAGCGGGCAACGCAGCATTGGGGGGTGGGAGATAACCTCCAGCAGAGGTAAGTCCAGGGCACATCATGTGTGCACCACCAAGCAGGAATCGGATTGCACCACGGTCAATCCCCACTTTCGGTAACATATAGGGATCTGTTCATATCAATCAATTTCCAGCTGGACTTCCACTTCTCTTATCCAAAACTCACACTTGTGGTATAATCGCAGTGTTGGATACAATGGACCATCAAAGTGCTGGAAGAACAGTGGTTCGTTGTGGACAGTGTATATCGAGACATGCTCTCTACTATCTTGTAAATCAGATCATCTGCAATCAGACGAAGTTAAACAGAATCAGTTGTTTTGAAAACGCACCATTTCACATGAACAAGAGGCTCCTTCTTGGGCCAAATCTGCTCTAGGGTTTCAGGTTCGATTTTCCATTGAGCGAGAACTCCTGCGCGGATGGAGCGTTGTACAGATGATTTAAGAGGCGTTTGACCTGCGATGTCCGTCGATGGCTGAAACCTGCATATGCAAGATAATTTACCACACTCATCAGCTCAAGAGTGAAGAGATGCTTTACTTTTTGAACATGGCGAGTTCGAGGTTTGCTTGTGGAGGTGACGGTAGTTGATTAACTTTTGCCTTCGGCGAACAAGATATCTTATCGCCGACCGACAGGACTGACTTATTTGGTCACGCATTTTTACATGAGTATGTACTGAAGCCAATCGACATTTTGAATACATTTAATATGATTTCAATTCAAGATCAACGTTAACAACAGTCTACATTACTTTCATGTGCTCCCCGACCTAAGCTAGTAGTACATTAGATATTGAAAGCGGCGAGGCAAAAGGCATCGATAGCAGGATGAATTTGTAGAGACATTGATGAGGTGTTAGGATGATAAGGAGACATTTAAGGGGCTTGGAAGGAGAGACTAGACAACCAGAAAATATACAACAGAACAAAGGCATCGTGTAAACAGTCATGATTTTAGCAGCGCGGGGGATGATTTCTTTAAATGTCCTCGTCCTTGTCCTCCAGCTGTGAGGGCTTGAGCATACCTGGGATCCGCATGGCATTTTCCCGCTCTACTTGGGCTTTCCTCTGTGCCTCGTCCTCTTTCTCCTCGAGATAGAGCTCAGCATTGTCACCAGAAGAAAATTCCTTGAGCTGGATAAGGAAATCTCGAAGAACAAGCTTGAAGCGGTTGCTGTCGCTGTGGAATTCGCCTAAACCATTGACGAAAACTTGAACTTGGGAGCTGCAGACTAACATCAGCGGAAGGACACGAGCAAGAATAAAACAATCATACTTCTGCACATGCGGGAAAGCCGTCTTCAAGAGGTTGGCGCAATATTCCCGTAAAAATACGGAATTCGAAATATTTGGATCCGTCATCTGAGCTGGGTCAAATAATGGCGTCTGGATTTGATTGGTTTCGACAAGCTGGAACATCCGAGCGAGTAGTAAACTCTGTAGCTTGAAGCCACTTTTATGATCTGCATCAGTCAGAACGAAGAATATATCCTGGACTATGCTGAGGAAGTATTGTTGGAAGAATGCATTGCTGACCGCTGGTTCTGCACCGGCGAAGTTGTTCACGACTTCGAGGCATACTGTTTGGGACAACAATTATTAAGACGTATATATACAAAACAGCTGTCATGAACGTACAGTTCAAACCAGTGTCTGCGATGTCTCGCATGGTGTGCTTGATGGCCCAGATTATGCTGTCCATGAACAACTTAAACTGCGGCGGCGGGATGCCAAGCATAGCTACACGATCGTCAGATTAAAGCTATTCTATCACGATATAAAAAACACCTACCAGGGAAGCAATTAATATTAATGGCCCTAAGGAGTTTAAAGAACCCGACTCTGTGCTCAGGGAATTCGGAGAAGTCTTGATTGATCATATTCAAAGTCGGCTCGAAAACGGCATCAAGAATAGCAGGTACTTGTGGGGTAAGCAAAGGCTATAGTGGTTATAAATAATTGAATTCAAGAAGCTGTTCGAAGGAAAGGAAGAATCACTTACACCAAGACGCCCCGTGATAGTAGCCATCACGTTCAGAACCTCCGCATCTCTTGCTGTTGGAATGTTGCGGTTGTAATCTCCAAGTATAGCATCTAACAATGGGGGCATAAAATTGGTGTTAACAGCCTCGAGGTCCTCTGCCTTTTTGATATATGTCTCCATCAACTTCAGAATTTCTTTCTTGACAGTGCGCAGTTGCCTGATCTTTGGAGTCTTCGTTGCAATGTTTCCTAAATGGTATGCAATGAGCCGCCAGAAAACATAAGCAGCAGCGCAAGTTAAGCAACTCACCATCACGAGCAACAGTTTCGCTAATAATTCCACTAACTGCTTTGTACAAGCCAAGCATATCTAAGAATATGCGACCAATTTGTGGAAGATAAAAACTGCCAATTGCAGTACAGGCCGAGACGTTCGTTTTCAGGACGTTTGAAAGGATCTTTATATTGTCTACGCTGCTGAGAACGTCCATGTTCTGTGCGGCCTGCGCCATAAGCGAGTCCCACTGTAGAGTATATTTAGATACGTCTAGGACACAAAAAAGAGCGGACGTACAGCGTTATTCGGGAGCTCCATTAACTTCGCTATTAGCTTCTCTTGCTGAGGCTTGTTAGGTGGTGCAGAAATCATGTACCCGACTGCCTCATAGAAAGTGTGCACCTGGCGGAGACTGTCAGTACTCGTGAACAAATATTTCAACAGGCAGACAAACCTGCTGAGGCGATAGATCGACCGTTATCCTATGTAATAGGCGTAGGATTTCATCAACGAAAGGCTCCTGCTCCCCAGATTGTTGCATTACAAAGTGGCGGCGACATTTTTGTGCAATTTTGATAAACGTATCGCAGGCCATGTCCTGTACACCTGCAAAATGCACAGAATATTCGGTGAGTGAACATTCACTGAAATGAATAAAATGAATCACCTTCGTGGGTTTCGTGCATAAATTCAAATAATTTATTAACGACCGTCTTCAGGAACTTCCAATGGGCCTTAAGGAATCGTGGGTATTGTCCAACAATATACATGATATCGGATGCAACTACAGCCTTGTTGTCCTTGCCACGCTTAATTTCACATAAGCCCAGAAGGTCCTTAATTACAGTGACCAAAAAACGCTTTTCTGTTTCCTCATCTGAAAAGATACAACGCAATACGAGCTTTGGTCAATACTTGACTTAGACAATACGACATAACACTTACTCATCGCTCCAGAGATAGAACCAATAGCCCAGCATAGTGTGTTTAGATTCTGCCAAGACCACTCTGAACCATCGACTTGCTTCGCCAGCTTTTCGGTGAGAATATTCTCAGTATCAACGACGTCCAAATGTGTAAGGTACACCAAAAGTTCGCGCATCGACTTGTAAAGGACAATGGTATCGCTTTCTTTCATGAATTCACGCACGATTTCTCCTTCTTCGTTTTCGACAATCAAAACCTAGAATTACGAGTCCATAAGGACCACTACTTAGCTCAAAAAATTACGCGAATAAATATGAACACACATACCTCCTCTGGTTTGACCATTCTCTCAATGACTACTAACCTCAAGTTGGATAGCACATCGCTATAAATATTCTTCCTAAGTGTCATACCATTAAGCATATTTTGTGCATTGCCATTCCCGCCTAGACTCAAACCCATCAGCAGACCAGACTCGCCAATGGGTAGACTCTTGATTTCGTCATAGAGCTCGGCTACTAATTTCAGCCAATACTCCAAGCAAATCTTGAAGATTTCTCTTTCGTCAACTTGTGATACCTTGACCATATAAAGATGAGCGTTGAGCAAAACGTCGCGATTTGCTTCCGTTTCAACGGCGCGAAGATGACTGGATAGGAAGTTGGCTAGGAAAAGGGCGAGATTAAGTACCAGCTCCTGGCCAGCGTCACCCGCATTTGCATAAGCCTGTGCAATGTTGGTACTGGGAGGGATCATGCGGTTGACAGATGTCATAACCATGGCAAAGAGAATCACAAATTTTGGGTCATATTCTGGACCAACGTTCAGTGCTGCAATTTCGGCGAGACACTTGAGCGTGACGTTGCGGAAATCGGGGGCTTCGAGGAACTACACAAGGAACCAATGTTATCAGTGCATTCGGGATATAAGCACATAGAGTAGATGGCCGCACCCGATTTAGGAGCAGATCAATGATTGTCGTTTCAAATATATAGCCTAGAGGAATCCAGTTCAAGAAGCGCAGCAGGGTTTCTAGAGTTGCCCTGATTAGTGACGTCTTTTGAGCTTCCTCTAGGACTTCAGAACATAATTTGAAGATTTCCGAAAATTCTCCACACATCTGATTCTTCAGGTTTTTGATCTTGGTCTGCGTTAGTTGTTCCGCCGAGTAATCGAACACTTCTTCCGATAATAATCGTAATATGACCATGTTATTCTCACAAAGAGAAAGATTAGTCTTGGATGACTCCACAAGTTCTGATATAAACGTTGGCCAGTTGTGTGGCCACTCTTGTTTGAGAATCTAGCAACCGAGTAATACGATTTGTAACGTGCTTTTTTTTCGTACAGAAATGATAAACGCTCACCTGAACAAGGGCAAGATTCAGTTTGTTGACATATGTCTTCTCCTTTCTCATGGTTGTCTCATCAGACGCCACCTTGACAGTTATACCAACGACGAAATTCCTTATACCTAAAAAAAATAGAATGAGCTTGAAATAATATATGTCATAGGAGTACGACTACATACCTTGACGTTGGCCCTCTGGTAGAGTTTTCCACCGCGTTGTAATTAATTTTTCGAGAATCTGCAAACCGATATACTAGATCCGATACACTGTGAGCTCGGGTGATGAGATGGAAACTATATGAATGTTCACCTTTGCTTGTGGAAATGATGACCGCTCTAATATATCCGGTACTCTCGTCCAAGCGTCAGGATGTTCTTCGAACTGGGTCAGGACTTGCTGTGCCATTTGTTGCTTAGATCGCGATCGGTTAGATTAGTGAATGTCCACTGCGAACAATACCCGATGCTGGTACACACCTCAGCTCCTGAGCCAGTATAAAACGCCATGACGACCCTATCCAAGAGGGAGACATCGAACTCCCTAGAGAAATCGAGCAAGCCCTTGCAGCAAGTTTCAGTTGTTAATCAACAGTTTTTGAAACGCGACATAGACGTACCTCCATGATGTAAATGTGAAAAGCTCCAGGAGGAGGTGGTGGTCGAGAGTGAAGGGCGAAACGTGCACGAAAAAAGTGCCCAGATAACTGATAATGCGTCGAACGTTGGGCAGAGGGCGCTCCCTTGGTCGCCGAGTGTGACACCCTAATCCTTATCTCCGACGTCCCCCAAATTATCTCCGAAAGGGCCTGCAGTGCCAGTCTAGGGTTAGGTCTGAGATGGCGTAGTGGGTCTTCAGTGTCGTTGGTCGTCTTATAAACTAGTACCGAACGGCTCCCATGGTTATTGTAAATCCAAACCATGGCCTCACAATTAACCAGCAGCCAGCGTGCTTGGACGGCTGTAAAGCGAGGCTCACCGGCGAAAGCCCTTGCATTACAAGATGTCCCAATTCCTAGTAAACTAGTAGAAGGAGAGGTGCTGGTCAAGGTTCAGGCAGCTGCACTTAACCCAGTGTAAGTACTTGTGTATGGTTTCAGTCTGCAGCCTCTGACATTATACCTCTCTTGCAGGGGGTACAAATTGATGGGAACGTTGCCCAATTTCATTGCTCGCAGGCCAATCACAGTCGAGCACGATCTGGCGGGCGTGATAGTAGACGCCAATGGAAGCGAGTTTTCTATTGGCGATGAAATAATTGGCTTTATTCCAGTTCGTGAGTGCCTTCTTATTCTGACTATGTTGAGACCGTACGCTGACATTCAAGTAGAATTGCAGCTCAAAACCAGACAGGGGGCAATCACAGAGTACACTCGTCTTCCGGCATCCAATGTTACTATCAGACCACCAAATATCACTCCTACGGATGCTTGTGGAATCCCATTAGCCGGTGAGACTGCCATGCAAAGTCTCTTTGACGTCGGGAAATTAGAACCCGGACAGACTGTCTTCATTAACGGTGGTAGTTCCTCTGTTGGAGCATTCGCTATTCAAATAGCGAAAGCAAGAGGCTGTAAAGTTGTCGCAAGTGCTTCTGGTAAAAACGAAGACTTCGTGAAGAGTTTAGGTGTTGATGATGTGAAGCATATTATCTTCCCATATACTCGCGATATCTGACACATATTCTAACAGTTTCTGGACTACACCAAGGCTCCCATCCATAAACAACTCGAAGATAACCCACCGTCACCTAAATACCACCTGATAGTGGACGCAGTAGGATTAGTTAATCCGTCGCTTTATACCCATAGCGAAGCGTATCTTGCCCCGGGGGGCGTATTCGTTTCGACAGGCCCACTTCCTTCCTTCTCGTGGAAAGGGATATCAGATATCGTCTCCACTATTAATGAAGTCTTCCTCAGACCGTCGTGGCTGGGTGGGACGAAAAGAACCTGGAAGTTAGTATACTGCACATTTCTTGCCGGAGTAACTCAACTGATATATCTTTAAAGACTAGTAAACGTGGTACACAAGAAAGAAGACTTGTATAGTCTTCGTGACCTTCTAGCAGATGGTGCGTAATCGCTTAGCATAAAAGTTTTGCTTCCAACCTACGTATTCAGGGAAATTAAAGCCTGTCGTTGATTCTATATTTTCATTTGAAGACACTTTGAAGGCCTATGATCGCATTAAGACTCAACGCGCAAAGGGAAAGGTGGTGATAAGGGTCGACCCAAAGGCGGATTAATCAATCTCTGAATCGAAGTAAGTGTGTCAAGATCTCGAGGAGTAAAAGCGAATGTTGACGTATTAGCTAGAGTTATCTTTGTTAGGGTATCATTGGCGCATATGTACGCTAGCAAAGTGCGTCAGTGGTGACCTTCGCGTCGCGAATTAGATCTTGAAGTCCACAAACAACTCGGAATTGATGTTTAGTGCAAGTGGAAACTGCTATTTATGGGCTCTGAGGCCTGAGGCTCGAGTCTCGAATAATGTCACCATGTGTTGACTGACCTATCATCATGGTTATTGTTATCGCCTGTAGATTCCCTCGAGTCCAGGAGGTGCCCCTAGCAAAAGCCTTTGCTAATCAACGTTGCACTTCCTACCATTGAGGGCAAATCTCTTGCGGAGTTGTTTGCATTTTCGAGTTCTCAGTTCTAGAGTAACTTTGAGTATGCATACTACATAAGCGTCTGCTGAGAGTCTATAACTTGAAGCTTGAGCTGCTAGGATCATCTGATCGTGGGACACGGAACGTTACAGTGGAAACTCCTAAAGTCAGGGGTCTCAATTGACTCTTGCTTTGCTTCACATAGGACAGCGATATATCGTTCTCATCATTTCTTCCTTGTTTTCAGCTTATAATCGTAAAATTCGATTCCTATCTGTTATCTATCTCTATTTCCTTTATCTGTCAGGCTTTATCTGACACCGACATAGAGAAGAAGTAAGTATTCCGTCCTCCATCGTTTTGTGGCGTTTTGACATCATCCTTTCTCTTATGTCATAGTACGCTATAAGCCCGCGTAGATGTCTTGGATTACAAGGCTATCAACGCCATCCTTGGAGACGTTAAGCTCTGTTTCATCCACAGGATCTGACTCCTTTAACGTCGTCTCAGAGGAGTCCTCCTCGGATGAGGAGATAGTATGGCTCAACAGCCCCTCTACCGAGAGCAGTTTGGTTGCCTCTACAGATTCCGACGAGGAATATGTTGTGTTTCATAGACCTCTCGTTGCTGCCACCGCAGTATTGGTGGACTACGACAGCTCGCCAGATACAAGTGACAACATAGTTTCGTCGTTGCAAGGACTGTCTCTCCGTTCCGGGAGTCCGTCGGATTCGGGGGAGGAACTGCCTTCCGTCGAGCCACAACTTGTGGATGTGGCACATGTTAACATCGGTGGCAAGTTGAGCAAAACTGCCAGGAGGAACAGGAGGCGAAAGCAGAAGCTTAACCGGCTTTCGTCGTCCGGTTCTAGTGAAACGGACTCGACGACATCCAGGAGTGAAACGTCATCCCCGACGTCTTCGTATCAGGAGGCTTCCAACCTGATATCAGCGTGCGTACTCGCGCACTGTCTCCTATTCAGCGTCATCTTAATCATTTACTCTAGATATCTCGATGATCCGCATAAAGCGGACATATCGAAAGCCCCGCTTCCGTTGTTGCAAGCGTTCATCATCGAACTCGGCCTCTCGTCATCTTCTCCGCCGTCCACACTCACTTCGGCGAAGAAATTGTTGAAGGACCAGGCCCATGTCAACATAAAAGATTACGTCGCGGTTCGTGGCAGAGACCAGTGTGCTCTGCAAAAGATCATGCATCCCAGCAAGAGCGCCTTGGCCAAGGAAATCAGACGCTCGGGAAAGCGTGCTTCTTTGAAATGGGTTAAGAAGCAAGGCCTACAAGTATTTCTTGTCGCTTGTTTTCAATGATTATGTATAACTGCTAAATCGTTTCTCTTCTTCTATTTGGGTCGTTGCTTCTTTATTGGACTTCGGGGGTATGTACGATATGTAGTAGATCTAAGTTGAAAGTTTAACTCACTGTACACGGACTTTGTATATTTAGCATGTTTGTGTTGACCTATTTCTTGCTTTTAGAACTCTTTGGCGTATATTGATATATATATTCCGATGTGTATTCAATCCGAAGTTATTTTGCTGTCGCTAATCCGTAAGAAAAAGTCGGATTATGCAGATAGATTCAGCAGAATCCTAAATTGAGACAACGTAAGATCGTAACAAAAGTGCACAAGCTGCCGCAGTTCAATAACGAAAAAGTGATAGTATCTGACAAGAAGTCGTGGAAGAAAGAAACAAAGGGTATAAAACAGCGTCGAGTAATTTTTACAGACCGCACAAAGGGCCTTAAAAACACATCTAGACGGATAGTTGTGCCAGCCATGATAGATAGTAAAGTCAAGTGTTAGATAATAATAAAAGTGTCAAGTTCGCTGAGGCGTCCTTCAATTAGGAGGATATTTAACTGGGCGCGCCAGAGCCGGCAACAGCCAAAGCTCCCAATCCAACAATAGCTTGGTTCATGGAGAGCAAGTTTTGTGGGTCGTTGGCGTCGGGGATAGGAACGTTCACGGTGCCCGTAGGCTCAGCTAGCCCGCTAGCTACACCCGAGGAGTAATCCACAGAGCTGGAACTGGAAGAAGTGGATGAGGGCGTGGACCAGGTGGAGGTGGAGGTGGTAGCAGGTGGCGTCCAGGTCGTACTCGGAGGTGTCCAAGTACTGGAGGGGGGAGGAGACCAGGTTGACGACGGGGGCGTCCAGGTGGAGGAGGGAGGAGGAGGCTGCCAAGTGGTGCTGGGAGGTGTCCAGGTTGACGACGGGGGTGTCCAGGTGGAAGAAGGAGGGGTCCACTGGCTACTGGAAGAAGAAGGGGCTCCACCCCCACCTCCACTTCCGTCGCTGTAATACCAGGTACCATAAAGGACACCAACGCTTTCCGCAGCGAAGTAGTCAAACAAGCCTTCGGAGAAGTCAAGGCCACCGTAAGGGCAGCCGGGACACTACAAGGAGATGCGGTGAGACACGAGCCGCAAAAATAAACCATTGACGTACCTCATCCATAATGGTGGCTTGAGCGGTTTTTCCATTATATTCAATGGTAATCTGTTTAAAGCATTCGGGTCCAGGGTATCCACCTCCGTATTGCTAGAACAGGCAGTTGATAAGCCGACGTTGAACAAACCTCTGGCAGTATTTTTTTCAAAACTCACGGGGGTGTTCAAAGCGACGATCTATCAGAAACATGTCAGTCAGTGACATAAAACAGGGTAGATTTTCTAGAAACACTCACAAAGTCACTGGGTACGTTAGTTTGTCCGCATGCTCCTCTATATAATTAAAAGGATATCAGTACAGTCTCTCGGCAGATTCTAAATATATAAGGTGGATGGTATGTACTCACAATCCTACAGCATAAAAAGTGAAACGTGCGCCATCGTAACGCTTGTGGAGCTGCACTTCACCACGAGCACGATTGGCAAGTTCCTGGTGACGGCGTCCACCCTGAAGGCCATGGGGGTTGGCGACAGCGAACGGCAACACCAGGGACAAAAGTCCAAAGATAGCGGAGGAACGCATTTAGTTGTTGATAGATTTTACGTTGTGTAGGGTCGAGAAGAAAAGAATGTACAACAAGAGAGTGACTGGCTTGTAATAATACAGCCTTTGGACAAGTCCAAGTACCTACTGGACAGCGACACGGATGATGAGGATGAAAACAAACCAAATTGCAGTCTTGCCTTACTTCTTGACAACGAACAATACTGGCACCGCGACCCCGAGTGCACCCGGCTCTGCATCACCGCCTGCAGCTCTGAACCACACACAAGTCTGGAACAAAAAATACTAAAATTGTCATACCGTTGCTGAACAGAGCACTGGGAAATGTATATAAAATAGAATAGAATGGCACGTATAACACCAGGTAATAGCACCACATGCATCCGGACCAAGTGCGAATTGGAATGTTGGGAGACAACCATGTATCGTACGTGGGTATCAAACTGAAAAGAAATAGCAAGTCCGTTATTATGCAACACTCCATAAGTTGTCCGTAAGAAAAGGTGGCGGTACGTTTCCTTACTTTTTCTGGAGGCTATGTACTTATCCATTTATACTCGTCGTTCTATGCACATAGGACATCACTGGGATGCCACGGACGCATCGCCGATAAATATACCCAAATACACGAGAGCCAGATTGAGCTGGTCAATGCTCGATGAGTTCGCCTCCGAAACGGAAATAGTACCTTGAACTTCAACACCTGCAACCGTGCTGGAGGGGCTAGCCGAAGACGAGGAGCTGGTAGATACCGACGAGGAGCTAGACCAAGACGCAATGCTGCTGCTAGAGCTGCTACTGGAACTGCTGCTCCAAGTCGGGGAGGGAGTAGGGGTGGGGGTGGGGCTAGGGCTCCATGTCGTCGTGGGTGGAGGCGGCGGCGGGGTGCTCGAGGTAGTAGGGGGAGGAGGAGGGGGAGAGCTCGTAGAAGGCGGGGGTTGCCAAGTCGAAGTTGGAGGAGGAGGCGGGGGAGAAGAACTGGATGACGCAGGAGCACCGTCGTCAAAAGTCCATGTTCCATACAGCACACCTTGGCTGATATCAGCAAAGGCTTGGAATAAGCCTTGAGAGAAGTCGAGGCCACCGTAGGGACATCCAGGGCACTACAAAGGACAGCAATGAGCGAAGATAGCTAAGGAACAGAAAGCGCATTTACCTCGTCCGTGATTTGGGCCTGGTTGGTGATGCCATTATAGGTGATGGTGATCATCTGGAAACAGTATTCTCCGTTACCGTATTGCTAAAATGCGACACATGAGACTTTCTATTGCGAACAATAAGGGAAAAGGGCATCGTACCTCAGAGTTAAGTGCTACAATCTAAAGTTAGGATACTAGGTTAGCATATCACAAATTAAGTGCGATCATCAAGAGAAACGCACAAAGTCACTGGGCGAATTGGTGATACCACAAGCTCCAAGACCGTCCGCGAAAAAGGTGAAACGGGCGTTGGAGAATCGCTTTTGTAGGTGGCCGACATCACCCCGAGCCCTAAGAGAGATATCTAAGCCGTGACGTTTTGTATGCCGTCTGAACTTGTCATTCGAGTGGGGGTTTGCCACGACTGCGGACAAAGAGAGAGCTGCAGAAAGGAAGAGAGAAAGCTGAGCAAAGAACCGCATGGTTAGGTGAGTATGGTGCGTATGTCTAAAGAACAGATAGAGAGCGTGGTGGTTTGCGAGTCCTGTCGCTGGGGACTGAAAATGCGTTAAAGGAATGGACTGGACGATAGACTGATTAAAGGCAATGCACAGGGAAACGTGGTGGTAACAATGAAAGAAAGGGTTGTAACTTTTCAAACACAAAGGCCTGCCACCTTTACCTAAGGGGAGGAGCGTCTAGAACACTGCACTAAATGGACCGTCAGTGCAAGCGATTGGCCTTAAGCTTTAAAATAGAAAATCGTGGAAACCTCCCTGCTGCGGGCTCGCTTGCAAGGAGGTGCACATTCATGCAGGTATGCATCCATCCATAATGCATCAACCACCCCTCACTTTAATCTCAGCGGCAACATCGTGCGCACCTCACGTCTTTCAGACATCTCAATTTTTATTATGCATTCTGCAGATTACTTTCTCTGGTATATTCTTACTCTATCTGAATCATGACACAACTTTCACCCTCGTTGGCGGATCAACAAATGTCGCCTGAAATGATATCCACATTAGAGCAAAAAATAGCACACACTTGCGCAGCACTCACCGTTACAAACTTCAGCACCTCATCAATAACAAGGACAGGTGCGCTGAGATACAATACAGCCTTCCACTCCACCCAGTTCAGCGGCGTAATCGCAAACAAAGTCTAGACATCCTGTTCAGAGACATGTTCGAACATCAATTCAGAAGTAGATCCTCACCGTGAAGAAAGGAATATATAGGATGGCAAAGTGAAGAGCCATACTGAGTGCGATAGCCGCAACCAAGAAAGGATTCTTCCACACCGGGAGTCTTAGAAGACTTTCGTTTTCGGAGAGCGAGTTCATGGCGTTGAACATCTCCACTGTCACAAGGATCGACAGACTCATCGTCGTTGCACGATGAGACATCGCATTGGTGAACATCTCACACCCAATTTCTGGGAAAGCGGAGGCGCATTGATGGAAGTGAGTCTACTCGCAGACTTGGTCAGCTAGGAAATGCCAGCTTGTCATGGAAGCACTTACGAGTTGGTGGAAGGAGATCTGTGGGCCTCCTGAGTAGTACACGAACCACCATGCATATCCAAACACCGTTGCACACCCCACGTAGATACCAACGACCATGTAACGGAAGAACAACCATTTGCCAACGAGAGGCTCCTTGCTATTACGAGGAGGCATGCGCATGATGGAATGGTCAGGGGGATTAAATCCAAGCGCGGTTGCCGGCAGACTGTCTGTCACTAAGTTCACCCATAGAAGTTGTACAGGAATCAAGGCTTCAGGCATCCCCAGTAGGACAGTCAGGAAGATGCTACGATAATAATCAGTCTAGCATGATACGTCCAAAATAACGTGCATCCTTACCTGACAACCTCACCAATGTTGGATGAAACTACAGTTCACAAAGCGGATTAGTCATAGAGCATGATCCGAGTAGATCATACGCACTAAGGTATCGAATAAACTGTTTCGTGTTGTTATAAATTAGTCTACCTTCTTCTACTGCCTTCTCTATCGTTGCAAAGTTAGAATCCGCAAGAACCATATCAGCAGCCAGTTTTGCAACGTCAGTACCACTGCCCATGGCTACACCAATGTCAGCCTTCTTGAGTGCCGGTGCATCGTTAACACCATCTCCAGTCTAAAAAAAGTCAGCCTCAAAGCTCAAGATCACATACGAGTACATCATACTTACCATGGCAACAACTAGACCCAGACCTTGCAAAAGATCAACGAGCTGACTCTTGTGTGCAGGCTCTGTGCGAGTGAACAAACTAGCGCGCTGAACAGCCTTCACCTTCTCTTCGTGAGAAAGCTCGTCGAGCTCTCTACCCGTATAACTTTTACCAGTCAAATCCTCATTCTCACCAAAAATGCCAATCTGCCTGCAGATCGTCTCAGCGGTACCTTTGTTGTCACCAGTGATGCACACGACGCGGATACCAGCAGCCCTACAGTTCGCAACAGCTTGACGCACCTCAGGACGAGGAGGGTCGAGCATGCCAACGAGCGAGACGAATGTCAAGTTCTGCTCAAAGCGAGAGTAGTCTTGGGTGCTTTGGCTCTTGTAGTGAGTAGCATCGATATCCTGCACGTCAACGTAAGCAAGTGCAAGTGTCCGGAGGCCATTTTTGCCGTAAGAGACCGTGCGTTCCAAAAGTTGCGAACGAAGTGCAGCAGTCAAGGGTATAACTTTGCCGTGGACCATAACAGACGTGCATTTCTCCAGGACGGATTCTGGTGCGCCCTTGACGAACAGAGCACCCACACCGTTCAGCCTGACGACGACGGACATCATTTTGCGATCACGAGAAAATTCCAATGTGATCAAACGAGGGATGGTGCGCTCGTAAAAGTCGTTGACTGCGCTAACGCGGTCAGCAGCTGAGAGGGTAGGAAGAGTCTTCGTAATATTTGGATCAGAGCAGCCAATCTTTTCTGTCAATACCTTCAAAGCAGCTTCTGTTGGTTCACCGACATTAGCGTATGATTGTTTGTCCTAAACATAATCAAGTTAGTCAACGGGTATTTAATTAATGCGATAGGAAAGTTCACTACCGAGTGGTACACAATCTTAGCATCGTTACATAGAGCGCCAATCTCGGCAAGTCGTCGTATTGGGTCTGCGCTAAGTTCAGCAGAGGCGTTTTTGCCACCAGCAGACTTGACCAACCCATACGGTGAGTATGTAGTACCCTCTACATCATACTCTCGAGGAGACCCAGACTTGGAGTCGATGATAAGGAACTGGGGAAGAAAAAATTCGTCAGATTTGAGCAGAAAACATTAGAAGCATACACACCTTGGAGACGCTCATTTGGTTGGTAGTGAGTGTGCCAGTCTTGTCAGAACAGATAACGTTGGTACACCCGAGAGTCTCAACACTGGGCAAGTTTCTGACGATAGCGTTCTTCTGTGCCATTTTTTTGGTACCAAGGGCGAGACAAGCAGTTATGACGGCGGCAAGTCCCTCTGGAATAGCAGCGACAGCCAAAGCCACGGCGATCTTGAAATAATAGATGGCACCTTTCAGCGCTCCGTGGTGTGCTGGATCCCAGAAGTGTCGGAAGTTGACTAGCCAAACAAGAATGCAAATGACCGTAATAACCTTCGCAAGCATGTCGCCAAAGTCGTCGAGTTTGCGCTTCAATGGAGTTTTTTCGCTAATCTGAGAAGAGATGGAGTGGTGGATGTGTCCTATAGCGGTACTTGTACCAGTAAAAGCTACAACTGCTCGTGCATTACCATTAACTACACTTGTTCCCTGAGATAAAAGTCAGTATATGATTGATTGACAGGGAGAAACACTTCTCACAGAGAAGAGCATGTTGGTCATGTCTTGCTTAACAGCTTTGAGATCCTCGATAACGTCAATGGATTTGTTGACACTGACACTTTCACCCGTGAGAATGGCCTGATCAATCCTAAAACTACTTGAAGTAATTGATATAATTCTACAGTCTGCAGGAATCTTATCGCCAACTGCGACAGAAATGATGTCTCCAGGGACAAGCTCCGATGCATGTATGCGCGCTATTTGGCCAGAGCGAAGTACTTTCGCTTCGTCGGGGGAATATTCCTTCAAAGCCTGAGGAGAGGAACTGTAAAACTTATCAGATGCAATAGTGAGGGTGTGAACTCACGTCGATAGCTTTCTCAGCGTTCGTTTCCTGTACGACTCCGACAGTAGCATTTGCGACAAGGATAAGTAAGATAACAGCAGGTTCAACGAAAGCTCCAAACAGGGTGGTATTCTCTGAATCGTCCACCAAGGCCAAGATAAAAGATATTACAGCAGAAGCGAGTAAAATGAGAACAAGTTGGTCCTTGAACTGGTCAAGGATCAACTGCCATAATGGCGTTGCAGGTTCTTCAGGTAACTCTAGACAAACACAGAGTAGTGAGTATTTTAGGTGAAGAATGTATAGAGGCGACGAACCGTTTTTTCCATACAGTTCAGCATGTTTCGCAGCTTGGTCGGCGGTAAGACCACGAACTGGGTCTACACGATAGTGCTCTAGTATTTGCTGAGGAGTCTTCGTCCATGGGGTGTCCATGACAGTCGTAAAGATGACCGTCGAAAGGAAAGGAAGAATATGTACGGGCCAGAGACAGGATTTCTAAGTCCCCAAGTCACGGCTTTCTTATAAGACCGCTAATGAGAAATATTTCAGAATGTGGCTGACGTGGCAGTTTCGTGACTATTGTTTGCATAGGTTTTTAATAGGGACGATTCACGCTGTCTCCGGCTGCTCGAAGACAGCAGTAACGCATTGCAATGCAGTGATAAGGACATGCCCCCCAGCTGGAGGCAGAGGAGATGAGATAACAAGGTGCTCCTGAGAAGAAGATATGAATTGGTTGCGAACTGCATTTACCACCAACAGGTTCGAGCACACCATCGTCTGTGATTAAATACCATTAGCCGGCTTCTTAGACTATAACCCGGCATTTCCCCAGGCCTGGTTTCATTGTGGTCTGAGATCCACGAGTACTCACGTCCTCAGATGCAGCAACAAAAATATCATAGATATGAGTATGTGCAACCTGTCGCATGATTATGCATAGTTGAATGACTCTGTCAGCAAATACTGTTATTGGATGGAAAATTCGAGATAAATTGGATCAGGCCGGTCGGCGCAGGGTTGAAGCCACAGGACCAAACAGGAGCAACGCAGCAGTGGTGACCTAATCCCTGTAGCGGTCAAAGAGAGGCAGCATTCAGACGGACGCTCTCGCCCAGTTCTTCTCCAGTACAACCCTCATAGGGCTTTTGGCCTTTCCACCGTCTACGCCATGGGCAACAGCGCGTCCTCCTCTGGGCGCGGTCACCACGACGAAACCGTAGATTACGGTCATTTATCTCCTCAGGGCGTTTACACCGGTTCCAAAGACTGGAATCATGCTATCGTCACCCAACTCATCGCAGATCGCAAATTAGCCCCTTTCTATCGTCCTTTGGAGGACTACGACGACGCTTGGGACGATGACCGGATTCTTGCTGCCAGGAGAGACCCTCCAGAGTCCGAGCCGACCCATCCAGATGCACAACCGCCTCCTCGGCCTGGCGCTGACTCACGCGACACCACAAAGTCCAGTCATAATCCCAGCAAACGTCCCTCAAACCTTAAGGAACCAAGTCGATGTCCAGAGGCTGCTGTTTATAGAGGTGCTGTAGAATGTCCAATATGTTTCTTGGTGCGTTATCTCTCACGCTACTTCTTCCGTCCGCTGACCTCTATCGCTCTTCACTCAGTATTACCCTCCAAACATTAACCGCTCCAGATGCTGTGACCAGTCAATCTGCACAGAATGCTTTGTGCAGATTAAGAGAAACGAACCAACTGCGACACACCTCGTATCAGATCCTGCCGCTTGTCCTTACTGCGTCCAAGATAATTTCGGCGTCACATATACGCCCCCTCCATGGCGAGCTGGGATTGGAAGCGAGGGAACGGTCCGTTTTGTTCACTTCATCCCGATGTTACCTTTCTCACTCTTCTTTATCATCGTCGAATCCGATAGACGCAGCCGTTCATAGAATCTAGCACGGTATCTACTCAGAAGCGTCGTCGTAAGAGTTTCGGTCATGACAGCCCCGAGGTTGTTACAACTGGTCAGTTGATCCTATCATAAAATACAGTATTTAACATTCTTGTCACATCCGCCTATAGATCAAATACGACCCGACTGGGAAGCTAAATTAGCTGCCGTACGTTCCACCGTTGCGCGCCGCGCCAACAGACGGATTATAATGCGCCAAGTTGGGGATCGTCTTATCCCAGTAGGAGTGACAAGCGGTCGGGTTCATGCTCTACCTTCATCCGAGGATGGTCATGAACCTACTGATAACGGGGGAAGTCGTAGATCGCGCCGTCAGCGCCATCAAAACCCTGACATTAATCAGCTGCTAGGCTCCATGGGTCTCGGAGGTCAAGATTTGGAAGAGGTACGGATTCTGACTTACCGCAACCAACTTTGATTATAATCAGTTTACTTCTACAGTTGATGGTGATGGAGGCTATGAGACTTTCGCTTTTGGAGCATGAAGAGCAGCAAAGGAGAGAAGCTGATAAACGGAAGAATGAAGGAGAGGAAGTAACCGAAGGAGTACAGTCTCGGAACGAGTCAACATCGGCTGCGCAGCCTTCCAGTCAGTCGTCGACGCCCACCAATGTATCAAGTATCAGCTCTCATCCCACGTCTAACCCTGCATCCGAGTTGTCCTCTACCAGTGAAAATAACGCCTCTGGCTCTTCTAATATCGCGGATGGGAGTACAGGTAGCCAGAATGCTGCGCAGCGGAGTCGATCAGCGACGCCTTCATCAGAGCATGTCTCTACTCCATCAAACCATGTCGCTGTAGATACGCCACCCAGCGTCTCCATGCCCAGCACTACAGCCGGTGATGAACAAGTTCATCTGTCTAGGCCACCGATATCTGGCAGTGGCAACGGAAGGGTTGAATCGTCAATGTCGACAGATTCGGCTACTTGTACGTTTGGCAGTGGCCATTACTAAGCCCCTCATAATCCTTTGAAGAAACCGAGACTGACTTCCTGGCTTCTTCAGTGTTTTCGGCGGAACCTGGAGGTAAATTCTCGTATAATGCTTTACCTTCCTCCCCGGACTCTTCAGCGGATGATCAGCCGCTGCTAGATAAGTCTGAACCACACGCCACGGGTAAAGAACCATCCGCGAGCAGTTCGATTTAATGCGAGTTGGCCGTCACGTATTTTAACGAAATGGACATCCAGACCAGTAATGTCGGGATTATAGACTGAGAACAAGTAGCTGAGGAATTGCGTTTGTGACATCACAAACCTACATTCCCCTTTCACGAATTACATCGAGTCATTGTAGCACTGTCGTTTTATATTCCAACTGTGTTATCTATTCTATTCATCGCCCCTACAATTCTCTTCCCGTGTCTTTTCTCCCATTTCTTTACCCAAATTTTTGTCATGTGATATCTAGTTTTTCCTATGTCTATGCTTTAGACCGAAACGAGTCTTAATATGGCCTACTCATGAGTACTGAGTATCAATCAGGACAATGTTCCGGAAGTAATTGCTGACGAGTGACTATGTGAACTGAAATACAGGTCCACATGTATTTCAAGTACTACTAGTCAGCCTGGTTCTGATAGCGAATGACAAATGTATCGTGATTACCGAAGGGAAAACATACAGTCATTGATGCGCCCCTAGACCAAGGGCATGAATCCCCACACTGAACAGCACCCTGGGGGCGGCTCGAATCGGCTCCGAACTAACTATATTGCGAGGCGTGGAGGAGGGAAGAAATATACATTTAGAGCCCATTACAAAGTGTGAGATGATGATGATGATGGTGATATTGATATGTCCTGGAAAGCACGAAACTCTGAAAACCAGATTGATATGACCCCGCGCGAATGTACTCAGGTAGGGCGGAACCCAAAGCGAGAGCGAGACGGTATCTTTTTCTGACTTTCTACCGCGGTTTTGAAGGGTCGGCCCAGACTGGCTTTTGCACGTCTGGATCAGCCAGCTACGCGAAGTGATAGGGATCGTCAGCCCCCCGGGACGGAAAAGAGGAGATTGCGAGGATGGGAAAGACACACCTGGGCGTTTATCTGTCGTTTCATTGTTTCTTCCTGGGCCAGCCTCGCCGCGCGATTAGCATCAACCTTTCGCCTGAGGTCAGGGGCCAAAGCCTGCGGATAACACAACTTCAGTCAGCCAAACAGGAGTATCACTGGCCATTTCAGATTAACGCCAGACTATGTCCGAGCAATGTGCCCCACTGGCAGTGTCTTTTTCTTTTTTTTTCTTTCTTCAATGACAGGCAGGACACATGATGAGAAAGATGGCCCGCAGTGGGTGAAAAGCGCTAATCGCGGGAATGGGGGCTGTGAAAAGGGAGGACAGCGAGAAGGATGGCTTACAGCATACGTCTGCTCAGGAGTGGGTGTGGTAGCTACCGATGGAGAACAAGGCAGAAAGTATAAGGGCAGCCAAAAGAGAAAGAGTCGATGGATGAGAGCTAGGCCCACAGAGAAGACGGCACATGAACGCACCTCGCATGATACCGTATCCTATCCCCATCACTGAGTCCCAGCATAGTGTTTAGATATCAGGATTTTGAGATGAGAGAACAGCCAAGAACACCATATATTACCACATGACCGATATAAGTATTTTGGGTGCAAGAGATTATCAAGATGGAACGTACAGCCGCTGGCAAAAAAGGTCATTCTGATCCAAGGAAAGCTCGACATCGTATGGTCTCCGTTCCGTCCCAAATACAACGTATGTGTTTCTCTCAAGTGTGGTTCAGGTGAGCCTCGGAAATACACTGGCGGGAAAAGGAGCCGGAAAGGTGGCTGTACTTGCGTTGACTAAGACACAGAAATGAAACAGCTGGATTCTAAACTGTACATGTACGCTGGGCATCGCATAGACTAATAGACAAATATTGTAAATCCTAGACAATGTACCAGTGCAAGGGGTTCGATGGTGGCAATAAGTAATGCTCGTTCAACAAGACAGATAGACATGCGACAAGACAGTCACTGGGCAGACAACATATGATCAATGCAACAGAACGAGAAATATGCAAGAGGTGAAGATGTCCGAGCCCCACACGCCAAACCACTCACCCCTCAGCATACAGATATGTGGTATGTATGCTTGGGCCAGTAGCAATCCGCTCTACGTTCGTCCTCTTCCGCTTGTATGCTAAACCCATCATGTCCGCACTCGTCCGACGGCTCACAGATTCTATTCGCGCCAGCTCCTCCTCCCATGCCCGTACTTCTAATTGATTCACCCTTCCGAATAAAAGGCTATCTTCGTTATGCTCGGCGCTTTCCATGACACTGAAGCCCGTTTCCACGCTGGAGCTCGCACTTGTACTGGAGCTTTCCATCCGAGGTGCTACAAGCCACTTCTGACCGAATGCGCCTCTGGAGAACGACCGGTTGGCGTTTGTACTGGAAGGGAGAGCTGTTTCAGGCCTCATGGGCACGACCAACTGATTCTCGCCTTGTAGAGGTTCATATGCGCGCATATGGAACCCCGTTGGTTTATCTCGGGGACCGGCGGATGTATGAGGGCGTCTCATATTTCTTCCCTTGGGCTTTGAGTTCGGATAAGGTGATGAGGCAGAGGACAGTTTATAACCATGGCCTTCTGATGGTTCGGTCTGATGGCTGGAACCGCCGGTGACTGGGGCCGTATGCGGCGCGTCTATTGCAGTACCCATCTTGGGACTACGAGGGGGCGATGGTAGTTGATCAGGTGGGCGTTTTGATCTCCGGGGAGACTTGGATTTAGAGCGTGCAGTGCTGGATGCTAGCAAGAGCTCGTTGTATTTGGCAAGCGCCAGTTGGCGCTGAGCCGCGTTCGTTGATACTACAATGATTTCTTGTTCGTCCAGCTCAATAGACTCTGCATTATTGGTTGCTGAAGAGACGACAGTCTGTGAATGCAAATTGTGTGAGACGTAAACGGCATGTCAAGAAATAGCGCGTACCTTGACACGGACAAAGAATCTCACTGATGCTGTGTCGGTTTTGAACGTCTCACCCACCGCCCAACGACTAACGGTCTTGGATTCGGGCCAGGAAAAACTAAGTGTTTGCTTCCACACACCATTGGCATCTCGAGTGAAACGCCCCGGGGACTCTACATCGGCGAATATATGCGTGGTGGTGGATACCCTATCGCCAGCACCGCTCTGAGGATGTGGGAAAGTAGCCGGGGCAGCGGGAAGAAGAGGGCGTGTGTCGTTTTCCGAAAAAAAGCTCGAAGCCGATGCAGGATAATTGAGGTAATTGGATGATGATCTGGTGAAAATGGGTTCATCTGCATACATGGCTAGATGGGAATCTTTGCGTGGTGGCATGCTGGTATGATATGGTGATACTGATTCTGATGATGACGATGGTGCAGAGCGAGATTGAAAACATGATGATGCTTGACCTGAGGAAGATGAGGGTATAGGTATCGGTGGAGTTGAAGGGCCTGGAGAAGCCAATTGTGCATCATTAAGCTGAATTCGACGTTCAACTATGGCGGTGGCGCTACGAATATGTACAGTGGAGTCAAGGGGCTGTATGTGGACGCCAATGGATACAATATCGAGAGGACCAACTGGAGTACTTGGAACAGAGACACGGTAACGTATGACGGGCGCCCGTGATTTGTTGGACAACGAACTCAGTTGGAATGGAGACAAAGGTGTGATTGGGGATGGAGGACAGGCCGGCGATGGGACGTCGTAACGAGTTAATGGTATATCATAATACCTAGCTTGACGAGAGCCGACGCCAGTGAGCGGTGCATGATAAATGACTTTTTGAAAGGGTCAGACAAAAGAACTAGGAAGGACATGAAAACCAACATACTGGCTTCGATCCGCCAAAAGACGCGGTATTCCTGGAAGTAATTTGCAGTACTAGGAGACGGGACATCGACGGGAACAGATAGTCTAAACTGGTGTTCCGAGTCGCCAATATCGGCGTAGTCTTGATGATCTGGTTTTTTCCACAGTGAAACTGTATAATCCGCAAGTACAGTTGTGTGTAGGGCTCCGAGACGACCTTGGCGGGACTCATAACATCGAACTGAAACAGTGATTTCCTTTGCAGGCAGACACTTCCCATCTTGCTCTAACTGTGTGCGAACCACTGCAATATGGAATAATGAGCACGCCTTGGACTACGCAAGGTATATAATGGCGACGACGCACATCCTTCAAATTTCAAGGGAGTCAACCCAAGATAACCATGGTAAGGAAAGTAACGAACGCCTTGGTTGCCTTTTGGAGAGACAAGAATGAGCTTCACCATAGTCAGAGGTAAGGCGGGGAGGAGGGGTGACCGTCGTCGTTGGCGGCAGCGAGGAGGGCAACGGCGACGACGACGACGACGACGAGACAAGGATGTGGAAGGAGGAGCGATGGTCAGAGAGGGAAAAGAAGCATAAGATAAATAATTAGACAGAAATGGATTAGAAATTATGGAGAGAGAACGAGAAGAAGCACGGCGTGACTGCAAATGTGACGTGATCTGTGACTTGATCGCAGAATCTGCATCTAAGATTCCAGATTCATCTTCCGATTTACAAGAATTCTACCAAGATTATGTAACAAGAGAAAAGGATTTTTGACTAACAGTGTGTCACATCACAGTCACACGTTACTCGGTCCCATTGCCGTTACAGGATTGCCACAGTTGTACCGTACCGTCGACCAAGCATCGACGACGCGCGTTTCTTGCACCCGACCACAACAATGCCTTCCTCATTCTTTATCCCAGTCCTCCTTGCGGGGATGATAATAACGGTTAGTGGGTTTAGCCTCCATCAAAGTCCTCATGTCTGACATTCAGATAGGGTTCGAGTAACTCGTTATGGAGCAAGTGGCAGGCAAGCATCTTTGCCAACCTCTTTCCGAGCAGTGGCCTAACCTTAGCCGTATAGGACATGCAATGCGTCGAGAACTGCGACGACCCTAACCAAGCCCATCATGTTCTCTACGAACAGCCTGTCTGGCAGACCCTCCAAATGTTCCGTCCGTCTTCTTATTTTTGTACCGTCACAGTCTGTCTCACTAACCCTCCGCACTAGTCGGCGAAATGCTTTGTCAGTTGCACCTCCATCCTGTTCATCTCCCCCGCTTAATTTCCCATCCTTACTCAACACCTGTTCACATCCAGGTTTTCTTCCCGTCATTTACACGTGGCTCAGAACGAGGCGTCAATCTGCACCCGTCCACCTTCCCGCCGATGCCGACGAAGATGCTCACACTTCGAATAAGCTATCCCCACCCACACAGGAGCTGCGAGGTTGGAAGATATTACTTTTGTGGCTTCCAGCCGCCTGTGACCTCACGGGAACAACGGTCCGTTCCTTCCTCGTGTTTCAATATCTGTATCATCTCTCGCTTTGGTGTTCTGTCATCGGGTGTTATCTCTCCTGTTTACCTATGCTAATACATATGTTATCTATCGTCAATCGTTTTACAGTTGATGAACGTTGGTCTATTGTACACGCCTGTTTCTATCTATCAGATGACACGTGGTGCTCTTGTCTTGTTTGTTGGTGTTCTCAGTGTTATATTCCTTCATCGCCGACTATGGCTATATCAGTAAAGTTCCCAGTTGTTACCTTTCGCACTTCTTTACTGATTTAAATCGGCGTTTTACTTCAGGTGGATATCGCTGATCACTGTTATGGCAGGCGTCTCTCTGGTTGGTTACAGCGGATCTCTCATCAAAGATGCCGTCAAAGAGACGTTACAACTGTTGGGTGTGCCCATTGCTGATTCTCCAGCCCCTATCGAAGAACCAGAAGTTACCAAAGTTCTCGTCGGTAAGATAGTCGAGCCAGTACTTCTGGTGATGCTGTTCGGCTTACCGTTATTCACCTTCCGTTAGGGGTGTTCTTCATCCTGTTCGCTCAGATCTTGTACGTGCCATCTTTCATGGAACTTTCCAAGAGGCATTGATAACCGTCCTCTCGTGGCAGTACGGCGACCCAATTCGTGGTTGAAGAAAAGATTATGTCTCGGTACTCTGTTGCTCCCCTAGTGGCTGTTGGATACGAAGGTCTTTTTGGATTTCTTACCATTCTGCTATTTGTTCCCATCTTGGCTCAACCTTCGATTTCATCTCGCTCGCCATTCTTTGACCTCCCTCGTGGGTGGTACCAGATGATCTACACTCCATCCGTTCTTTGGTCTGGTGTTGCCATTGCGTTTAGTATCGCGCTGTTCAACTATTTCGGTTTAAGCGTGACGAGACACGTAAGCGCCACAGCTAGGAGCTTGACTGACACTTGCAGGACTTTATCCATCTGGGTCATTAGTCTTGGCTTGGGATGGGAGAAGTTGCTATTCCCGATATCGCTTCTTCAAGTTTTGGGCTTCTCCCTGTTGGTGTAAGTCTGAGAAGTTGTTCTATGGGAGAACCATATAAACTCACAGCTTGTTCAATGGGAAACGGATAGTTATGGCACTGTGAGTGAAGCTACGATATGATCTAAGGACGATGACCGAATGTGATTGCTTCCTGTAGTTCCTATTCAACAACCTAGTTAACCCTCCATCGATCATCCGGCCCCCATCTTCTCCTACGTTGGTTGAAGGTGACGAGGAAGAAGCGCAAGGCCTTCTGGAATCTTCGCAGCAAGTGGATGAAACAGCAGCCCTGCCTGCTGACCTAGGGCAGAGTGGGTATGATGTGATGCCCGCAGATACACATGTGCACGCGCGAGGCGTGACGAGTAACGATGGGTGAGATATATAGTGTGGTCGAGAACATGTATCCCTTTCTTTGCTTTGACGTGTTGCAATGCGATGCCGTTCATCTTTGAGTACGTCTGATGAGGCATACATGAAATGATCGAGCCCGGTATAGAAAAGGTATTCAGATTGCCATTTTCTGCTGAGATTGCCGAGAAGAGCCGATATGGGAGGCAGCGTCGGCGGCGAATTCCGATTTCGAATCGGCCACTCGTTCGGCCGTTGCCCATGCGGTCGTCCATCGAACACGTTGTACGCGTACAGCACATGCGCCGCATCATCGGCCAAACTCGCTCTCTAGGTCTGCTTCATAACGCCTGGCCATCCGGATATGTGGACTGACATGAATAGGAGGGACTTCGTATCATCATCATCATCAATTATCTTTGGGAAAGAACCAACGAATGTCAGCCTCGCTGGCTACCGTGTTCGACTTCTGGAAATCATCATGATGGCGGCAGCTCATTATATGACCGGGCTCGCATCGCCGGAGATTGCAGAAGACTTCGGTTTCAATCCCATAAGTACGTATATCAGCTGGTGTGCTATATGGATTTCTCGAAGACCGCGGGCAAATACTAGTATGTGGCACGAACAGAAGGACTTCTATGGGCGAATGGACTCACTACTGGAAGTAAATTTTTTAGTGTGCATCGTGCACAAGCCTGAGCGCTGAACGGACAACCCAGTGACTGTCACGGTATCGTTTCCAAATAGTCGTCCAGCAAAGCGGTCTTCCGAGTTGGCTCCAGTCCATTTCCCCGATACCGTACATTCTGCCCGCATGACACACCAATGTTAGCATGACTTGAGCAGTCTGAGAGCGTCGTTAGTAATTGGCACTTTGAAATAGCACTCCGTTTAGCCGGGTACTACTACAAATACTCGTAGCTCGCCCTCTGCCAGTGTGCTGCTGAGAATCTGACGCGTTGTTAGTCTACGCAGCGCTACGCCGTACTCGGGAGCGCTTCTCGTGGGGGCAACTCTCTAGCCACATGTGTGACTGCTAAATGACACTGCCTCCACCATAGGAGATTGACGTCGATTGACACCTGCCTGCAGTGGATCTGAGGCGAGAAAACGTAAAAATTCGTGAACAGCGATATATCATTGGCTGAAACATATAGGAGTCTGAAGTGGCATGGGAGGAGATGTCCGCTCCTGGAGGTCGCTGTCACGTTTAGGAATTGAATCAGGATTGTGGACGATGTTCTCTTGGCCCGAACGTAGCGCGAACGTATCTTGCCCATTTTGCACCGAATGACGGATAAGAAGTGTGTGCCATAAACGAATGCGTAAGATCATCACCTCTGAGCTTGTCTCTCTGTCAGTACACTACGCGCAAACTGCCGCGGGCCGGCTACAATACATAGAAGCAACAGATATGCTGTTGTTTCTGCCATGAGCTTAGTCAGAGTCTTACCTACATTCGAATGATACTCCAAGTAATAAAAAAGACTACTAATGTCGGTGAACACAACCACCTCCGCCGCGGTGTTATTCCCCAGTATCGTCATCGCTGTCGCTGTCTCTCTCGGCAGTCTGAAGCACGACAGCTTCCAGCTCCTCAAGATCCCAGCCCACAGCGCTCTTCGGCAATCGTAAAGCTTCTATAGTTTTGGCTAATCCTTTTAGTATTTCGTCACTATCAAGTAATGAGGTCAGCCACGGAGAGATGAACACCGCGAATAACATAACAAACCTTCCTAACGTTTGGATCCATACACACAAATCGTCAACCCAGATTTTGCTGTAGACATAATATATGTCGTGATGATCCAGTATCTTTTTCAAGTCCAGCAGACATCGCAAGGCCATACGTTTTCCCCTAGACAAGACTTTGGCAACGTCCATACGACACGAATCGGCCAAAACGAATGAACGATAGAGTGGAAATGCAAGAACACGGCGATACGACTGGACCAAGGTGGATAAAATCTCTTCAGTGCTGAAAACGGCTTCACCAGAACTCAAAGGTTGGTCTTGCGCCTGCCAATAAGGAGGAGCATCCAGAGCAGAGAACGCGGGCGTCAACGAACAGATAGTCCAAGCGCTTTCAGAGGTAGGATCGTGCAGTGTCGTGCGAGCATCGTAAGCATATGAGAAAAGCACCGAGATAAGAGTCAAATATAGATTATGCTGCTGATCAGCAGTTGGCATATCTAGCAAAATGATCAAGATTAGTGGGTTTGAACTTTGACTCTTGCCAAGGGAAATATATCTTACATTCTTTGCGTGGTAGGCGAAGCATAATCATATTTTCCGCTTCCGTATATACAGGATCGCCGTCTTGAGTGAGATAGGGATGTTGCCAGACTAACAATTCTTGAATATGCTCATCGTCCGCGAAGTCTGCCCTGCAGCATATTGAGACAACTGTAAATCAAGAATAGTGGACGCATACATGTAGTATTCCGCATCCCACTTCTCCTCTTCATATTTCAGTCGCCTAGTTCGTCGTTCCTCCACCGGGCAACTTTCTACATCTGTGCCAAGTTCATTCACTTCATTCTCAGTATGAGACACGTGGGTGAAATATCCAGAGTGCATATCCAGGAACCCATAGAATTTTGTAGTAGTCAGGTGTAAAGGTGGTAAAGGTTCAGGGACAGCTTGTGGCAGCTGCCAGTCATTTTCAGCAGCTAAAGCGATGTGAGAATGCTGTCAAAAACCTATGTTTATAAACCACACCTTGTAATATTTCTTCTTGTTCCAATGTCAGACCATTCGTTCTTCGGATTAACTCCTCGGTATCCTCTTCTGGGGCATCGCTGGTCTCGATGACCTCAATCGTAGGCGCGCTCACTGGTTCACTCTGTCGAGGGGCCAACAACTTTGCCAATAGATCTAGGTCAGGAAATTCTTGTCCCTTGACCTCTTTTGTGAGAGTGACGATCAGATAACCAGTGCCCGGATCATACTGCGCTGATGATTCGTCGTCTTCCACGAGTCGATGTGCGAAGTTGAGGCGTAGGAAGTAAGGATTGATGTGTACGGTCACCAAGGTTTCATCCACATTTATTTCGACATCTGACGCCTACTTTCCGTGGAAAGCACGGTAAGATGGATCGGTGACATAGCAAATGACCGCACGTACTCGGACTGATGGACAGTAGATGGAGACCATCACGGATTCGGTGCTTTGGCTGCAGGAGAATCGCGGTGTAATCATCGCGTCTAGATGCACCTCAGATTTTGATTAAAACGCTGAGATGTGATGGAGGTGCTAGTAAAGGAATATGCAGTGCCCCAAGGACGAGGATTGGTGTATTTCACGGTTTTCGTGACTTCTATTGGAGCGGGGGGTTTTCGAGCTTTTTCTGTGGGCCTTCCTGGACGAGATATACGAGATAAGATTACAGCAATTATACTTGAGAAGAAGTGCAAGGGCGTGTACAAAAGTAGAAAGCCGTGTGATGGTTTGTATCAGTGAGAACCACAGCCGCTACAACAGTTGTTGGATGCGATTCAGTCGCCGTTCCAGCTCTGCCGCCAACCTGAAGCATTTCGCCGAATTTATCATAGCCAATTTGCCGATACTATGGCCGGTTTAATAGATCTGGGTATTTTAACTGACTTGCTCATTGACTCACTTATCTAATTTCCATCTTTCCATTCTAAAATCGTTATGAATCCCCAAGTAAGCTGTATTTTTATTCGTGTCTTTGGGTGACATTCAATCGTTATTTTCAGAAATTACCAGCCCAGCCCTCGTTCGCGACTGTAGAACAACTAATCATACGCGAGAAGCGGGGAAACTGCATACCGATCTTTATCCAGCTACCAGCAGATCTCATAACGCCATGCATGGCATACCTTCGTATAGCGAGAGACTCTAAATACAGCTTTCTGCTCGAGTCTGTCATCGCTGGAGAGAACATTGCACGGTACAGTTTCGTTGGTGCCGGTAAGCAAGCTCCTCAGATCCAATCGAGCCTAACCTGACCCTCTCTCTACGAAGATCCACTGAAAGTCATCAAAACTGGTCCAAACGAGGAGACCACCGGTGACCCCCTTACGGCTCTCCAGCGCGAATTAGCTGTCCATCAATATATCAAGATTCCTGAGATCCCCACTTTCACTGGTGGCGCCATTGGTTATGTTGCATACGACTGCATCCAACATTTCGAGCCCAAAACTGCTCGGCAGCTGGAAGACCCTTTGAATATCCCCGAGTCGATATTCATGCTTGCGGACACTCTACTTGTCTTCGATCACCTCTTCCAGTCGATCAAGGTTGTATCGCACGTCTTTTATCCGAAGGATGCAGGTGCAGCCAACCTATCTTTCGTTTATCAAACGGCAGTAGCAAAGGTTAGACGGCTGGCAAAATCGGTGCTAAGCTCGGTGACGCAGGAAGTTCCGCAACCTCCCATCGTCCTGGATAACGAGGCTACGTCCAATGTGGGAAAGGAAGGATACAAGCAATTCGTGACGACTTTGAAAGAACATATCATAGCAGGTGATATAATACAAGCCGTCCCGTCTCAGCGGCTGGCTCGTCCAACGTCTTTGCACCCATTCAACGCCTACCGTCACTTGCGTCAGGTTAATCCCAGTCCGTACATGTTTTACCTGGACTGTGGAGAACTTCAGATCGTTGGTGCCAGTCCGGAGACCCTGTGCAAAGTGGAAAGCAACAAAGTATTCAACCACGCTATTGCAGGCACCATCAAGAGAGGGAAGAGTCCAGAAGGTTTGCATTGTTTTCCAAGAGTATTTGCCGTTAGAACTTATCGTTGATCTGTAGAGGATGTAAAGTTGGGAGAAGAGCTACTGTCTTCTGAGAAGGACCGTGCCGAACATATTATGCTTGTTGACCTGGCTCGGAACGATGTGAACCGTGTGTGCCGACCAGAAACCGTCAAGGTTGACCACCTCATGCAGGTGCAAAAATTCAGCCACGTCATCCATCTGACGTCGCAAGTATCGGGGATGCTACGCGATGGTTTAACAAGGTCAGTGTTATATTTACCAGCTATCGGTGAATACCAAGCAGCTTATAACATGTTACAGATTCGATGCTTTCCGATCCATATTCCCCGCAGGAACTGTGTCTGGTGCACCAAAAATCAAAGCTATAGAGCTTGTTTCTGGCTTGGAACAAGAACGTCGTGGAGTTTATGCGGGTGGCGTTGGTCGATTTGACTTTGCCGATGATGAAATGGACACATGTATTGCTATTCGTACCATGACCTTCAAAGATGGTGTTGCATATCTGCAAGCAGGGGGTGGTATCGTATTTGATAGCGTCGAGGAGGACGAATATGTCGAGACCCTCAACAAACTGCAAGGTAATGTACGGGCGTTGAAAGAGGCTGAACGTGAGTACCAGTTTTCTTATTCAATGTCACACGATAGCTGAATAGCTTTTTTATAGGATACTGGTATGATTTGCAGCAAGAACAAGCAAAGGTTGCAAAGTAGATAGAGAGATTATATAAATGTATAATGAACATTAATCGTGTACTGTCGAAACCTTTGCGGCATTCTTCTCCCTGCCTCTCTTGAATCTCTCATTAGCTTGCGCCCTTCTCTGTGTTTCTTGCTCATGGATAAGTCTACCTTCTCTACCAGCCACACTAAGAATTCCTGCAATGAGCTCAGCGGTACGAGGATGTTCGTCATTTGCCGGAATGGGGTACATGACGATACGTGGATCCACATTTGTATCCACGATACCAATCGTCGGAACATGCTGAATTGCACACTCTCGGATGGCGTGCATGTTTGAAAGCGGGTTGAGGAAAATGGCAAGGTCGGGAGCGATGCGCTGTTCCTTTGAGACTTCAGGCCCAAACATTTGTAGTTTGTTCGTCAAAGTTCCTGGGAGCCATCGCTCTCCAACATGAAAAGCCTGTGGGCCAATCCTTTCTGCTGCCTTCCGCACCGTGACGCGAAGGTCCGGTCGCGTGCCCACAAAGACTACGGTACCATCCCTCGACACGATTGCCCGCACCAAATTGGCTGCCCTTCGCAGAAGTGGGAGAGTGTGATCGAGATCGATGATTGTAATGCCTGCACGTACTCCGTATGCATATGGCATGAAATTGGGGTTCATTAATGACTTTGAATGTCCCAAATGAGCGCCAGCTGCTATCAAGGCCGAGAGAGTTGCCTCTGACGGTGCTAACGGTTTGTGCAAACTATGGTGAGGCTGAAAGACGTTGTCTCGCGTTTGAGAGGAGCCATATTGGCCCATGTATTCCACTTGTAAAGAACGATTTAGCACTGTACATTGCCCCCACAAAAATGAACATACTGAGCATTTTGAATTCCGCCCGGTCCTCCTGAAATCTTCGCCAGTCTTCCACAGATTTTAAAGGCTCATTGTTGCTGAAGGATGTTACAGCATAACGTACAGGCTGTCTGGAGGGGTGCAAAGCAGTTTTTTTGAGGCACCTCGTCGCTGCCAGCCATGGACGCAGACCTGAGCTTGCCATGGAAAGTCAAAGGCTGAATTTTGAGGTGGCGGTGCCAATATTCGAATCGCGTGGGTGGCTTACTTCAGCTTCCATCGATTTTTTTTCTTGCTCTTCCTCAGCCCATCACCATCACCGGTTCACTACTCCCACCCACCTTTCCTTCACACAAAAAAAAATGGAAGACATCTTTGACGGCGCTATCGGTATCGATCTTGGTACCACATACTCGTGAGCTTTAGCTTTTTTCATGCCCATTCGCCTTTTTTTAAAGGGTGTATTGCAGATGTGTCGGTGTCTGGCAAAATGATCGTGTTGAAATCATCGCCAACGACCGTAAGTCTGCCATCCACAGATATTGGATATATTCAGTCTTATTTATCTGTGTATTCAGAGGGTAACCGGACGACCCCATCTTATGTCGCGTTCTCTTCGGAAGAGCGCTTGATCGGTGATGCTGCCAAAAATCAAGCAGCCATGAACCCCCGCAATACTGTCTTTGATGCCAAGCGTCTCATTGGTCGTCGATTCGAGTTGAGAACATTTTCTCGGTCAATATGAGAATTTTAATCTAATACATCTTTGCCAGTGACCCCGATGTCAAGAAGGTACTCTACACCTGGTTCGCAGTGATATCAGTGTATTGATTGGTTTGAATTTTTTTTTTTTTTTGCAGGACATGGTTCACTGGCCGTTTGAAGTTGTTGAAAAAGAAGGATCGCCTTTGATCAAGGTTAACTACCTTGGCGAAGAAAAAACTTTCAGCCCACAGGAAGTCTCTTCCATGGTTCTCACTAAAATGAAAGAAATCTCTGAGGCTAAACTTGGTAAAACCGTGAAAAAAGCAGTTGTAACGTATGTTATTCTACATGTTTCAACGTCCGTTTTTTGTGTTGAGCGGTTCGGATTTATAGGGTCCCCGCTTACTTTAACGACTCGCAACGTCTGGCCACCAAGGATGCTGGTGCTATTTCTGGTCTGGATGTTCTTCGTATCATCAACGAGCCTACAGCTGCTGCCATTGCTTACGGTCTTGACCGTCAATCAAAAGCTGAGAAGAACGTCCTTATTTTCGATCTTGGTGGAGGAACTTTCGATGTTTCGCTGCTCAACATCAGCGGTGGTGTATTCGCTGTGAAAGCTACTGCCGGTGACACCCATTTGGGTGGTGAAGATTTCGATAACACCCTTTTGGAGCACTTCAAGAACGAGTTCAAGAAAAAGACCAAACACGATATCTCAGAAGACCCCCGTGCTCTCAGACGTCTAAGGAGTGCTTGCGAGCGTGCCAAGCGTACTCTCTCTAGTGTCACCCAAACGACTGTTGAGGTTGACTCTTTATACCAGGTTTGTTTATTTAGGAAGCTAAAGTGAATCACGCGTTTCTAACACGTTAGATAGGGCGAAGACTTCTCTGCCAACATCACCCGTGCTCGTTTCGAGGAGATCAACGCAGTTATGTTCAAATCGACTCTCGAGCCCGTAGAGAAAGTCCTCAAAGACGCCAAAATGCCCCGTGAGAAGGTTGACGATATCGTCTTGGTCGGTGGTTCTACTCGTATCCCCAAGATCCAGGCTCTCGTTTCAGAGTACTTCGGTGGCCGTCAGCTGAACAAGTCCATCAACCCTGATGAGGCCGTTGCTTACGGTGCTGCTGTTCAGGCTGCTGTCCTCACTGGTCAGACTTCCGAAAAGACCCAGGACCTCCTCCTTCTCGATGTTGCTCCTTTGTCTCTTGGTGTTGCCATGCAGGGTGACGTTTTCGGTGTTGTCGTTCCCCGTAACACTCCTATCCCCACCAACAAGTCACGGACATTCACCACCGTGGAGGACAACCAAACAACCGTCACCTTCCCTGTGTAAGTTTTTAATGCGCCTCTCCATCATGCTTTATCTTACACTGATAAATCACAGCTACGAGGGAGAGCGTACCCAGTGCCGTGACAATCGTCTCCTCGGCGAGTTCGAGCTTAACGGCATTCCTCCTATGCCCCGCGGACAGGCTGAGTTGGTCACCACATTCGAGGTTGACGCCAACGGTCTTTTGAAGGTATCTGCCCAAGATCGCGCATCTGGCCGCAAGGCATCCATCAGTGAGTATCATTCCTCCGTCACGTCATCGCTTTTTCTAAGTTCGAAATCGCACAGGCATCACCAACTCTGTTGGCCGTCTGTCATCTGCCGAGATTGACCAGATGATCAAGGATGCTGAGCAATTCAAGCAGGCTGACAAGGAGTTCTCCGCCCGCCATGAGGCCAAATCTGACTTGGAAGCATACATTCACCAAGTCGAGGGTACCATCACGTCTCCGGAGATCGGCATGAAGCTCAAGCGCGGAGCCAAGTCTCAAGTTGAGGCTGAGCTTGCACGTGCACTTGAAAAACTTGAGATCGAAGATTCGAGCGCTGACGAACTGAGGAAAGCTCAGCTTGGCATCAAGCGCGCACTCCAAAAAGCAACTGCTGGTCTCCGGTGATTTGTGGAAGAGAGACGCAGTAGAATATCACGCTGTTGTTGTCTTGTTGTCCCTTTCATAGTTTGCTCTTTCATTTTGCATATCCATCCCTAAAACTTGAAGTCGAGTCATTTCTGGTTGCAACGAAGGCATCAGGCTACCGTCTTCCAGACTCGTAAGTAATAGTGTCCAAATTGTAGAGATATAGACGATGCAACACGAATAGTTATGATCATAATCATGATGGATGCAAAGATATGCTACAGGTCATTACGAGTCAGACGAAATTGCTTTGTGAATCCGTAACCCTACTTCAAGAATCCAGAGTTCTTCGTCGGCCCCATCGCAAATAGCTTTATCAGCTTCCGCAAAAGCGAGTGCACATATTGATTTTTGTCGAGCGTGCAAAGTGGGATGAAGTATAACGATATCGTGCAGCTTTTGGCACGAACAAGTCACCGTTCAGTTGGCAAGGTAGATCAGGACACCAGACGAGACGACCTTACCTGTGAAACTATCTGGGATGCGGAGTAACCTTGCCGCATTAGTTCTTTCACTTTCGCTTGGACAGCGTCAAATCCTCGTGTTTTTTTCCGCCCATCGTTGTCTACGTCCATATCTCCAACAATCTCAACGCCCAATGTTTTAGCAAAATCATGCACGACAGCATCAGGTACTACGCCTGCTATCTCTTGAATGTCGCCTGCTGTGATTGGCGTTGGTGGATTCGTCGATGCGGAAAGACGAGAAGCTGATTGAAGGTAGGTTATCGAACGGCGAAGATCTCCTGAAGAAGTATTTATGAGGGCTGAAATGACGTCGGGTTCCAAGACAACGTGTTCAGCTGTAGCAATCTGGGAAAGGCGAGAAGAGGTGGAGGATGAATCTAAAGGAGTAAATCGAAATTTGGAACAACGCGATGCAAGTGGTTCAATGATCCTCAAGAAATGGTGAGCCAATGTAAGTCTCAGTACAGTAAAGATGGCACACCTGGTGACATAGTTGCATACTAGACAGAACCGAGTAATCCGCGCGTATGTTTCCATTATGCGACGCAATGCACCTTGAGCATCTTGAGTCATCGAGTCTGCTTCGTCCAAGATGATGATTTTGTATGGTGGACAAGGGTATGTTTTGCCGTCGGACGCGACCATTTGTGCTCGGGGCGTTTGGCGAGCGAAGTTTTTTATCTTTTCCCTTACGATACTGATTCCACGCTCGTCAGATGCATTAAGCTCGAGTACCCTGTTCCGAAAGTTATCTGGTCTATCGTAGAAGTTTAAAAAATCACGGATTCACAAGTACAAAAAGCACACACCCGAATAGCTGTCTAGACAACGCGAGGATAGTAGATGTTTTCCCTGTCCCCGGTGGCCCATAGAACAACATGTGAGGAAGCTGAAGTCCCATTAGATATAGCTAAGAGAGTAGAAGTAGTATATAGCGCACATTTGTGGAAGTGAGCGTTTTCCTCAGCACTGCTACTGTGTGTTCTTGTGCGGAAACATCGTCTATAGTTTTTGGTCGGCTGCGTTGATTCTTTCAATATGAATCTTGAGACGGGTGGAAAGAAACTCACTATTTCTCTACCCAAGGCTGCAAAGCAGGGTCAGCCGTGTGTTTTGGGGTCGCTTTGTTGGATTGGACTTGAAAAAATGCCATAGCTGTCCCTTTAATTTTAGAATATGGCTGCAATAGTATTTGGACGCGTCAAAGCGCGACCGTGCCAGTGACCGCGTTCATTGGACGCGTCCTATATCTGACAAATTGTTTCCCACAGTAGTCTGCCTGCACTGAGCGACTGTAAAGCTCAACCTGATGCTCTGTTGTTTATGCCATCTCCCTTGCATGTCATGTCAGAATCACATTTCAACAAAGGTATCACAATGGCTCTTTATAAAGTCTACGTTTACTGATATTCGTATACAGATACACCAGTAAAAGCCGGTAAGATGTTGTCCAGTGACGCGTTTTGGTTTTCCCCAAGCATACAGTTGACGCGTTGGACTGTCAGGACAACCAGAGAGACGCGCCATTTTCGAACTGAAGAATGGAAAAGTCATCTTTAAACAGAAACCCATATCTTTCGAGAAACTTACAGAGACTATGCAAGGTGCGCGCTTGTTACAGATGTTTATGTGTGAGCGATCCTGACTACAGAGTATTTTCGTAGAGATTGTAAAGTTCAGGGAAATGCTTGACCAAAGAATCGAAAAACAGGAACTTCCTCTTGCGACTATACCCGATGACTACAAGTCGCTAATTGTGAAGCTGGCTCACGAAAGGTCTGTAAACCAGTAACTTGGCATGGATGCACATTTGTTAAAGTGCCATACATTACACAGTGACAAAGCAGTCACAGCTCTCGCAAAACATATCCATCACGAACTACTCCCTGCCCACGACGAGGATGAAGATAGCAGTGAGCGCGCTAAGATAGCGTCCGCATTACCGCTATCTGTGGTGGAACACGCAATAAAATCTATTATGAGCCGCAACAACTATGGTCTTGACGGGCCACTAGGCTATAAACTACCTCCGTCATTGTGTGTTTGGCGCTGGGAGGTTAAGGATGAATACCGGGATTGGCTACCAAAGTCTGGGAAGGAGAAAGCCGAAGCTCGATTAACGGAGCGGATGCAGGTTGGCGTAATATTTCTTTATCAATACTCGACTTACTGAGAGAGGTATCCCAAGGCAAAGAAAGAGCTCAATGCCTTATTCCAAAGTTTGCCCCAAGATGAACGAGACTCCATCATGGATCCGAAGGGGACTCATAAACTTCCTACGAAAGACATCAATAAAGGAGACGCACCACCTCACCCAGAAGTCATCATTATTGAGGATGACTCTGACCTCAAAGACTCTGATGGAATTCAGTCAAATAAAAATAGCGAAGAAACTGAAAATATTGCTGTGCGTATCAACATTATTCTATTCTGGATGGTTACTACATTGTCTCGCAGCAACCTGGGGATATGACACCCAAAACTCGCTCAAAGAAAGCCACAGATCTAGAGAAGGCTGCGAAAGTATGATTTCCAGTGCTTTTGGCTTTTTTAATGACTCACGATTGATTATTACCTAGGCCAAGGAAAGGCAAGAAAAACTAGTTGCCAAGGCTGAGAAGGAGAAGAGGGAGAAAGATGCTCAGAATAAATCTCGGTCGCTTATGGCAAATTTCTTTGGCAAAGTCAGGGGTACAGAGAGCAAGTTACCTCCAAGGGAGGCCAACGCCAGTGCTGGTCCTTCTTCTGCCGAGTCTGATTTCCAGAAAACATTTAAGCCTTTTGTGCTGAAAAAGGATGCAGAGATTGCCCCCGTCAATTGGTTTTTAGAATGTCGGAAGAAGAGATCGTCGAAGGGCAATGTAATGAAGGATTATGGGGATGTTATTGTGATTGAAGACGAGGACGAGCACGCCACAGATAAGGAGGACCCCGACGTCGAGAAAGCTGGCAGGAGTAATGAGAGCGAAACAGTCGACGTTTCACAATGGAGTTCGCATGGTATGGAGTTGTTGATGCATTGCTATTGTATCTCTCTAACAATACGAGCAGAGCGGCTTCAGTCGACCCTTAAGTCTATGGCATCGCTCCGCCATCCATCACATATGCCTCCAAAATCATTGAACTTTAAAACATTCCGGCCACACAATACCCGTGACATCGTTTCATTACTCAACGAGGCTGAAATTGCCGGGGATCCTGCTCAAGTCCGTTCGTTGCTTTCTGTTTTGCGCAACCGTAACATCCTTCCTGCCAAAGTGCTCATATTCGAAGGAGACGCACGGCCGGGTTACTACGGCACATGGACGCGAAATTCTCGTGTGATTGGTCCCCGAACGCCATTTGCGCGGGACATGCTGGTTCTGGATTATGGTTATGATAGTGGAGAGGAATGGGAAGCAGAAGCGCCAGGAGATGCCGACGATGTGGTAGAGGATGGCGAGGAAGATGACAATGACGGGGATGATGCTGATTCGGATTTGGAAAGCTGGTTGGTGGACGATGATGACATGGAAGACATCGGGACGCCAGATGAAGACCTCGACTCGTCGCCTATGCCTATGTCGATAGATATACCCATGCCACCTCCGAAGAGAAAAACTGAAGCTCCAGAAAAGAAGATGGGCAAGAAGAGGAAGGTCGTTATCCCTCTAGTACCGTACGCTAAAGGGCCTTGCTGGGAATCAACCATTGGGTGGTGTGAATATGATGCCTTCCGGCCCTACCGTGTACAACTCTTCAATGGTAAGTCTAAGGTTGCTGTGCGTTATCATGCGATTTTGGCATCTTGTTGATATCTTCTTGGTCAGATACGCCGTATCCCATTGATCCTTTTACATTCGTCTCAAAGTCTGTAGAGGAACAGACTGCCCCACCAAACCACGACATCGCATTTGTCGTTCCACCTTTGCCAGATCACGTTTTGGCATCCACAGTAGTTGCAGGCCCTTCGAAACCAACATCGTCTACCTCAGCAATGAAACGCATGACGTCAATTCCCACTCCCAAAACAGCCTTTCCAGACGCCCATATCCCACTTTTGCTTTCAAAAATTTCGTCTGTTGCCACGGGTAATATCAATTTCCTAGTTGAAAGTGTGTTCCAAGAGCTGCGAACGCACAAAGTTAAGAAGAATGCTATTGAAGCAAAGGTAAAAGAGCTGGGGGAAAAGTCGAAGGAGAAGAAGATATGGGTAGTCAAAGAAGATGTTCGAGTAAGTCCTCCCTTCGCTCATGTGGATAATATGTCTATGTCGTTAACACTCAAGCAGGCGTTGTATGCACAATCATGATCTTCTCCCACACACCTCATTCATTTCATTATACCTGCAGTGGACCTGTTGATCTTTCCATAGTTAAAATGATGTGCCTCGCTGTTGTTATATCTTGCATGTTAGAAATATATATTATCCCGGGACACAGTTAATTGCTCAAAATAAGAACGACATGGATAATACAGTATTATGACCAGGTATTAAGCTTGCTAATAATCCTACAAGGACGGACAGTCGCACTAAGGGCTACAGAGGTATTTCGAGAAGTTATGTCGAAGCGAGTTTCCAGAGAAGGTTCGCGTCTTCGTATGCGGATCTGTTGCGGTCTTCTGGAACCGAGTAAACGTCACCAGACTGGCCACCTTAAATCCTGTTAGTCTGAAGAACTTGAGACCCAGGATGAGGTACTTACGGATAAGCATTTTTGTCCCTGCACCGTCCTCGTCCACGACAGGATCAAACCCTATTGCTCTATATATCTTCAAGCGCAAGCTAATGCATGGCTTGTGTCAGCAGTATAACCAAGCTGGATATTTTGGACACGTACGTAGCACCATCTAGCTCTCGCTGATGCTCCTGTGCGGGATCCAGCTCTTCCAACGCATGGGCTTCTTCTTTGAGAGCGGCAAGCTCAGCCTCCTTGCTCGAAAGTGAGCCTTCCGCGTCACGTATAGCCTTGGCGAGAGAGAGCCGAGTAGCATCCAGATCATTCAGCTGGGCAGCATGTTGCTCAGCTGTTGGAACTGATGACGGTCTAGTGGACGATTTACGCGCTCCCTCGAGAACACGAGAGAGAGCTAAAGTGAGACGAAATATCTTCAGTAATAGAGTAGGTCTAGATTCTATACGGCTACCTTTCATGTTTGCATAAGCTTCATCGATTTCTTGTTTGCCTTTCGCATGATTGATCTTCATCCGTTCTTCTGCAGCGGTTATCGTGAGGAAGTCATCGGTGGGATCAATCATAGTGGTCATCTCCCGAAGGAGTTTTCTGTGATTGATGTGGTTAAGAAAAGCACCAGACAGAGATTTAATAGCTAGCTTACATGCAGTCTTGCATATCTTTGGATTGCGGTTCTTTCGCCATCGTATAAAGCACATGAACTCGAACAACTTTCCAGCGCGTCGACTGGGAGGGACTACATTTCTCACGTGAATATCACGTGCCTCGCGTAACATGGCAATGTTGCGGAGTCCAGTTGCATTGGGATTCAGCTGTGTACTTGTCTTGAGGTGGTCTGATTTGAGCTCTTGATATTTTTGTAATATTTCTGCCTGGCACCCAAGAGATATGATTGCAAGTCAGGCTCTCTTATATATGGCTGAGTGGACTTTGATGTCAGCTTCCATGTGGGTAACCTCTGCCCAAGCCTTCAACTTTTGAGAGCCCTGGGCCGCTCTCACCTTTGTCCTGAACAGAAATGACTTTTGACCCAGTAAGATTCATATCTGATGCAAGGCATCATTGGCCTGACCTTCCCAGAGTGTAAGCTCCTGACCTACTAGATGGTGTAGGCCTTCAATTTTGCAAGTGTCTGGAAAAGGGCCTTTTCCTAAGTTAGAGGGTAACACCAACTTTCTCCTCTCAATAGGCTCATTGTCACCATCAAAGGAACCCAGAAGGTCAAACAGATTTATGTCTTCTGCATTATTGTTTTTGTTGGAGTTTTGCAACATCAATATTACCTAGACACCTTTCAACCTTGAGGTTGAAAGCATCTATGCGGGAGAGCAGGTGTTGACACCTTTCCTCTAACTCCAGTTTTTCTGCGGTTGTGCCCTTTTTGTTAATTTGTTTTGCATACATTTGCAGCTATATCCTGTTGAGTAGAGTTAATCAGCATTCAAAATGTATGTATTCCCAGGATCCTGGGGGCCCAGGGACTTACTAAGTCTCTTCCAACTTCAGACCCATCAATAACCAAGCAGTGATTCCTTGGACCACTCCATTTCTTGTTTCCTGTTGCAATGGATGCAGCCGGATTTCTGCTTTGCTGGGTAATTTTACTATAGTGACTTCATATACAGTGACTCTAAAAACTGTTGCAATGTTTGGCCTAAATGTGGTGTGCAAAGTGCACCACCAACAGACTTAGAAACTTTGCTCAGCTTTGGTGGGGTCAACAAAAGTACTTGGTCTTGGCTACAAAATGGTTTCTGGGTCATGTGATTTGGCCTAGCGGTTGTGAAGATATGCCCATTTCAAAACAGCAATACCATTGCAACAGTTTTTTCACTTTTGGTATCAAGGGAGATATCTAGGGAATATCAGTACTTGGTATAGCCTCCTTTTGCTTTGAGCACTGCCTGAATACTCCTAGGCATGCTTTCAATTAAGTTGTGACACTCTGCAACTGCTATCTTCTCCCACTCCACTTGAATCCTCTCCCACAACTCCTCCATCCCATCAGGAGGGTGTTCATACTCTGCAAGCCCCCTCTTGAGACAACCCCACCCATGTTCAATAGGATTAAGGTTGGGAGACTGCAGGCCACACCATAGTTCTAAAATCCTGATCATCTAGCCACTCCTTGACCTTTTTGCAGGTATGCTTGGGGTCATTGTCTTGTTGAAAGATGATGTCAGGAGGATTGAAACCATAATACTGCAGGGTGTTCAGCAGCTCATCCTTTAAAATCTGAAGGTAAAGGTCCCCATCCATCCTACCATCAATTCTGGCAGCATACCCAACTCTCTCCCAAGTCATACAGCCCCAGATCATCATGGAACATTCTTCAAACTTGAGAGTTCCCTGTACCAATCTATCACTGAGCCCCTCACCTGGCTTTTTCCACACCCACTTGTGTCCATCTGACCCCAGGCAATTAATTTTGGTCTCATCAGACCATACAACCTTTTTCCAATCCTCCACAGTCCAGTCCTTGTGAGCATGAGGAAATTCTAACCTAGCCTTATGATGCTTGGTAGAGAGAAGAGGGTATTTCTGCCTGGCCACAGCCTTCATGCCAGTCTTTTTCAAGTGCTGGCGGACAGTGTTTGAGGAGAAAAGTTGGTTGATGATGTTGATAAGAGCTTTGGTGATCCAGACAGTATTTTCTGCCTTGCGAGTGGAGATGAGATGTATAGCATGGCGGACATTGGCAGGAGAAAGCTTAGATGGATGACCTCCAACAGACTTTTGGAGCTCAGAACACTCCTTGGAGCAAAGTCTAGAGATGGTAGAGACATGGACACCATTGGTAGAGGCAATAAAGTGAGCAGTTTGACCTGCATCAATGAGGTTAAGAATTCAGTTCTTTTGAGCAGGAGAGAGGGATTTCATGATGATGGTGTTACAATTTCTACTCCTTTTATGGACTACTCATTTTTCCTTACTCATTGGTTATACCATCGGACCGATGACTCATTTCCTTCACGTACATTTCTGTTCTCTTCGCAGACTGCATTGGTAACAACCAAGAGTTAGTTACTCTGGCGCACACAGGAACACACTATAAAGAGAATGAAGAGGGAGTGGTTACCCCTTGGGATGCAGAGAGTTAGTTGGTATACAACAGGAGGACTTGCTGAGGAGTCTCCTGAATCTATTGGAGTTTATATACTACTACAGGGTTGTTTGTACATGTGTACTATACAGTTGATAGAGACAGTGGCTGATGATGTCATGGGGCTTTAGCCCGCATGGCTAGCTCCACTGTGTGAGAGAGTTGTGTCCAAAATAAGAAGAAAGGCAATGTGGCGCGAGAAAGGGGAAGTGCTGCGTGGCACCATGTGTGAAAGCTAAAGTTTAAAGTGGAGAAATAAAAGTAAAGGGAAAGTCTGAAAATTGTGTTATCGTAACACTACCCCCCTTCTAAGGCTCGACTTCCAGGCAAGACCAAATACCGGAGGTAGTAGTTAAATTTTCGGGCATAGGTTGAAAAAGAGAATTAAAAAGATTTGAATCCATGCCTCTAAGCTTCCTAGGAGCTGAGGGATTCTTAGCATAAAATTTGCGAACAGCGTCGCGGGAATTGTCCAGATGGGCTTCTGGTTCCCATGTTCTGTCCTCGTCTCCATAGCCCTTCCGTAGGACTAGGAGTTCTAGTTTACCACGCTTCAAGCGTGCATCCACCACCCGTTCGACTTCAAACTCTTCTTCACCTTCCTGGGTGACTACAACCGGTCTGGGCCGGTCTACACGCTGTCCCGGCAGCGGCCCTTTGTAGGGTTTTACACGGCTAATATTGACCGTGGGTACTACCCTCATTCGTTTTGGGAGTTCTAGCTCCACTGCGTTGGGTTTGACTTCCTTAATCCGGTAAGGGCCAATCCACTTTTCGGTCAGTTTTCTAGACTGCCGATGTCATGCACCAAAGTTGATTGGTAGCATGGACAGGTGTCAATAACGAAGCGAATATTCGAAAAGACTCGCCTTTGCGCCACACAGGCACAGTGCCACGTGGAATAGTAATTAATATTGCCCTTTTCAAACTTGTGGCTGATCAGCACCACCTCTATTAGGCAATCCAGTCACGCTCACCTTTGCTTTTCCATCCGGTACTTTCCGTGTTTCGGCATTTCGGCAAATTTTCGCGTCGCCACTGGCTACACATTGCATTGTGCCCTCGCTTTTGTTGTTTCCCTTACTCCCCTTCCTTTGCCTAGCCCCACCATGGGCCCCTTCCTCTCCTTTTTATTCTCACCTGACGGTCGTTTCTGGATCCCCATTCTAATCCACTTTTTCGTCACCTCCACCCTCCTCCTCCTCATCTTATTTGCACCCCCACCATTTCTGATGTCACCACTTCCTATCCGCTTCCGTTGCCAATCCATTGACTACCACGTGCCACTGCTGATATCAGCAAAGCCCCGGCGGCCGGTCCAAATAGGGCAACAGGTCCATCTTCATGACGTCGATCTGCCATTATATACTATCAAAACATCGGTCGCTCGTCTTGCCTGGTTGGAGCGTGGGTGGGTAATTTTTGAGCTGGAGAAGGTTCATCCCCTTGCGTCGCCCATGTTCATCGCTGTCCCATTCACTTGGGTACACTTATCTTTTGTCCATCGTCTTCGCTACAGCTACACCTACCACACGCTGCCTGGGACTCACTTGTTCCAAATTGGAACTACTCCTCTCCCTCCCTCGTTTGATCAGGTGGTCCAACACAACCAGTCCATTGGTAAGGCCATGGAACTGTCGGATTTGGACTAGGTGGTGGACCGGTGGCTCCAGTTTCTTTTTCTTCAGCAGAACATTCATTTACAGTGCGATTATTTTTGATTTTTGAATCATTTTTATGGACACATATTTTTTTTTAGAATGCCTGACTGACAATAAAGGAACTGTGTTGATACTGATAGTGTTTTGCCTTGCCCTTTTTTTACTGCATCTTCCCATGACATCATGATTTTCCTGCTCTCTTTTTGCTATTGGACTTTACTTTATGGCTGTACAAACCTGTGACATTACTCACAGCATTCATTGTTCTATCCCTTTCTTTTCTTTTTTTTGACAATCTTATCCTGTACTACCTACGCAGGATTCATCAGCGTACATTCCTTTTTCCTTCATATTCTTTCTCATTCTTTTTGCACAGCTATACTGTGCATAGCCTACTTTTCTTTTACTATATAAACCCCTGTATTTTACCTTGTAAAAACAACAAGAACTCCATTCCAGACTTCTTCTCTAATTTCAAGTTCACTACTCTGCTGCTTGTGATCCAGTGTGGTCACAACACTTCCCACTGCTACCACTGTCAACTGCTGTCATCGTCACTTCCCACTTTTGAAGTCATTGTCATCCCTTTCGATTAGAGTCCTTCTGAGCACTACAGTCTGTGCGTCAGGAGCCTGTTATCACTGGGAACCTCGTCACCTCGTCATCCTCGTTGTTCTCAAACCTACCTTGTGCTACAATTAGCAAGGTAGTGCTCATCTATACTCGTCACTAAGCCCCTATCTTCTATCAATTCAACTATCCCTCCTCCTCAAAACCCACACTCATACATTTCTGGGTTTTACTTTGAAGGATCCTCATACATACCACCCCACGAACAACCAGAGCACCCACTGTTCTAGGAGGCAAAGCCCATAAACAAGTTCCGTGGAATCTGGGAGGATTGTGTGTTAGTTTGTTTTTGTGTGTGGTTTTCTAACTGCAGTTCTCATCATCGACACCGATCTTTTAATTTTAAGTGGTCGGTATCTAACCAGACCAGGTCGCCGACTTTGTAGTCAGGGGCTTTAGAGCGTCTATGCTCTGCCCTGTCTTTCATCTGCTCTGCAGTTTTAAATAGTGCCTTGCGCATTTCGTCCAAGACAGACTTCATGTCTTTTACCATGTTCTCAGCAGTCTCGTTCTTGCTTTTGCCAGGTTCTACACCCATTCTGGGGAGATACGATCTAGTGACCTCGAATGGTGCCTTTCCTGTAGCCGACGACTGTTTGATATTATAAGAGAACTGGGCTATCTTTAGCCACTTGGCCCAATCTGTCTGTCTGTCATTAATAAATATCCGGAGATATTGTTTCAACTCCTGGTTGAGTCTCTCCGTTTGTCCATCAGTCTGCTGATGGAACACCGTTGATAATTTAGGTTTGATGCCCAGCATCCGGCATGATTCTTTCGTAAATTCGCTAGCAAATTGAGGTCCTCTATCGGAGATAACTGTTTCCGGCAACCCATAGATAGACCATACAAAATCTTTAAATAGATCTGCCGTTCTAGCGGTGGTAATGGTTTTATTGGTAGGTATGAATACTACTTCTTTGGAGAAGTGATCCACTACTACCATTACTGAATCGTACCCATTCGACTCGGGCAGATCCGTCGTGAAATCAACCAATATATCCTGCCAGGGACCAGCTGGTATCGGGTTCAGCATAAGTTTACCGGCCGGCGGTTGATGAGAATTCTTAGCCATGGCACATCTCAAACAGGATTTTACGTATTCCTGTACATCTTTGACCATGCCAGGCCACATGTAGTTTCTGGAGATCAACTCCATTGTTCGTTGCCACCCCGGGTGCCCAGCCACTAGAGTGTCGTGATGTCTGTCTATTGCCTTGATCCTTGCGGACTCAGGCACATAGATTTTGTCTTTGAAATGGAAGAGCCCGTCTTCCCATAAATAGTTTTCATTGCCCTCAAGGCGCGCCTTCTCTTCTGAGGAGATGTCTTTCTTGAAGACTTCCAGAAGATCGGAATCATGCCCAATTCTAACATTGGCAACCCTTGATTGATCTATCAAGGTAACACCTTTGTTGTCATCTTTGATACCGTTGGCATGATCTTCTCTTCTGGATAAAGTGTCCGCTTTCCCCATAGAACTTCCAGGCTTATGAATTAATTTATAATTAAACCTTGACAAGTACACCGCATGGCGGGCCTGTCTTCTGTTCAAGTCTCGGGCCGTCATAAAATACTCCAGATTCTTATGATTGGTCCAAATTTCAAATTGGTGTCTAGCACCTTCTAAGTAGTGCCGCCAGTGCTCTAAGGCTCTAATAATGGCCAGCATTTCTTTGTCGTAAATTTGATAGTTGCACTCTGTAGGCGACAAACTATGCGATAAATAGGCACAAGGCCTCCAAAGATTGTCAGGACATTTAATTGATAAAACGGCCCAAGTAGCAAAATCAGAGGAGTCGGTTTCTAGCCGGAACTCTTTGTCTAATTCTGGAAATGCTAATATGGGCGCCGTTGTAAACACCTGTTTAAGCTTATTGAAAGCTTCTTGTTCTTTGGTGCCTCAGTGCCAAACAATGTCCTTTTTAGTGAGATCGTTCAACGGTCTCGTGATTTTTGCGAAGTTTTCGATAAACCTTCGGTAGAAATTGCCTAAGCCAAGGAAGGCCCTAACTCCTTTGACGCGAGTAGGTTCTGGCCATTCCAAGATAGCTTGAACTTTCTCAGGATCCATCCTGATTCCGTTCTGGCCTATGATCATACCGAGGAAGTCTACTTCCTTCACTTTAAAATTACATTTTTCGGGTTTGACGAATAGGTCCCATTCCTGTAAGCGTTGAAGGACTTCTTGCACAATCCTATCATGCTCAGCCTCATCATCCGACTTCGTAAATATTAACAAATCGTCAATGTAAATGACGACACAGTTTTCCATATCCGCAAAGATCTTGTTCATCATGCTCTGGAAGGTCGCCGGTGAATTGGTCAACCCAAAGAACATAACGAGGGGTTCAAAAGATCCTCGGTGGCACGTGAACACGGCCTTCCAAGCATCTGTCTCTTTGATTCGTACATTATTGTACCCCCATCTGAGATCCATCTTTGTCAAGATCTTGGCACCAGCCAACTTGTCTACTAGCTGACTGATCAAAGGCAGCGGATACGCATTTTTAACCGTGTGCTCATTCACATAACAATAGTCCATAATCATACGCTTCTTACCATCCTTTTTAGGAATGAAGAACACCAGGGACATCATAGGGCTTTTGGAAGGTCTGATGTAACCCTTCCTAAGCTGTTCGTCTATGAAACTTGATACCTCATCTCTTTCTGGAGCAGAGAGTGGTATCATGTGTCCTTTTCTTGGTTTGAAAGTGTCCTTCAAATCTATAGCATGGTCCCAAGGCTTGGCCTCTGGGAAGCGCTCTGATTTATGTTTAGAAAAGACTTTCCAGAAGTCATGGTACTCGGGAGGTACCAGCCTCTTAATCTCTTCCTCGGGTTTTACCTCATTATCGTCATCGTCAATCTTTTCTAAAGATCTGAGCTCATAAACATTTTCAGCGTTTATCTTCTCAAGACGTTCGTTGTGATGGACATGATTAGGTTTACCCAAGTTTACACACTCCTGAGGGCAACGTGACAATGTGACAACCCCTGTCTGCCAGTCGATCTCAGGATTGTGTTTAAATAGCCAGGTCCAGCCTAAGATTAAATTAATCTTCCCTAGTTGGGTAGCTTCAGCGGTGACTCGTTCTCTGTGTCCTTGGTATTCGACAACAAAGGAACATTTGTGCGTGATGCAGCCACCCGCGTTAAGCGTATTAAGAACAAAGCTTGAAGGAAGTGTCTAGCCACTTGCTGAGAGCAATCAGGGACTGGA